GCTCCCATAGGGGAAATGCTGCTCAGCCAGAAGCCGGGATCACAACTGGCGAGCACAGCAGCGGTGGCCGGAGCCTGTCCTGCCTCCGTGGCAGTGCTAAGGAAGGAGCAGCAAGCCGAGCGGTAAGGAGCAGCAAGTAGGCGGGCGGGAAGGAGTGAGGGGTTCTGGACTGCGAGAGGGCACAGGCCAGGCTAAGGTACACACACACACACACACACACACACACACACAGTGCATGAATTTCATGCACCGGGCCTCTAGTATAATATATAAACTTATGACAAAAATTTATGAAAATTTATTTAAATTGTTTTGAAAAACTACATAGATGAATGGATAAAACTATTCCTGGTGAATTGGTTGTCTTTGACTAAACTATTAAACATTGAGTGAAAGAGTTCTTAAAAATTTAAGTTTCTTTAATGAAGTTATTTCCCAAGTGTTCAAATTCCTGCTCTGTGTTCAGAGGCTGAATTTGAAAATAATGCCTTATTATATGAGTTTGATTTATGCAAGAAAGAAGGGGGAGCCCTCCCATTATTAAGATATTTGTGAATGAATATACATATGTTTTAAGTTAAAATAAAGTGCTTACGTTATATATTTGTCCTTTGTTATTATTTCTGCTTCATCTGACCTTTTAGAATAATAACCAAGTACTGATTTTAACTGCATCTTACAAGAGGGCTTCTCCTAGACATCTAAATACTAAGAAGGTGTTTCATTTAAGAAGAATTTGACAAATTTTTAATTGAATACTTCACATAATCTTTATTTGAATTATATTTTAGGTATTAGAACTAATTAAAACTTATTAATTAATTTATATGTTTATTTACTAAGAACATAAAAGGCCTGTTTAGACTGAAATATTCAGCCAGACGTTAGAGAACACATAGTTATTTGGTATCTATTGCTCATTTACTAACAACTTCCATAAATTATACAGATTGTTTATCTATATGTAAAAATCACCATAGTTGTGTTTCCTTCTGTTTATTTAATATTCTAAAAAGCAAGGTGGGAGTCAGGTTATTTTTATTAAACATTTTTCATTCATAAACATATGAACAAGTTTATCAAGGAGAATAAAATCCGTTCTCATTTCTCAAGGAGAGTAGTTCAGAAAGCTGTTTTAATAAAGTCATAGAAAAATCTGAAGGAGACTTTGTGCTTTTTTTATGGGCATAAACTTGAAAATTTAAAAACAAGCCTTTTGTATGATAACATAATTAAATTAGAGTTTTTACATGTGTGATGCCTTTAATATTTGCTTTTCGGTTTTTTTAAATTCACAAGATTTATTGTTGGCTTGTATTTTTTTGTTAAGCCTCACCTTGGATATTTTTCCATTGATTTTTCAAATTCTTTATTGTATTAAATGCCTCCTTTCCGCCCCCCCCCCATGGACCCCTTCTAGCCCACCCCTACTCCCCACCCCAGGCTTTCACCGCCCTAGTATCTGTGTCCATGGGTTATGCATATGTGCATACAAGTTATTTGGTTGATCTCTTCCCACCCACCCACCCACTCACCTCTGCCTTCCCTCTGAGATTCCACAGTGTGTTACATGCTCCTGTGTCTCTGGATCTGTTTTGTTCATCAGTTTATGTGTTAATTAGATTCCATGAACAATATGAGTGAGATCCTGTGATACTTGTCTTTCTCTGACTGGTTTATTTCACTAGTGTAATGCTGTATGTGAACTTCAAGGGCCAGGAGAAGACAGGAGGAGTCATTGACGTTGGCTAAACCTCTCACATATTTGGAGAAAACACTGATATTTAACACTTTTACACATTTTCATGTAATAATAGACTTGCTCTGGTGCTGTAGCTTTGCCCTTGGGGTGCCCTCCCACCTTGTCTTACATGGATCCGAGCTGATGCTTCATCAGTTACCTTCACGTGGGTACACTCTGCTCTTGGAATGTGATTTGTTAATTCTGGCTTACCATAGTAGAAACCCAAATATTGTTCCTATAAAATGCCCCATAGGCCTTAGGTCTGGGTGTGTTGGATCCTCAGCATGTCAAAAATTTCATTATGCCATCTGCTTCAACCTGAGCCGTGTATCTTCTGCTGGCAGGCTTTATTGAAGTGCCGGGCTCAGGATAAAAAAATAAGCAGGTTTGGCATAAGAAGCTTGCTTTTGAAAAAATAATAATTGATCATGTGCCTGCTCTAGATTTAAAATACCCATTTGAAAGTATTCCCAGAAGCCTCATCTAAGCACATTGATCTCTTTTTCATCTGTGGTTGAAGATAGCAATTATTATGGTTGAATAATTGGTAACTTTGGTAAGTTGTTGAGTTTTCTGTTTTGTTTTTAAGGCACAGATTGGTGATACATTGTGAAATATTTTGATTACTTCTGTTAGTGGAAGCTCTTTACCTAATATCCTATTTGCAGAAATGATATCTTAAATGACTTTTTCTATATATATATAATACAAATATGGTAAGAATGCCATGATGAAAAAAAGCTAACTTATACGGTGTCTGCTATATATAGTGTGAGACTTTGCTAATTTTCTCATCTGTAAAATGAAAATAAAGTTATTTGGAGGCTTGTTGGGGAGATGATATTAGAGTAGGTCCTTATAAAATGAATAGACATGTATTCTGCAAATGTTTGTTGAATGCCAACTCTGTGCTAGGCACTCTTCTAGATAATGAGGATGTAATTCAGAAAAAAAATAGATTCCTCCACTGGAGAATTCCACATTCTATCTAGTCTGTCTTGACTGAGATGAAAGCTCCATGGCAACAGGGTACATGCTGGGTGGCAATAAGAACCATGAAGGAAAATACTTGAGGGAAGGATGTACCTGACTGGTAAAGGGGGCAGCTTGGCAGTTTGAGGAAAGGTGAAGTGGTCAGTATAGCTGGAGCTATGGGGACACAGTGCAAGGGGATGAGTTCAGAGAGTGATCCTGAAACACAATTGGTATCACCTTGCTGATAAATAATTACAGGTATAAAGTTAGATTCCAGACACCCTGTGGAAATATGAAATCAGGATTGGCTGTTTGCACTCTTCTGTCAATTATTTAGTTTTAACTTGGGGCTCCTTATAGCAGGTACACAAAAGTAATTAGAGAATACTTTTCCAAAATGGAATTATTTTTGTTGTTGTTTACATTATATCATTGTATCTGGAATTTGCCAGTTTGTGAAGTTTAAAGTCCTCCAGATTGGCAACTCTGCCCAAGACTTCTGAGAGCAACAGCAAAGGAGTTCAACTCAAATACTGAGTTAGAGGAAAGAATCACCACAGCACAGAACCAATTGCAAGTTTAGGAGGTTTGTTCCCAAAACGTCCCTCCAACATTTAACTGGAAGGACCAAAGAACTTACTGGGCTACTAAACTCATGGGTGTGGTCTATTTTACGGAAAGATTGCAGGTCAAATATTAGCTAAAGGAAGAGACACATAGCTCGGTCTGGTAGGATTTCAAACCAAAGCTTTTATTTTTCTTAGGAGATATCTTTCCCCGAATCAATGCATGGCAGTATGCATGGAGTATTGCCATCCAGCAAGCTCACCTGAGCTCTGTGTTCAGAGTTTTTATTTGAACACTAGAGGCCCAGTGCATGAAATCGTTCACGGAGGGGGGGGGTTCCCTCCGCCCAACCTGCACCCACTCCAATTGGGGACCCCTCGGGGGATGTCCAACCACTGGTTTAGGCCCGATCCCTCTCACAATCTGGGACCGCTGGCTCCTAACCACTCACCTGCCTGCCTGCCTTATTGCCCCTAACTGCCTCTGCCTACCTGCCTGATCACCCCTAACTGCCCTCCCCTGCCGGTCTGATCTCGTCCCAACTACCCTCCTCTGCTGGCCAATTTGGTTCTGATTGGTCAGTTTCTATCCCAGTCAGAGTCAAAAGCTCCGCCTCTTAGGCAGCCATTGGCTCCTCACAGTTGACCCAGATTTGGTTCTGATTGGTCAGTTTCTATGCCAGTCAGTGTCTCTGGGCCTATCAACGGGGCCTGATCAGAAAGGCGAGGCTGATCAGCTCCGGTGGAGACTTGGAGAGAAATGGAGGCAAGGCTGTTGGCCAGGTCAGGAGAGAAAGAGAGGCAAGTTCTGATCAACGGCTGCTACAGAGGCTACGGATCAGACCCTGCCTCTCTCTCTCTCTGCAGGCCTCTCTCTGGGTGTGATCTGCAGCCCCCTAGGCAGTCAGTGCTGGGTCAGGGCGTCCACAGTGGCCCCAGTTAGTGCTGGGTCGGCAGGGCAACCCAGCACTGACTTCCGGTCTGGTGGAGCCTTAGGTCGTAACCAGTTGTTATGACCCTGGCTCTTTATTATACAGATCACTTCATAGGTATGATTCATTGACTGACTGCACCAGTGGCTGAACATAGTCTCAGAATTTGAGTTGATATCTTGTGACCTTGACGCCTACCATGAATAACAAAGATGCTCCTATTGTCTGGGAAATCCCAGGGGTTTAGAATTTAATTCCTAGGTGCCACAGACAAGAGCCAGACTGCTCTTTGGGGAAGACCAAATTCTTTGCTACATACATTGTTATAAAAATTCACACAATATGGAAAGGAAATGGCCTCCTGGAGTCCCATCTCTCTGGAATAACTAGTGTTAGTATTGCTTGTTTGTTTTATATTATTCCAATGTTTAATAAAGTTCATTGAATCATATTATATTGTAGCTTTTTTTTTTACTTTAAAGTGTATAAGGTGTGTATGTTTTTGCATGTGCTTTAACGAGTACCCTGAAGTTGAACACTGGATATAAATTTAAAAATATTTTGTTATCTAATAAATAGTGATGCATTGCACATCTACACAGTTTTTTGCATGTTATTTTAATTTTTCACATTGAAATAAATTTTTGAAATATAATTGCTTAATTGAAAGGCAAGACCAGTTTGAAATTTGGTTTGTACTTCATTATTATCTCTTTTGGGATGTTTCCTATTTAATTGTTTATGGGATGTTGAAATTGTTAATGACTTTCATATTAATCTTAGGTAAACATTGCAACTTCAGCAATTTCAAATGTAGAATGTGCCCATATTCCACATCTCAGCCCGGCTGTCATTAGTACTCTGCAAAATGAATCATTGTTATCGTCCCAAAACAATGGGAATCTGGAAGTACTTACAGCTGCAGGTACTCCACACATCAATGGGAAAACTGCTTGTGATGAATTTGATCAACTGATCAAAAATATGGCCCAGGTAAGAACATTTTTTCTTTTTAATTGTGATAGAGTGTATAATATCTTAAAAGAATGTAATCAAGTCCTGGATAATTTGAAGAATATTTATATGTTCATCTTATGTAACATGTTAAATATACATTAAATATATATGTATTAAATGTAGTATTAAATATATTATTATTTATTAAGACATTGATAACATCTGAAAAAAATTGGAATGAAAATGAAGTAGATTTTGTTTGGATGGCTCAGAGATTTTTCTATTCCATTTCTTTAAATTATCACATTTTCAACTGAGTGTTATGTTTTATGTTCTAGAAATAGTCTCCAGTATAAATAAAATGTCTCATTCTAGGTGATGAGGGATCAAGGTTATTTTAGAAAAAAAAAGAATTTATTGAGTTTTTTTAAACAAAGGAATGCCACTAATAAGATGACTACAAGTGCAAGGATTAGCTTTTAATTTTATTTCTTGCTTTGCTTCCTGGACAGGGTCGCCATGTAGAAGTCTTTGAGCTCCTCAAACCTCCCTGTGGAGGCCTCGGGTTCAGTGTTGTGGGACTGAGGAGTGACAACCGGGGAGAACTGGGAATATTTGTGCAGGAGATCCAAGAGGGCAGTGTGGCTCACAGGTGAGACTGGCAGGCTGCTGGTCTGGGTTTGATACCATATTCGGGAGGTGTTGATCACCCTGGGAGAGTGTAGAGAAGCAAAATGAATGGAAACAAACAGGAATCCAAAAATAATGATAATAACCAGTTTTTTAGACGTCATTGGCATTGCTTTGATAAAATGTTAGTCCTTTTGAAAGAAGAGTAGCTTTTCAATATAGTTATAACTTAATCACTTTTTAGTAAGGAAAGAAAAATTTGATGAGGACATCTTCTGAATGTTAGTAAATGGACTCTTCTGATTATATTTTAAAATTATTATTTAGAAAACTATCCATGTGGCCCATGATAATTTAAAAGATTTTATTAATATACTCAAAGCAAGAAGTAAATTATATGCCTCCTCGCTTTTATTTGTAGAAGATAGGCACATCCAAGTTTTAATGAAAAGGTTAGGTCGCTGAAAGAAGAGGGCTCTACAATGGGGGGAGTTCATTAGATACACTGGAGCCAAAGTCTATGCTTTTAAAAGTCAAAGTCCCAGAAAAAGCTACCTAATTGTGGATTTAGAAAATAGAGTTAAAGTAATCTGATGCTGTACGCCAGAAAAGCTGTCATTGTCTTGGGAGCCATCAGGTATCTTTTACCTCCTTTCTCATTCTTGATAGAGATGGAAGATTGAAGGAAACTGACCAAATCCTTGCCATCAATGGACAGGCACTTGATCAGACGATCACACATCAGCAGGCCATCAGCATCCTGCAGAAAGCCAAGGACACTGTGCAGCTCATTATTGCCAGAGGCTCGTTGCCTCAGCTCATCAGTCCCATGGTTTCCCGCTCCCCATCCGCAGCCAGCACAATTTCCGCTCACTCTAATCCGGTGTGTATGTAAGATTTTCACAAGGAATAGGACTCATTTTCTACTTCTTTTTTATAGGTTTCTAGATGACTATTTTACATTTTCCTTAGGTTCTTTGTATTTCTTGAGTTTTTGCCTTTTTATTCTTTTATCTCTCCCTCGCCCGGAATAGTTGTTATTTAATTTTGATAAGTTTCTGGCTTCTAAAACTATTTTTACAATATTTTGTATAGTTTCCTTTTTTATTTGGTAACATCTCTCAAATGAAAATGAATCAGACCTTTTACAAAATTGACTCTATCTGCCGACAGATATAATCTTGAGTTTGCTTTGTAATTTGTCAATTATACTTTGTATTATTGTTATAGTTAGCTGTCTATGATGACGTTAAGAAGTAATCTAAATTTGGAATCTTGCAAGGCAGGATAATGCAGAAAACATTTTTAATACATAAAAGTTTTTTCCTTGATCTTTCCTTTTTAAAGAAAAAGTTCTACAAAAGGTCTCCCAAATCAATGCCTATCTTTACCTGGTTAAATGTGGTCACTGTGATGATGTGTTTATAATTTCAAGATTGATTATGCAGTAACTATCTTTTGAAACGAACATGTAACTAAACAAAAGAGACATGTCTTACGACTCATTTTTATGTTTGAACTCAATTATTTAATATTACTCATAAAATAACTTTCACAGAAATCTCAACTGTAATGAAAATTTTAGTTTTTCCTAAATATGTTCAGATTCTTACAGGAGCTTTATTTTCAGGTTCACTGGCAGCATGTGGAAACTATTGAATTGGTGAATGATGGATCTGGTCTGGGATTTGGCATTGTCGGAGGAAAAGCAACTGGTGTAATAGTAAAAACCATTCTGCCGGGAGGAGTGGCTGATCAAGTAAGCTACTCCCAACAGGTGTTCATGCTGTTTTATTAAATAGCATGGCTTCATCTTTTACATTATCTGCCAGAAAGAAGAAACTGTGGCCTTAGATAATATCAAAGAAGCTGAGTTAGACTCTTCTGTTTTGCTGGGCTGTCCCTAAATTGTTTTTTTTAAAACTTGGGGAGAAATACCATTGAAAGGGGAAGATTGATCTTGAGTTAAAGGAATAGACCACCAGACTAAAGCCCAAGTTATGGTTTTGATCATTGTAGAGATAGCAGTTCTTTATTTTATGATCGTAAATCAAATTTATAAACCTAGTCAACTGTTTTATGGCCACAAGATTCTATTGAAAAAAGAACAGTGCTGTAGTAGGAAAAAGCACAAGGTTCATCTTGTCCTTTTAGGGATGCGTCACTGGTGTCGTCTTTGTCTATGAAACCTGGCCTGTTTTTGTCACTGGGAGTTATACATTAAAGAATTGCCATTTATGCTAGAATTGCCATGTTGGAATCTATGTGGCAAAATTTTAGTTGATTATTATAATTTATGTCTTCTTAGACAAGTTCAACTAATGTAAGTATATTTGTGCTTTGTAACTTTTCATAATGATGTTTGCTTTTATAGTTGTATTTGAACTTAGGAGTCATGTTCATCTATTTGTCATATTCATATGTGAAAGTCAGATTTATTGGCAGAGATATTGACAGTAACACAATAGTTTGACATTTTTAAAAATATTAGCCAATATCTAGCAGTATCTGGTGAAATCCCTTTAGTTGACAGACTTGTGATAAATAAGTTTTATCTTCAGTGTAGAGCCGCACTGTTCAATACTGTGGGTAATTGCCAGATGTCACTTTTTAAATTCAAATTTAAATTAATTAAAATAAACAAAGTTACAAGTTTAGTTCCTCATTTGGTCTGGCTACATTTCATGTGCTCTATAGCTGCAGGTTGCTTGTAGCTGCCGTATTGGACAATACAGAACATTTTCATTCTTGCACAAAATCCTAGTGGCCACTGTATAGAGGCTTATAAGACTGCTTGCCACTCCCCATCTATCTGAATTTTTATCTCACCATGATACCATCTGCAAATGAATTCTTTAGAAATATTTATAACTAAATGGCAAGGCAGAAAATTGTGGTGTCATTGCTTTCTTGTGGTTCATACTATATTTTGTGTAATATATATTTGTATAGTGACTTATACTATATCTTTGTTTAATGGCATTTTCTTCCTCTATCCCTCAAAAAATTCACAAAGAGGCTTAATATTTTCTTGTATCTAGTAGGTAGAAATCAAATTGAAAAGCTTATATCGACTATCAATTTAAGGAATATTTGTGAATTTTAGTTACTTATATCACATTGAGTGATATTAGGCTGCTTCAAAAATGTAGTTAAAAAAACAGTTAAAATCACAGCCACATGTGTAGTGTCCTATGATTGATATTTCGTATCATTGATTTTTTATTCCCTTTCCCTCATTTAGGACTTCTCTGATGAGGTAATAAAAACAAAGCCTGATAAACCAATCTCTTTTTATTCAGCATGGGCGATTGTGCAGTGGAGACCACATTCTAAAGATCGGTGACACAGATCTAGCAGGGATGAGCAGTGAGCAAGTAGCACAAGTCCTCAGGCAGTGTGGAAACAGAGTTAAACTGATGATTGCAAGAGGTGCCCTAGAAGAACCGGCAGCACCCACCTCTCTGGGCATCACCGTGTCCTCATCCCCATCCTCTACACCAGAGATGCGGGTAAGTAGGTGAAAGTTCATGGGGTAAGTCATAGACAATAGCACCTAAATGATAGGATGTTTGTTTTGAAACTAGATTTATTAATATTTATATGTTAGGGATATATGCAAAACCGATTGACACGGACAAGAGTGCGGTGAAGGCCTTAGGGTGGGGCGGCAGGTGTGCGCTAGAAGGGGGTCAGTGGGGAGACAAAAGGGATATTTGTAATACTTTGAACAATAAAGATACATTTTTTTAAAAATGAAACAAAATTCAAATATAGAAATGTTTCGGCACAAATAATATGTTATTAATTATGAATAATGTGTAACAGATGAAAAATAGATTGCTTAAAAATTCTAGATGACTATTTTACATTTTTCTCTAAGCAGTACATTTATGAGAATAATGTTCTGTAATACAGAAAAGTATTAAGGAATTATTTGTTACAAATACCGGAAATGTTGGATACTTTTTCTTACATTGAAGGCCCTCAGTAGGGTGTGGTGAATAAAGCTTATTAACACCTTTTAATATTGTTTTATGGCATATCATACAACTGTTATCAGATTTATAATGAGAAGTCACTATTCTTCAGCCAGTTATTATAAATTTTTAAATAAAAGTTATGTTTTTGAGATTGTAACAAAAGCTTTACCCATATGCATAACCTCCCATCTATGTTTGTAACAATATAACAAGAGCTTAAAAATTTCATAATTTTTCAAATGTGGTGATTATCACAAATACTTCAGATCACAGTATGACTGTAGTGCATAAAAAATTCAACAAAACCATTTTATCTAGAAATCATATATTTAAGGAGAGAATTACACTCAGTTTTTAGATTAGCTTTATAGCAAATGTAAATTCTACATTTTTCTCTAATAGTTCTAAAAACATCTGATTTTTTCTATTGAAGTTTTTGTTCTAACCAGTTGCTTCGAATTCTTTTTTTAGTATCCTAACCTCTTCCACAGACCCTTTTAAACTTTATTAGAACACTTGAAATTTCCATGATTCTCTTGTTTTCAAGATTGAGTTTGGTTGCTATTTTTTGCAGAAAGAAAGAAAGCTTGTTTATGAAAGTATTTAAGTGGCATTCTTTTGTGGTAAACAAAAACATTTTATTCAGCATATATAAATGAATGCAATACCGAGACCCACTTCATGTAATTGAAAGCTTAGAAAAATATCTATTCTGTGCATATCATCATTTCTGAAGCTTGTGCCCCTTTTAAAACCATTCGATAGTCAAATTGCCACCCTCTAAAATAGCACTCGCATAAGTCTTATTAAAAATAGAAAACACATTTGTTTCCATTGAAGCAGATTTCATCCTGTCATTTTCTTGTAATTATCTAAACTTTAAACTTTTTGCTAAGTTTGCACAGATAATTATGTGCAGTGAGGAAAACTAAATGGAACTTTACAATAAAATTATATCTCGTTTAGGTGAATTATCAGTGAGATACAATCAGAGTTTACTTAAAAAAAATCAGAAAACATCACCAGCTAGCCCCAACCAGCATGTCTATTCAAACCGATAGCCTGAATTCTGTCCTGATCTTCTTAGGGTTATTTGTAAAATGCTGACACCCCTTTAGTATATAATGCCAATAGCTTAATGAGAACTTATTGCACTAATCCACTAATGCTTAATTCAGGGACTCTTGCCCTTCAGGCCAACATAGAATTAATAGCAGTGCTGCATGTTAAAGAAACCTGTGTTCTGCTATCATTGCAGGAAGTAAGGGAATCATAGCAGAAAGGCAGACTTTCCTTACAGGTAGCTTTTAAAATTAGAGTATGAATTTACAAAACAAATACAGGGACCATTTTAAATGGTTCATGGGTACATTTCACTGATTTAAAAAAAAAAATAATCATCAGCCCTAGCCAGTCTGGCTCTGTGGATAGAGTGTCGGTCTGTGGACTGGAGGGTCCTGGGTTCGATTTTGGTCAAGGGCACATGCCTGGGTTGTGGGCTCGGTCCCCAGTAGGGGGTGTGCAGGAGGCAGCCAGTCAGTGATTCTCTCTCATCATTAATGTTTCTCTCCTTCTCCCTTCCTCTCTGATATCAGTAAAAATATATTTTAAATAGTAATCATCAGTATTTTAATAATATTTCTGAAGGATAGAGGAAGTCATACTTATGGTGTTAGAATCAACTGTCAACTTGGCATAGTAACAGTAGCAAAGTGTCCTGAGAGGACACAGTGGCCCCTGCATTCCCCTGGGGCTTTACATACTGCAGAGCACTTAAGAGCCGGGGTTCTGCAACCAGCCTGTCTGCATTTGAATTCTGCCTCTGCTAGAATTCTTACTGTTTGTCCTTGGAAAGGTCTGTGTTCCTCAGTTTCCCCAGAGAAAAGCTGACAGTGATTGTGCCTACCGCAGTAAATGTGAGCTGGACTGTTGTCCTTATTCCTGATAGACATTTGAAAGTTAGAAAAATTCAATAGCAAAGCCAGATTTGAACTTGATCTGAATTCAAAATGTGAGTTCTTTCAACCTCCTAAATCCTTAACACATGCAGATGATTATCTTGGAGAATGGAATTTGATCCTAAGAAACTATTTGATTTCTGAAGTTTTGTTTACACAAACAGCATTGTATTTCTGTGATAGGGGGTGTGTTCAGGTTTTCTGCTGACATTCCCTTGTGGCACAAATATGATGCTCAGTGCACGTTAACAAGACTGAAGGAGTAATCAATCACACAGTGAGCCTCCAGCAGAGTTCTCTGACGCCTAATTACACCTTATTCCAAAATAAAGATGCGGCTTTTTGAGTTACCTTGTTTGTTTACATGTTTATTTTTCTGGGTATTTACTTATCTACTTTATTTTAGGTTGATGCTTCCACTCAGAAAAGTGAAGACAGTGAGACATTTGATGTGGAACTCACTAAAAATGTCCAGGGATTGGGAATTACCATTGCTGGTTACATTGGAGATAAAAAACTAGGTAGTTTTAAACATTGATATGTTTTTTTAACTTGACAATTGCCTCTAATGTAATTACCTTATGCGTTATTGAATCATATTTATATATTTTTATATTATTGGATAAACAGATTGAAAACTTTTCTAGGAACAACTTAATGTATGTGATTGTGATTTTGTATTTATGAGACAAAACCATTGTCTCATCCTCTGGCCTAAGTTTCTACTACTGGTTTTGTTTGTGTGGCTTGCTGATGTATATTCCCTCAAAATTAGGACTGTATATTTGGATACTAGAGGATGGATATTATTTAGTTGAGTGATTTTCATAAATAATAAAAAACACACAACTATTTCCAATCTTAGAACCTTCAGGAATCTTTGTAAAGAGCATTACGAAGAGCAGCGCTGTGGAACATGATGGCAGAATCCAAATTGGAGACCAAATTATAGCAGTGAGTAGCACATTTAATTTTGCTTTGTTTAATTGTCATCGTTGAGAAGTGCATTCTCCTCCTTTACTCAGTTTTGAGAACTACATTTAGCTTGATACTAATTTAAGCTTGCTTTGTTAATTTGACTCTCATTACAATGATCGGTTTTATTATTTTTTGGAATTAAGAGCATTCAATAGAAGCTTTACCGATTTCACCTCTCAAGGTGGGACTTCATTTGTGAATGATTTATGACATATCAGATTTCTGGTTATAACATTAATATAATAGTTATACATTGGTTACTAGTACATTCATATCATAGTTAGACTGTAGTTGCAGACACCCAGGTAAAGACCAGTTGTCATAGCCTCTGGTTTGCTTGCATCTGAATTTGGGATGTTTGCATTTTCTTCCTTAGGTTAGCAGAACGACACTGTTATTGTTGACTCCATCACCAAGGCTACTTTTAGCTCTAAGACTATACAAGAATACAGAAAAGATACAACCTCTCTAATTAATCAACCCACCATTCTTACTGTAGTAACATCACTAGGCTTTGAGCACATGGCTGTTCAAGGCAGTGTACAAAAGGATCTAACTTCCAGTTCAGTGTTCGCTGGAAACGGGACTACCTAACTCCTTCTGAGAACACAAACCCCAAAGACCCTGCAAAGAGGGCTTCCTGGTTAAAAACTTCAGGAAAAACTGCAGGCGATATACTCTCTTAGGGATTCACAATGGACATGGAAAAAAAATCAAAGACTGAGAAGTTCTGCAGAAGAGAAACTTGTTTAACTCTTTTACATAAGTATTTCCTAAACTTCTTTAATATGGTTTCTTTCTATCTTCAAACACATGTTAATATCCTTTGGAAGACATTTTGAGGAATTCCAGTTTATTTTAATACTGGAGGCCCAGTGCACGGATTAGTGCACATTGAAAGGAAATTAATTAGAAGGTGGCCAGTGGGGCGAGACTAGGTGAGATGGGCTGGACACGCCCTGGAGCCAACTTCCCGCAGTCCCTCCCCAGCCTGCTGCACCTGGGGTGACACCGGGGCTCGAAGGGTATCTGCAGAGTGAGCAGGGTCCCTACAGCACGTGGGGTCCCTCAGCCTGGCCTGCGGGGATCGGGCCAAAACCAGTAGTCCGACATTCCCTGGGGCGTCCTAGAGTGTGAGAGGGCACTCTGCAAAGATGCTGTTGCTCAGTGGCTCCTGTGTTGAGCATCTGCCCCCTGGTGGTAAGAGCGCATCATACCTAATGGCCAGTCACTTAGCCATATATATATATATATATATATATATACACACACACACACAAGAGGCCCGGTGCACAAAAATTTGTGCACTTGGGGGAGAAGGGGGGGGTCCCTCAGCCCGGCCTGTGCCCTCTTGCAGTCTGGGACCCCTCGGGAGATAACGACTTGCTGGCTTAGGCCTGATCCCGGGTGGCAGAGGGCAGGCCCAATCCCTAGGTGCAGCCCCTAGTCGGGCTCAGAGCAGGGCTGATTGGGGAGTTGGGGCACCACCCCCTGTCATGCAGAGAGCAGGGTGGATCGGGAGGTTGCGATGCCACCCTCAGTCATGCTCAGGGTAGGGCCGATTGTGGGGTTGGGGCACCGCCCCCTGTCACACTCAAGGCAGGGTCGATGGGGAGGTTGCGACGCCACCCCCTGTCACGCACAGAGCAGGACCAATCAGGCGGTTGGGGCACTGCCCCCTGTCACTCACAGAGCAGGGCCCATCAGGGGGGTTGGGGCTCCGTACCCTGTCACTCACAGAGCAGGGTCGAACAGGGGGTTGGGGATCTCCCCCCTGTCACGCACAGAGCAGGGCCGATCAGGGGGTTGGGAAGCTCACCCCTGTCATGCACAGAGCAGGGCCCATCAGGGAGTTGGGGCGCCGCGCCCTGTCACACTCAGGGCAGGGCCGATGGGGAGGTTTTGGCTCTACCCCATCACACACAGAGCAGGGCCTGTGGGGGGAGGGAGGGTTGGGGCCCCGCCCTCTATCACCCACAGAGCAGGGCTGATTAGGGGGCTGGGCCGCTGCCACGGTCACACTCAGGGCAGGGCCAATGATGAGATTATGGCTCTACCCCGTCACACACAGAGCAGGGCCCATGGGGGGGGTTGGGGCGCTGCACCCTGTCACACACAGAGCAGGGCCGATCAGGGGGTTGGGGAGCTCCCCCCTATCAGGCACAGAGCAGGGCTGATCAGGGGGTTGGGGTGCCTTCCCCTGTCACGAACAGAGCAGGGCGGATGGCCCCGCCCCCTGTCACACACACAGCCTCAGGGTGATCAGGGGGTTTGGACGCTGCCCCCTGTCACGCTGATCCCGGTGCTGGGAGGCATATTACCCTTTTACTATATAGGATAGAGGCCTGGTGCATGGGTGGGGGCCGGCTGGTTTGCCCTGAAGGGTGTCCTGGATCAGGGTGGGGGTCCCCACTGGAGTGCCTGGCCAGCCTGGATGAGGGGATGATGGCTGTTTGCAGCTGGTCACACACCCTTCAGGGTGGGGGTCCCCACTGGGGTGCCTGGCCAGTCTGGGTGAGGGGCTGAGGGCTGTTTTCAGGCTGGCAGGTGACTGAAGCTCCCAACTGCTCTTTTTTTTCTTTTTTTTATTCTGGGCCAGCTTTAGCTCTGAGGCTTGGCTCCAGCTCTTAGGCCTCGGCTGCTGAAAGCAGGTATCTGGTTTGTTTGGGTTCTATAATCGAAACACTGTTTCAACTCCAGCTCTGAGATCCCGGCTGGCTGAAAGCAGGTTTCTGGGGTTTTGTTTAGCTTCTATATTTGTAACAATGTTTCAAACTGCAAGCTCAGAGGCCGGCAGCGGCAGGTGGGGAACGTTGGCTTCTTCCGTCACTGAAGCAAGCAAGCCTCATGTTTGCTTCAAGCTGCCTGGCTGCCGGCCGCCATCTTGGCTGACAGTTAATTTGCATATCGCCCTGATTAACCAATGGGAAGAGTAGCGGATGTACGGCTAATTACCATGCTTCTCTTTTATTAGATAGGATGTGTTTGTTTAATCTTAATTAAGTATCTGTGGTTTCCTTGGGAATGTAAGAAAGTAGAATGTTAGGATAGAATAGTTCTTGGTCATAGCAGCATTATTCACAATAGCTAAGATAAGGAAGTAATGTTGGTGTCCTTCGATGGATGAATAGATAAACAAAATGTGATGTATATACAATGGAAAATTAATGATACAAAGAAGGAAATTCTGCCACATCCTACAACATGGATGAACCTTGAGGACATTATGCTAAGTAAAATAAGCCAATCATAAAAGGACAAGTACTATATGATTCCACTTACATGAAGTGCCTAGAGTAGTTAAAATCATACAATCAGAAGGCAGATTGGTCGTTTTGAGGGATTGGGTGGAGGGGGAAATGAGCAGCTGCTGTTTAATGGGTACAGAGTTTCACCTTGCTGGATGAAAACATCTGGAGATCTAGTGTATGACAGTGTGAATATACTTAACACTCCTGAACTTTATGTATAGTTAGAAAAGTTTAAGACAGGGGTGGGCAAACTTTTTGACTCGAGGGCCACAATGGGTTCTTAAACTGGACCGGAGGGCCAGAACAAAAGCGTGGATGGAGTGTTTGTGTGAACTAATATAAATTCAAAGTAAACATCATTACATAAAAGGGTACGGTCTTTTTTTTTTTTTTTTTTTAGTTTTATTCATTTCAAACGGGCCGGATCCGGCCCGCGGGCCGTAGTTTGCCCACGGCTGGGTTAAGATGATAAGTTTTATGTTATGTGTTTTCTACCATAATTTAACAGGAAAGGTAGAGGTGTCCTTTATCTGTTGCCATTTGCTCCTGTATTCAGCTCCCTGAGTTATGGTGCTTAGTTCTGTAAAACTCCTAACTGCACCTGTTCACCTCTTAATCGACTATAAAGATTGGATGTGCTCGCCTCTGAGCTGGCTGGTTCCTGTAAAGAGCCTTCCCATGGTATCTCCATTTTAACCTACACTGAAAATTAACTACTTTAAGTGTGTTTTTTTTTTTGTTTTTGAGTAAAGGAAAGGAGAGTGAATACAGATTCTAAATACATATTTGATACTGAATTCAAAATTGAAAACACAGCTACGTTTTTTCCCCCTAAGCTGTATAATTTAACTCATTAGAAAGTTTTTAAAAATTCTCTTGAGATACAACTCACATGACATCCAATTTACCCATTTAAAGTGTATAATTCAGTAGTTTTTGGGTACTCACAATTGTGTATCAATTACCACAATCAATTTTAGTATATTTTCATTATCCAATAAAGAAACCCCCATATACACTAGGAGTTACTCCCCAATTCCCCCATCATCTCAATGCTAGACAACTACTGATCTAATTTCTGTGCAGATTTGCCTGTTCTGGACATTTCATGTAAATGGAATCATATAATAAGTGGTAATTTGTGATTAGCTTTTTTTGCTTAGCATAATGTTTTCAAGGTTCATCCAAGTTGTAGCATATAAAAAGAAATTCTTCATTTCTGAATGATAATCCACTGTATGGGTATACCACATTTTATTTATCCATTCATCAATTGATGAGCATCTAGGTTGCTTCCTCTTTTGGGGGGATAATGCCTCTGTGAACTTTCATGTGTAAGTTTTGTATAGATGTATGTTTTCATTTCTTGGGCATATGTTTAAGTTTTAGTAAGCTGCTTTCACCTACAAAATTGCAATACGGAAATGTCTCTTGTAGAGTTTTTAGGAAAACCATATGAGTCATTTATTTTAAATACCTAGTGTAATACTTTGCACCTAAGTGCAATTTGATAAATTAAGCAGATATTTATTAAGAGCCTGAAATGAAGCCCTTACACATTTGAAAGAGTCTCGTAGTAGCTTCCCTCCTTCTTGTCATTCTTTTCATTCTTCTACTAGAGGCCCGGTGCATGAAAATTCGTGCACTCAGGGGGATCCCTCAGCCAGGCCTGCACCTTCCCACAATCCAGGACCCCTCGGGTAGGTTCACTAGGCCTGGCCTGAGATAAGGGCCTATTGGGGCTTTTTTTCCCCCTGCTGCAAGCAGCTGGCCCCACCCCTGCCACTGCCACTGCTTGCCATCTGTGCAGCGCTGCCCGCCTCCCACTTCCGCTGCCACCGGTGGCCTCCCTCTGCAGTTGACAGGTGTGGGGTGCGATGACTTGGCTGGCCTGGGCCTCCCTCTGCCGGGTGATCGCTGGCCAGCTGCACACCTGCCACCGTGGCCTGGGTCTCCCTCTTTCTTTGCTGGGGGGTGGGGCCAGCCCTGCAAGGGGCCATCTGCCTACCTGATTGCCCCTAACCACTTGCCTGCCTACTTGATCACCCTTAACTGCTTGCTTGGGGGGGCCTGCCCGGCGAGGGGCCGTCTGCCTACCTGATTGCCCCTAACTGCTGGCCTGCCTACCTGATCACCCCTAACCACTGGTCTGCCTGCCTGATCACCCCTAACCGCTGATCTGCCTGCCTGATTACCCCTATCCACTCTGCCTGCCTGCCTGATTGCCCCTAACCGCATGCTTGGGGGCAGAGCCAGCCCGGGGAGGGGCCGTCTGCCTATCTGATTCCCCTAACCATTGGCCTGCCTACCTGATCTCCCCTAACTACTTGGCTGTCTACCTGATCACCGGTATTCGCTGGTCTGCCTGCCTGATCGCCCCTAACCACTCTGCTTGCCTGCCTGATTGCCCCTAACTACTTGCTTAGGGCCGGGGCCAGCCCGGCGAGGGGCCGTGGTGGTTCTGGTCTCTGGTTGTTCAGGTCGTTATGCTTATGGTGGCTGGCCTTTTATTATATAAGATAAGTGGAACCTTAAATATAATTTTGCTTAGGCAAGGTCAGTGATAAAGGAAATTGTTGATCCAAAAGTGGAAGCAGCCTTCTTGTGAAATCTTTTTTCTTTTAATAAAATCACTTGTCTTCATTATCATCAATGTTCCGATTTTTGACTTTAAGCAGTATTTTTAGAAGCACCTTAAATGCTTAGGGAACATCATGAAATGCTTTGATTATGCCTTAATTTAGTGCAAAATATCACCATCTTGTGGACTTTTGAGATAGTGGTAGTCAAGTTCTTCACCCCAGTTGTGTTTTCACAACTGCATTTGTTTTTCTCAATGTCTGTTAACATTTTCTAGCTGTCTGGTAACAGCTATTTTGAGCTATACATTATTTTCATTTTATAATTGTTGAGGTGGTGAGAAGAGTAAGAAATCATTTCTTAATGTTTTGAGGAATTATTATTTTATAACATTAAAACTTTTTTGTAGGATTCCTGTTTCACAGATTGTGCTCTAGGGTTTCACTATGATCATACAGGGCAAAAGAATAGAGTAAATGAACACATTTCCCCCCCACTTTACTAGTATATATAGTATGTAAGAATTATATGATAAAAGGACTCTATTTTTAAAGTTGGCCAAACTTGTCATTAAATAAAAACATATACACTCATTTTTTTTAGGTTGATATACAGAGAACTTGGCTAAAAGCAGTATGAGGTAATAATTAATCAAAATATTATTAAACAAGCATGTGAATATGGAAAGATGTCAGATGTTGCCTATGATGTTCTGTGACTTTTTATACATATAGGTATAGGCTGTGTTGGAGGCGGGCGTGGCCAGCTAATTGAGTGTGCTAAGAAACTGGGATTTTTGAATTGTTCCAGCTAGTATTTCTCCCTATAACTGTTCCTGTTAATTGATATATCTGTACTGTGAGAATGTTAGATCTCTTCTTGAGATAGCACAAAGGCATTTTCTGAACTGCAGTCTTGTCTGTGGCACCACTGGATCTGAAGCCACGGCTTAACGCCCTTCCTTCGATAATGAGGGACCAGAGCTGGCCTGGGGCCTGGTTTAGGCTTTGGGGACCTTGTCTCATAGGAATGATGGGTTTAATTATATGGAACAGAAACTGCTCCCATGAAAGCTCGGGATTTTCATGTTTATTAATCACTTCTTCACTCTGCTACTAATAATAACAGTTGATGAGTATCTTCCTGGTCCAGAGTGGCATGCACTGTAAATTTGGGAAGTACCATTATTCCCATATGACAGATGGAGATACTGAGTAATTTGAACTGAATTCTGAAATGGAAAGTCCATGATTATTCCATTATAGCAATTTCTTTGGTGCTACTACCATCTCTGACATTTGTTTTCCTGGGAGATCCTAGTGGAGATATTTGACTTAACTTTACATAGAAAATAGTGGATTTTTCATCTAACTTTGGCCCCTTGTTTCTCAGCAGTTTGTTCCGTAGATTCTTTCTTTTGGGTACCATCGTTCCGAGGGGTACTGGGTCTTTCCATGGGAGTGGCATTCCTCTGGTCTATTTTCCAACAAAGCCAGGTTGTTGAGCAGTTCCCAACATAACAGCACTTTTCTCTTGCTTCACAGTCAAAGCCTTTTTCTTATTCTTCTGGCGGAATTACACACAGTCCCCTGCATCCTTCCCTCCTTGAGGTGACACAGCTCTTCTGAATTGAGGTCAAGGAAGAACCATCTAAGTGGGTGTGGTAGGGATTCAGAACTCTTCTCTCTTTAAAACAAAAACAGGCCTCTTAAATTTTCCCTTATTTTAACAACGCACCTCTTTCATGTCCTAAATGTACACAATGTTTATTTCTTAACCACTTGAATTTAAATTTATTCTTGGTGGCCCCTCTCACAACTTAGTTTAGCACAGGGTATAAATAAGAGTAGCATCTCAACCACAATTTCATTTTCACATACATGACACTGAGTACAAAGCTTTCAGTTCATCATTTCTTTACCACAAATTCTCTGGAGAGCCTGCTTACTCTGCTTCCTAGATGCTGAGGAGTGGAAACAAATATTTTTAATGGTATGAATCCTGGGCCCCACCCTCTAACTGTTAGCTCATAATTTCTAGAAATGAGACCCCATAATCTGTATTAAGCAAAACAAACAAAACCCTCCTGAGTGATTCTAGTGATTGTAAACTAGTACTGGTCCCCAAACAGGCGTCAGCCCATTCCCTGCTAGGGGAATCCTCACTCCCCATTCTTCTCACACTAACAGGCGGTAAATACGCATTTGGTGAATCGGTAATACAAATATCCATTCAATTTTTAACATGTCTTGTTCTTACCAGGTAGATGGTACAAACCTTCAGGGTTTTACCAACCAACAAGCAGTAGAGGTGCTGAGACACACAGGACAGACTGTGCACCTGACACTGATGAGGAGAGGAACGAAACAGGAAGCTGAGCTCCCGGCAAGGGAGGACGTCACAAAAGATGTGGTTTTATCTCCTGCTGATGCCAGCATAAGCAAAGGTAATGCCAAGTTATCTGGTTTTCAGTTACACCCTTATATCATTTCATGTTTTTTTCTAATTCTAAAGTTATTTAAAAAATAGTATTTAGTCTTCACTATTTAGTATGAACCAAGTAAAAAGCAAATTTAATAAAGTTGGGATGAATTGGAGCAAGAATGTGTTCATTAACTGTAGAACGGACTTAAGAATAAAGCAGATTACTTCCTGTCCTATTTATTCAGTCACCATTTCCGAAACATACACAGTCATTTACCTTGCTGTGCCTCCTTACTTTTTCAGTGTCCTCATCATGTTTTCTCCTTAGGCAGAACCTATCTGCCTGGATTATGCATTTGAGCCCCAGGATGTTTCTGACTCCTCAGCCTTTCCTTGAAGGAATGGATTTTAATTTCCCATTTAGAAATGTCGTTGATAACCTGCTTACCCATGAGTATTTCTGGGAAACACTGGCATCCCTATGTAGCTCACTGGGCTCAAGGTTTACTGGTAGAAGTCGGGCTGTTGGTTGGAAAGTGCTGCTTCATTTCTCAAACTGCTAACCATTCTAGTATTTATGTCATAAACTACTTATTACAGTATGAGGAGACAGGGAGGCAAATCACAGGGGAAATTTATTACTTCTTTCTCCCATTAACAAGAAAACGTTCCTTTAAGAATAAGTAGTTATTGAAGAGTTTCCCTACCTAAACAATTTCTTATTTGGGGATTCAAATATATACAGTGGGGTGTGAAAAATTCAAATGCTTCTATAACAGATATAACTACTAACATATTCTTTTCTTTAAGAAAATTATGAAAAAGATGAAGATTCTTTATGTTTGAGGAGAAACACCAGCATATTACCCATTGAGGAAGAAGGTAAACACCTGGAGCAGGTTGTTTTGTTCTTTATATGCTTTATAGATAACTGACTTTTATAAATGTGCATGAGCCTCTATGGACATATTGTAAATTACAGAAGAACACTTTCAAAAAAGAGATCTTTTAAATCCTTATTTATATATATGATTAATTGCTCTAGTAGATTGAAATAGTTCATTGATAGCTGGCATATTTTCTTACTGACTCGATCTTCTACATTTTTTTAAACTAGAACCCTTTGGGACTCAATCAGTAAATACATGGTTTTTATTTCAACCCCCGTATTTCTATACAGCCAACATATGTCTATCTTAATGAACAAGCAAACATAAAATTATAAAGCATATTTAAAATAAATACCAGGGAATCTGTAAAGCTGTAAAGCTACTAGGAATGAAACTGTCCAATTTGGGAGGCTTTTTCGTCTCCATTTTTTAAAACTTTAATATTGGGAAACTTTAATATTGGGAAATTGGTTCTGAAAGGAATATTAGAGAGAAATTAGATTTCTTTCACTTATAAACCTGGGATCCATGAAGCTGCTTAAACATTTTTTAGAGTAACATTGTTTTAATATGTAATTATGCCTGAGTGTTGTGGTGATCTTTTTAGCCTGGGAGCTATGTGCCTCCCTTCTCTGTCAGGTTGCTCTCGGTAGTTTAGTAACTTAAATCCACTGAGCAAAGAACGAGACTGCTCTCCCTTCATTTGAATCCCATCCTGCACGAAATAATTTTATTGAAGCTTTGTAGTTCTTTAGAATACCTACTGCTCCATTATTAAATTATTTTTTGCTGACATTTTTTATTGACCTTTATTATTTTAAAGCAGTGTTTGTGTTTGCAAAGATATACCTGCAGTGAGATGTGTAAGATTCACTGGTGTTAATTGCATTCTGCCATTTTTACACTAATTGGTGAAGAAATTATTTAGGCTAAAGTGTAAGTTATTATCAGGAGTAGGGAGAAAGGACAAAAATGAGATAGTAAGTGAGGATGGATGTGGGCATTGTCTGGAAGCTCAGACCACGTAGTTGGCTTTGTGTGCAAGGATAGATGGGTGAGGCTCTAGACTGAGAATCAAGGCCCCCAAATTCCTTTGGAAAAATGTGTGTTCTGATGCATCTATGCTAGTGGTTGGTCCCTAGACAAGGGAGTAAGTTGCCACCTCCAAAGAAATTTGACTCATTGTGTGAGCCTGGATAAGTCACAGTCACTTGACTCTCAGTAAGGTCAGAGGACTGGACTTCATGATTTTTAAAATCTGTCTGACATATTGACTTGGGGCAGTTAGGGAAGGAGGAGAATGGGGGATTGTGCATGTGGGTTGTATGAAGAAAGATCTCACATTTGTTAGTAGCCAGAATACAGATTCCCCACTTTTTGCATTCAGAAGCCCATCCTGTTTGAATCACTACCCAGCTCTGTATGGACAGCAGAATCAGAGAAAGGGGGGTGAGTGAGGAGGTAGGGCTCTGAGCTGACTCCTCTTTCCAACCCTTAACAAGTTGAAAGAATCTGTGTTCATCCCTGCGTGGTGATTCTCTCTGGACTGAATTGAATTTTGGAAAGAACACACTCATTTGGGTGGGCTAGTCTGAAGCTGGGGGGAAATATATATATATATATAATTGTTTTCAATTTCTCAAAGAGAAACCGATTCATTTTATTAATTCAAGGCATAACATGTGCAGAATAGACCTAGAGTGAAAGCTTATTAATTCCGTTAAATAGGAGGCAGTTGAGAAATCTGATTTTTACAACACTCTTTACATTTGAAATTTGAATGCTAACAAGGATATTAAAATTTTTTTTAACATTTTTTTTAATATATTTTATTGATTTTTTACAGAGAGGAAGGGAGAGAGATAGAGAGTCAGAAACATCGATGAGAGAGAAACATCGATCAGCTGCCTCCTGCACATCTCCCACTGGGAATATGCCCGCAACCCAGGCACATGCCCTTGACCGGAATCGAACCTGGGACCCTTCAGTCCACAGGCCGACGCTCTATCCACCGAGCCAAACCGGTTTCGGCAAGGATATTAAAATTTTAACTTAGAGTGTGCCTTGTAGAGATTTTTTTAAAAGACAACCTTCATGAGGATGAACTATGATGAAATATGGAAATATTTGAATATGACTTGCAAATTCTTTTCAACCATTTTCTTACTTTAGCTAAATATTTTAATTCAATAGTGTTTACATAATTTGTTTAGTGAATTTCTTTCCAATTTTTTTTTCTTTTTACCAATTAGTGCAATTCCAATTATGGGGTTTTATTTTAATGTGCACTCTGTTTCTCAAGTTTTTCTTATTTTTATACTCATTGTACATGGAGTTGCATATATTCTTTGTTAATTTCTTCTGTCTGTTTTTGTTAAGGTGTGGCTTGGTTCTTCTTTACTCTGTAGAACCAATTGAAAATGAAGTAGATAAACTAACATAAAAGGCAGCATGGTTTTTGACTGTAGAGACACAAAAGACCACCAAGTGAAACCTGGAGGGACTCGGGGCTCTGGTTCTTTTAAATACATGTCAGATAATATATGGATACTTTATTGGAAATGTGGTCAAGATTTAAAAGACTTCTCAGAAAAGAAAGTAGTGTTTGAACGTGCAGATGTTAGGGTTCTAAATATGTAGAGAAGTAGAGTATCTATTGGGTGATGAGTCAGACTTTGTATGATAGACAGGTTCTGATCTCCCCTGGTACAGAATGTTAAAATAAGGATAATTTTTGTGGTTTGTCACTGACTTAATTGTGTTGACTCTTTTAGGGTATCCCTTGCTGTTGGCTGAAATAGAAGAAATGGAAGATGCACAGCAACGGGAAGCTGCCCTGCTGAAAAAGTGGCAAAGGATTATGGGAATTAATTATGAAATAGCGGTAGGTTACCTTACCCTCCCCAACTTCCTCACTTGTAACTGTATTTGATGAAGAAGTTCATGAGAGCAATGAAAGTGTTGGTCATACAGAGTCTTTGAGAAATAGCAAATGTCCAGCGTTTTTTTTTTTTAAGAGATCTAAGTGTGCTGACTCAGGTATTTAAAAAATTCAATTTGGAGAAAGTTTGATTGTAACCAGGGAACTGAAATAAATGGCATTGAAGTTTTAGAACTCATAAATCATCAATATTTTAGTATTCCTGGTGGTAGTATATCTTATATAGATACTAGGAAGGTTGTTTTTCTGATTATTAAACTTGGGATTCATAGAAAGAATCAGAAAACAATGACAGTGTTCACTTAAAGATAAAAATGAATCATGACCTATATACAAAATTGTAAAAGTACTTTTTCCTATTATCACTCTCATGTATTTATTTTCCTTAAGAGGTGTGTACTTCTGTCCGCTTTTTTCATATCACTTACGCCATATTGAATGTTTTATGTTTATTAATAGTTTGCATAGCTAGGATAGCAATTATCATTTGCTTCCTAAAAAGAGGTTTAACAAGGGTGACACACATTACCAGCCTTTAGATGTGCACCTGCAAATTTCAGGGATTTCAAAAGGAAAATGTAATACTAGATTAGTTTGAATTTCTCTTATTGCTTATAATATTCAAGTAACTCTAGATTAGAAGAGATAAAAGACAGCAGATTTCATATATTATTAATAACTAACATTTATTGAGCACTTTGTGCCAAGCAGTATTCATTGAATACTCATGACAATGATCTTTTTTTTAAATACTCAAGATGTTTAACTGTCAGTTAAGAAATGAGTAAGTACAGCTGTTATTACCATTTTAAATTGCACTGAGGAAAAAATACAATAAAGTGCAGCTTCACTGTTGTTAATTTAACATGAAAAGAAAGTTGAGATGTTCCATCTATGAGGAAGCTGGCTTGCATAACTGAGACTGCACCTCTTCTGCTGGTAACTGAATAGTGAAGGGAACCTTTTGACTAGGCAAGTGTTGACTAGTCAGATGTCAGACCTGAGGCTGGGACCTTTTAATGGCCTTTGTGCACATCTCACTCCCAATCTGTCAAGGACACAAGTGTGCTGTAAGTAAAAAAGAATTAAGCTATTTACTGGCTCTCAACAAAAGTAAATTAGACATAGATCTGACTTTAAATATTCGGCGACATAGTTATACAGCATAGATGTAATCATTGTGGGGAGTGGTGCAGCAGAAAGGAGGATTGATGGGCCTTGTGAGTGGGGTCCTGGAAGACTTTTAAAGACCAGTGTTGTCCCTCAAAACCACATAAGTGAGAAGTGTGGGCTCTAGGTTCAGACAGCTGAGGTTCAAAGCTCTTTTCTAGCTGTGTGACTGTGGTTAAGGTAACCTCTCTGGGAAACGAGGATAGAAACTATATCTATTCCTGAGAAGAAAATGAGATTATCTGTGTAGTGGGGTTAGCACAGTCCCTGGCACAAAGTAAGCGCTAAGTGGGTGTCTTTCCTATACTGTTGTTTGAGCTCAGGTGTTGGTTTTATCTGTAGCAGTTTACACTACCTTCCATCCTTATCAGTGTCTATAGGCACAGCAAAGCATCTGAGGTTCTTGCATCTCGCTGCTTCCTTTTGGTTTCTGTTGGTTCATGAAACTGACAGATAATCAGTACTCTTTCAAAGGAAAAGCTTTGCTACTTTATAATGTTTTTGAACTTTTGCGAGAAACTTGATCTGCTTTGAGCAAACATCTATATATATATCCATATATATAAAAGGCTAAGCGACCATCCAACCAGCCTGTAGGTATGACACAGACTGACCACCAGGGGACAGACACTCAATGCAGGAGCTGCTGAGCTGCAGTGACTTGGCAGTGGCGGTTCTGGGGTGATGCACCCTGGAACCAGGGGGGAGGGGGCCCAATTCCTCACAGGCCCACACAATTGCACCTTTGGCTGAGGGTTTTATTGTTGCTGGAGCACCGTCGGCCCAAATCTGGTTTACTGCACACTTGCGTTTGCATTCCACACCCTGTACAACAGCAACTTTGCAGAGTGCTCTCTGGTACTCTGGGATCCCTCAGGGGATGTCAGAGAACAGGTTTTGGCCCAATACCCGCAGGCCAGGCCGAGGGACCCCACCTGCCAGAAGGACCCTGCTCACTCAGCAGAAGCTCTTTGAGCCCCGGCGCTACCCCAGGTGCGACCAGTGGGGGAAGAAACCAAGGGAGGTTGGCTCCAGGGCATGTCCAGCCCATCTCGCCCAGTCCCCTCACCATCAGCCACCCTCTAATTAATTTCCTTTCAATGTGCACAAATCCATGCACCGAGCCACTAATAAAATACATATTTGAGAATTAAAAAATAAAAGATATTAGAACTGTGATGATTTTTATGTTTTTAGGTGGCCCATGTGAGCAAGTTCAGTGAGAGCAGTGGTTTGGGGATAAGTCTGGAAGCAACAGTGGGACATCATTTTATCCGATCTGTTCTACCGGAAGGTCCTGTTGGACACAGTGGGAAGCTTTTCAGTGGAGATGAGCTATTGGAGGTAAGAGCTATGCCATTTTACCCTCCCTCCCCAAAGAGAATTCTTAAAAGGCTGCAGGAGGTTTCATGGTGAATAATTAAGTTCTTATTTAAATTTCCCCTCTAAAGGATACTCAAGGGAGATCTACAAATAAAATTCCACCCAAAGCAGAAATTTCAAATCTATATTTGGACTAATTTTCAGATGTATTCCATGCTGAGTTTGTTTTAATTAAAGAGAACTATAAAAACTTCTTTAAAATTTTTAAAACATTTATTCAATTTGTAGAATATGTAATAACATTTACATATTTCAAAATCACAAAGAATGCAAAAGCTTTACAATAAAAAGCCTTTTTCCTATTCCAATTCACCCAGTTCCTATCTCCCTTCCTTAGTTAACTAATTACATTTGTGTCTGGGCAACCTTCTGGATATCTTTAAGCATAAATACGAAATATGAATGTATTCTTTTGCCTCGCTTTTATAAAAAGCATGCTAGTGCATAATATGTGCCATTTTCCATTTTGACATTTTCACTTAATAATAATATAAAATGTAAATTTTTAAAATAATCCCTTTTCCCATTCTTCCTTTGGGGAAGTTTTTATTAACTCTTCCTTCCAAACTACTACTCTGGGAGATCAAACATGGATGCAAGCTAGTGATTTTTCTGAGTGCTGCAGAAGGTCCAAATCCAACAGACTCTAACCTTGTGTGTAAAACATTTTGAATAGTATTGTTAGGAGTCTAATTACAGTTCTGAGTACAGGAGAACTGTGGTAATAGTAAAATTTATATTTACTTAATGAAAAATTGTTCTCTAAAGAATATTCATGCTGTGAAATGTTCTTTCTTGGACAACTTCTCTTTTTCCTCAGGTGAATGGCATAACATTGCTTGGGGAAAATCACCAAGATGTGGTGAACATTTTAAAAGAGTTGCCTATAGAAGTGACCATGGTGTGCTGTCGTCGCACTGTGCCACCCACCACCCAGTCAGAATTGGATGGCCTGGACCTATGTGACATTGAACTAACAGAAAAGGTATTGGATAATGGATATGAGACTAATCTGAATATATAATGGAAAGGCTAAATGGTGTTTGAAATTTTTTTAGGCCTGTTTTCTTTTATTTGGTGTTTGGTTTCCTTACATTGTGCCATGGCTTATAAGATAAACCTCGGAGTCAGACAGACCTGGGTTTGAATCAGGCTTGGCATTTCCTAGCCTCTGGGACCTTGGGCAAGTCATTTCACTTTTCTGAATCTCAGTTTTTTCCTCTGTGCAATGTAAGTCATGTTGCCTGTCTTGGAGCATTACTCTACAGCTAAAATAAGGTCTTATATGGATATTTTATTTCATTGCCCATGATATGCTTATATAATTTATTCATACTACTAGTATGAAGTCCCCATTCATGGAGCAGAAAATTGAAGTACATAAATAGTGAGTATATACTGTCTATGTGGTGAGTGATACTTTTATGTAACCTACTGAGCTCAGGGCCTGGCACACAGTTACTGCTCAGGGAATGGTTAAAATATGGATGGACACATCGTTTCTGCATGTGTTGGTCTTATTTGCACACTATCAATAACTTTAAAAAATGAGAAATTTGAACTCGTAATACTACGTCAGATAATACTCTGTGACATCCAGAAATTCCCATTTTTCTGTTTGCTCATTCTTTTCCATTCAGATCATAATGTCAAGAAATGGAGCTCATTGGCCTTTCCAAAGATTCACAGTAGATATCTGAAGTTATGAATTGGACTTTGTATATTTGCAATCTAATTGAAATCCCTTTTAAGATATAATTAGAGATGATGTTAGGATTTGATTTACATTATACTGAGGGAATCAGTAAAATGAGATAATTTTGAAAACTTTGAAGAATAAAGTGTATAGTTTAATATTCACATGGGTGATTAGAACAGGGTAGAATAATAAACGTAAGTCCAAATTGTAGTTATGTAGTACCCCACATAACCATACACATTTTTATGTGATATAAATGTGATTAGTACAATAAAACAAGTGGACAGACTTGCATCCATGGTCCTAGGCTATTCAATAATTGAATAAAAGTGAAGAGAGTGTGCAAACTAGAATTTAATGTATTCTTCTAGATTAACAGCTGAATTAATCTAGAGTCACTTTAATGTATTTTTATCAAAGAAGCTAACAGTTTGAGCCTCTGTTTCTGTACCAGATGATTTATCATCGTTACCTCATTTAATCTTCAGAAATGTATGAGATGGGTAGTTATGAAGCCCAGGTTAAGAATATTGCTCAAGGCAGCATATGAGAAATCCTAGAGACAATTTTCAAGCCCCAGCCCTTCTGACTTCCAATCTTGTCTGGCAACTGAGCACGTTAATTTATTAATGAAAGAATCTTGTGAACAAGACGGGTGCATAAAACATGGAACTTTTACATTGAGCCATTTCTTCATGAGTTTTTATTTATCATAATTACTTTTTATCAAAATAGCTTACTGTTTTTCTTCTGTCTAGGGAGGTGATTCAGACACTGATGAAATAAGTGCAAATCACCCACAGTCATGCTCTGAGATGTAACTGTTGTATTTATATATATTTTGTTAATCCTCACAGGAGGATATTTTTCCATTGATTTTTTTAGAGGGAATAGGGGTGAGAGAGAGAGAGAGAGAGAGAGAGAGAGAGAGAGAGAGAGAGAGAGAGAGAAGCATCTATGTGAGAGAGACACATTGATTAGGAGCCTCCTGCTTCTGCCCCGACTGGGGCCAGAGATCAAACTTGCAACCTGGGTACATGCCCTTGATCAAGAATTGAACCTGAGACACCGGTGAACAGGTTGAACTCTAACCACTTGGAAACACTGGCCTGTGCCCTTTGAATATTTTTATGTAAGATCTTTAAACCATACTTTTTTAAAAAATATATTTTTATTGATTTCAGAGAGGAAAGGAGAGGGAGAGAGATGTAGAAATATCAATGATGAGAGAGAATCATTGATCAGCTGCCTCTGGCAATGCAGGCATGTGTCCTGACTGGGATTCCAACCATGACCTCCTAGTTCATAGGTCTACGCTCAATCATTGAGCCATGACAGCCTGGTGCATACTTTTTTTTTTAATCTCAGAGGGAAGAGGGGGGTAGGTAATTAACCAAAAAACTTATATGCATAACCCACGGACACATACAATATTGCAGTAGGCCTGGGGGGTAGAGTGAGTGCGGGGTGGAGGAGGTCAGGGGGGAAAAAGAGGGGGAGATCTCCAATACTTTAAAAAATATATATATAAATTTCCAAAAGAACCATATAATTTTAACGCCTGTCATAAGTTAGGCATTTCTTCTTGCCTAATAACTTTCAGTAACTATGACCTTAATTCCTAAGGGTTTCCTGATAAGCTGTTGCTACCCTTATTTGAGAGTACTTTTTTCTGGAAAGACACTGAGAATCTCACTTTTTCCTGTAGTGCTGTTATGTGTATCCTCTCACCTAGTGCCTCTGAAATAAGAGCTGTCTGGTCTGTCACCAGCCTCATGTAGATCTTGGCGAGTTCATCGGGTCTTCTGAGACCGAGGAGCCTGCGCTGGAGATGCCCGATGTGGGTCGGGATCCAGGGAAGGTTCACGGACCTTTGGCCATGTGGGAGGCGGACGTTCAGCACATTGAGCTGGAGAAAGGCAGCAAAGGACTTGGCTTTAGCATTTTAGATTATCAGGTAAATCTGACTTTTAACAGTTTTTAAAAATTAAAGATGATATATACAAAGACATGTTGATAGAGAAAAGGCAGATAATATTTTAGTCATCAAAGGCATTTTCTTATTCCTAGGAAAACCTTCAAAATAGTAATTTATATGATTCATTGATTATCTTAAAGGATTTTTTTAAAATATTGAATTCCTTGAGCTCTTTTATATTGTAACTCTTGAGGAATTTCGTAGAAATATCATTTTGTTTTGTTGTTTTGGACATTGGGGAGTATGTCCAAACTATTTTTATTTCCATGCACTTAATCAATGGTTCATATTTTAATGTTAAGACAGAAAGTATTAGATATTTATTGTGTCTGAAGTGAATAAGAGATTTATAATTGGCTATATTATAAATTCCAGCATTCCTATCCTTTGACTAAATTTATGAATAAGCTTAAATTGGTCAAATGTGACTGCATCCTTACCTTGCATTGTGTTCTGTAGTGTGAGTAGCTGAGGGAATGCTGCAGCCCGTTGGATAGACACAGCTGTTGCTCCTCATTAATTAATACTGAGCCAGTTGCCATCTCCGATGACTCCTCTGGGTTGTGTCGTTCACAGGGCCTGATTCTGGAGCCTTGTGCTGATACTAACGTTGCTGTATATCTTACACTGCATCACCAAATTCTGTACGGCCTCTCTTTACACTTCCTTATTTCAAGAGAGAGGCCCTACCTTTAGTATACTCACAACTACTGATGCTCCAGAGCCGTTATTCCCTATTAAACAAACGCTGGTGTTAATAATTCATATATCTGACATCTGTCTACCCTCAGATGATAGTTACAACATTTGACAAACGTTAAAATTATTTTCAACTTACCTGTGTACAATTTGAAAGGTCGACTCAGGAATGATGCCAAGAGAGGGAGCTTGTTTAGGGTGATTTCTTCCTAAACTCTAGAAGGGAACCTTTGCCCAGATAATTCATTAGAAGGGTTGATGAACTTTTTTAAAGACACCCATCCATTACAGTTCAGGGGGAGCAGCCTGTGCACATATTTCCCAGTGTAAAATGGAGCTGCCTGTTCTGTCCTTTTTCCTTCTGTCAGGACCCTGTGGATCCAGCCAGCACTGTGATCGTAATTCGTTCTTTGGTTCCTGGTGGTGTTGCTGAAAAGGATGGACGCCTTCTTCCTGGGGATCGCCTCATGTTTGTCAATGACGTGAACCTGGAGAGCAGCAGTCTCGAGGAAGCTGTGCAGGCCCTGAAGGGGGCCCCGTCAGGCACGGTGAAAATAGGAGTTGCCAAGCCTTTACCCGTAAGAATTTGGATTTTACTGATTCTTTTCAATATTTCCAAATAAAATGGCTTCTGCGCTTATTTTTAGCTTCACATGTTCTTATGATGAATCATGACTTTTGGTACTTTTTATAAACACAATTGTTACTGGCTTTTGAGAATAAAAATTTAATGTTGAGTAAGATTTTTTTAAAGGAAATAAAACAGGAAGTTCAGAAATAAATGGGTAACATTGTTTTGTGCTTCATTTTTCACCTTTTGTATTTGATCATAATGTCATGATAATACAGAATGAAATATTTTCAAAGAAATAATGCCTTAAAATATCCATACCAATACAGTAGAGTATTAGAGAAATTATCAGCATTAACAACTAGCAGCAGAATGTGTAATTTGGGTGGGATAAAGTAGACTCTCTGTAGAGTGGCTTGAGGTCCTACATTCTGTCAATTTCAACACAGTTGTTGTCTAATTACTGCAAAGCAAGAAATTGAACTTTCCAAAGTGGATTCATCAGCGTGTGGCTTCCTGAGGGATGGAAGAGCCCTCATGTCATTAATTATTGCAATATTAAAAATAACTAATGACATGCTTACATAATGCCAATACGTTTAGTAGGTAAAGTGATTGCAACACAGCACTTACCAGTAAGACTGAGTTGCAGTGAAATCTGAGAGACATTCTCACTCTTTGGGAGTTTTTTTGTTTGTTTGTTTGTTTTTCAGTGTATAAATGTATTCTTAAGTGAAAGGGCAAATACTCCTCCTAAGAAACCACAGACACATGGATATATTTGCATAAACATCAAGGAAAAATTTGTTGACTGAAATAGTAAGCTTTCTTATTGTTTTAAATGTTAATTACATTTTTTTTTGTTCTTCACTTTTTATTCCACAAAGAATTAGAAACCTATGAAAATATATTTATAAAAACAGAAAGAGGGAGAGGAAGGGAGGGAGGAAGAATATGTTAATGTAACCTGAAATCAAACCAGAATTGTAGAAATTACAACAGAAGACCGATATGAGGGGGGATATAAAAATGAAGATAAGCCATTGGGACTCTGCATATACAGGGTGCGGCAAAAGTGGGCTTACAGTTCTTCATATGGAAAATAATATAATCAATAAATAATAGTACAAGAAGAAACTCTGTGTTTCACATACTCATGACTCAAACCTACTTTTGCTCCACCCTGTATGTTAAGATTGACCATACATTTGGTTCTAGTCTTATTGTTCAATAAAGAAAATGGCAAACATTAATTCCATATATGTTTTTACTGCTCTTAGGAGGATCCATGCCAGTTATTAAAAAGCATACTGTTTTTCCCTAGCTAGTTCCAAAATAAATTTCTTTCATGAGAATGTTAACTATTTCAAATTCCATATGCATTGCAATAATATGAAAAATATCTTTTTATAAAGAGAAGTGTACTACCTACTAACTCATATTTGTGGAACAAGAAGAGAAACTTTTTTTCCTAAAACACTTTGGTATGTAATTGATGATACGAGGTGATGTAGGCATGACAGTTATCTAAGTACTAGAGGTCCGGTACATGAAATTCATGCACTGGGGGGGGGGGGGGGGCGTCCCTCAACCTGGCCTATGCCCTCTCGCAGTCCTGGATCCTGTGGGGGATGTCCATGGAGAGTGGGCCTAACCCAGCAGTCGGACATCCCTCTCACAGTTTAGGAGCCCTTGCTCCTTATCACCTGCCTGCTTGGTGCTCCTTACTACTTGGCTCGCTGCTCCTTAGCACTGCTGTGGAGATGGGAGAGTCTCCTACCACCACGGCTGCGCTCACCAGCCTTTAGCCCAGCTTCTGGCTAAGTGGGGCTCCCCCTGTGGGAACTCACTGACCACCAGAGGCAGCTCCTGCATCAAGCGTCTGCCCCCTTATGGTCAGTGCACATCATAGCGACCGGTCATTCGCATTTTGGTCGATTTGCATATTAGCCTTTTATTGTATAGGCTATTAGCCTATTTTCTCTGAGGTTGGAATAAAGATGTTAGGTTTCCTGTCAGTGTGTTAAAAGTTGCCTTATTTCTATATTAAGAACTTGTTTAGCCAGAATATTTGTCACATAAAAATGACCAGATGATTACTTTAATATAAAATATTTGTTATATTATTGATTTTGATCATCTTTTATGAGAAGGATGAAAAAACTTAGTTGAAAAGGATTCTTATCTAACAGATGGTGTTGGTATTCAAATAAACTCATTGTATCTTAACAAATACAAATGTTAAATATGAATATTTATCATATTTTATGCTCATCGTTCTATGTTAAAGTCATGTGGTATCATATGAAAACTTTCCCATTTTTTTCTCTCCTCCTTTAACTTTTTCTCCCGCTCCCTCTCCCCTCTTCCCTCTCCTTCCATTCTCTTTTCTTTTCATGATCGCATCCTCACTCGCTGGACTTCATTCTCCCTGCAGCTTTCGCCAGAAGAAGGTTATGTTTCTGCCAAGGAGGATTCCTTCCTCTACCCCCCACACTCCTTCCAGGAGGAAGGGCTGGCTGACAAAGCCCTCTTCAGGGCTGACTTGGCTCTGGTTAGTGGCCACAGCTTTTCAAGCTTTCTTTAAAAAATCTTATGTCTTATTTTATCTTGCAAAATATTCTAAAGTCTTACTGTATTCTTTGTTCATTATATTTGTGAAACGGAACATTTTCTCAACTCCAATAGTTCTAATAATTCAAAATGGGAAGAAAAACAAACCTATGTGAAAACTATTTGTTGGATTCGTGGAAAATTTATTTAGCAAGGCATTATGTCAACAGGTAGAATTAATCTGTACATCATACCAAATGTTGTCGGAGCACTTATTTACTCTCATTTCATACTGAGTCTTCCTAGGCATTCGTTTACTGTTTCAGTATTTAGCCAGAAATCAGCATTTTGCCTGCCTTTTAAGGAGATAACAGGTCTATACTAGAGGCCCAGTGCATGGAATTCATGCACGCGTTGGGGGGGGGGGGTTGGGGGGGACCCTCAGCCCGGCCTATACCCTCTCATAGTCTCGGAGCCCTCAGGGGAAGTCCAACTGACAGCTTAGGCCTGCTGAGCTAAGCTGGCAGTCGGACATCCTTAGTGCTGCTGTGCAAGCGGGAGGGGCTCCCGCCATGGCTGCTGCACTCGCCAGCTGTGAACCCGGCTCAGGGCTTCTGGCTGAGCAGTGCTCTCCTTATGGGAGTACACTGACCACCAGGGTACAGCTCCTGCGTTGAGTGTCTGTGCCCTGGTTGTCAGTGCACATCATAGCGACCGGTCATTCCGCCGTTCAGTCAATTTGCATATTTGCCTTTTATTATATAGGACTAGAGGCCTGGTGTACGAAATTCGTGCACAGAGGGGTTGTCCCTCAGCCCAGCCTTCACCCTCTCCAATCTGGGACCCCTCAAGGGATGTCCGACTGCCTGTTTAGGGGATCGGGCCTAAACGGGCAGTCGGACATCCCTCTCACAATCCAGGACTGCTGGCTTCCAACCGCTTGCCTGCCTGCCTGCCTGATTGCCCCTAACCACTCCCCTGCCAGCCTGATCGATGCCTAATTGCTCCCCTGCTGGCCCAGTTGCCCCTAACTATCCTCCCCTGCCATCCTGGTCTCCCCCAGCTGCCCTCCCTTGCAGGCCTGATCGCCCCCACTGCCCTCCCCTGCAGGCCTGGTCCCTCCCAACTGCCCTCCCCTGCTGGCCATCTTGTGTCCACATGGGGGCGACCATCTTGTGTGTTGGAGTGATGGTCAATTTGCATATTACTCTTTTGTTAGATAGGATTATGTTAACACTTAAAAACTAGATAGTTTAGAACTCTATGAACTACATAAAGTATTATGGTATAAATATGTCAAGTAGTCTTCAGCCATAGAAAATTCTTTTGAAATGTGGTAAGTCAGAAATGTATCATTGTCTCTAAAAGAGCCCCAAGAAATACATTTTTTTCTAGAGTTGACACAGCTTCCTTGAATCTCCTTAAATGAATACCAAAGAGAAGATTAGTTCCATTTTCCCGTGAGCTCAACATCTTATGGTAGGAAGTGTCCTGGGCCTTCTCCCTAACTAGCTGTATAATCTTCTACTGGTCACTCAACTTTTCTGAACCCTGGCATTTTTATTTCTACAATAATTAGATGAATTGATTGTTAGGATCTTTTTTTATTATAATTTATGGCCCAAGGCTTAGTTAATACTATCTTTGTAGATAGCAAATGTTAAAGATTTAATGTTTGGATTATGGTACATAATGTACATTCATAAAGGATAAATCTCCACATAGATACTCACTAGTGATTTTGAACATGTATTGAAGAAATGTTATTAGAGAAGTTTATTTTGAAATTGCTCATCTTTATTCCTCTCATGTTTTTTGCAAGAATATGACCTGTTGTAATGTTTTAGTGCAACTTCTCCTGGCTAAATGTGTAAGTTGAAATCACAAAGAAATAGAACATACCAGGTTTTACCATTAAAGCAGAAAAGGGTGGTAGTATTGTATAAGGGTAGTATTTATGTCAGTTCTACCTGTTCTTAGATGTAACAGTGAGTGAATTGTAAGGAGAGCTTCAGAGTTATCATGCCTTGAATCTTTCACTTGGTTCTGCCACAGAAGATAGTAATAGGATTTTTAGTTAATACGTAGTGAAATTTGCTACCTCACTCTATGTGAGTTTTCCAACTATAGCCATTTATAACTAATAGTTTTACCATAACTAGATCATAATTAGGCACCTTGTTTGCCAGTGTAATTTCAGCATGAAATGCCAGATTTTTCTCTTTGGTTTCTGATGATCACCATCAAGTTCTGGGTCTGTTGACTGGTTTTTAAGTCTACTTAAAGGCATTTTAAACACAATATATCGTCTTGGTGTGATTTATGAATACAGGATTGCCTCGCAGTTCTGTTGAAGAAGTTTATTTTAGTTGAATAGGAAAAGAGCTGACCTCATTCATTTTATTATGAAATTCTAAGATTTGGGCAGGTATTATTTTAAAATAATGTGAACTTGGAAAAAAGCAAATATTTCCCTTAATTTATGACATTTCTAAACTTAGAATTGATCCAGGTTCTTTATTGATTGTTACCTTTAGTCCCTTATTGATGGAATAAAAATAGCCTTTGACACCAGCAGGCTCAGCTGCAGGTGAGCAGTTCATCCTTGTACTCTTGCATTAGCCTCTGAGGGGTTGAAGAGGTCATGTAGAAAATGGCATAGACAAAGGAATGATACCAGGGACCTTTTGGTTTCAAGTGGAGACTTTGTAATAGAACAGAATTTCCAACTGACATTATTGTTTTTATCCCTAGGTGGACACAAACGATGCTGACTTAGCCGATGAATCTGCATTTGAGTCTCACTACTCTCCCGATGACAGTATCTACTCTACTCCAGCCTCTATTTTATCTCTTCACAGCAGTGCTTGTAGTGATCGCCTGAACTATGGTCCCTCCCTTCCACCTTCTCCTCCCAAGGTACACAGGGAATGCCAACTCGTTTATGGGAGAACCTTGTGTGTAACTTTCCAGAGGTCACTGTTTATGCGGAGTTGAGTTGTAGGAGTAGCAAGTCAGATACGTTCTATTTCTCAAGTCATGGATTCATTACCAGATTGAAGTTCAGTTTCATTTAGGTGGTATTGATTGGGTCAGATATGACTCCCAGGGACTGTTTAATTCTAGGGTCTGTTATGCAGAGTGATGAACACAGAGGTTCAAAGCTGTGATTAGGATTTTCTTGTTAAAATGAAAAAAATTAATGAAAATTATTTCTCAAATTGTGTTTTTAACTGTGTCTCCGTTGGAAAAAAATTACAGTTATTTTATCATGATTTCATAACTGACTTCCATGCAAAGTTGGATAGTAAAATATTTCTTGCATTAATTTGATATTTACTAGCTAAGTTAAACTTAATGCTGTCATAGGATTTTATATAAAATGAGACCAAAGAATGCACAAAAATCATCGTGAATAGCAAAATATGTTTAAGTCACTGGATATGATTGAAGAATCTGGTTGCTATTTGACATATCTGTCCATTTCTATATTAGAAATAGATTATTGGTATAAATTCTCCAACTTTGTTTATTTTCTTAGTGACATGATCTATAAAACCTATCCAATCTTTTGGGTGTTAAATGGTATCTTACTATTTAATTTGGGGTTCCCGATTACTAGTGAGGTTGAATACTTTTTCATATATTGGCCATTCGGGTTTCACTTCTATCAGTGGCCTCTAAGTTTATAATGGGTTGCTTATCTTTCTATTGATTTGTTGGCATTGTTTATATTTTCTAGACATTGATATACAAAGCAGTTCAGTGTATTTTTATGAGTATGTGTATGTGTTAAAAAAACTAAGAATTTGTAGGAATCGTACCTTTCAACTTCAGGAAAGAAGTTATTCTTAAAAAAGGAATCATGGAATTTAGCTTAATACACTTCATTGTTGTAAGTAGAAACAGAGATTGAAGAAAATATGGCAAAATGTTAAGATCTGTTAAATTTTGGCAAAGCTTTTATATGTGGATATATGTCTTTAATTTTCTATGTTGGAAATATACCACCAATAACAATTAAGATAAAAAGACTGGACAATAATTCTTTCTTAATTATGTGAAATATATATTTTCCACATACGTTCAGTGGGAAAGGAATTTGAACCTATGGGTAAGTTGGAAAGTAGTGTTTTCCTAGGTCTAGCACAGTTTTCCTCTTTTCCTGAATTAACAAGTATTTTTTGGCCAGAACAATCAAAGCATTTTCTTTTATGTTCAAGGTACACCTGTTATTCTTGCAAATGATGCTGGGCAGTCTCTTTGAATTGGTTTGCAAGGTACAATCTTGAATGGAGCATCTGCTCCTCTCTCACCACACCTGAGCCTGCCTCTGTGACAGCGTCCTGTCTGGACCCTGTTCAGCCTTTCCTGGCCTCAGGGCTGGAAGCTGAGTTCATCTCCTAATGGAATCTTCTAATCCACAGCATAGCACAATTCTTGCCAGTGGGACAGATTGCATTGTTTAACTTTGTAATTGTTACTTAAAGGGATTACACAATCTGCATACTGAGAAGCATATATTTTACAGGGCAAATGCTGGCTGTATGCAGCACAACATATTGGCTTCCTGAAGTCTGTTTGCCTCCTATTTTTTTTTTCATTTCCCAAGCAGTTTACTCTTTTGTTGAAGCAAATTTTGGCAAGCTGGCTTATCAACTGAAATATTTAAACTGCAAAACAACAAAGAAGGCATTAATGAGGGTGTTTTAAAACAAATTGTGAAACCCCTGTGTGCTTTTAGTTTCCTTTGAGAGTAGCACTGTTCTTAGGAAGTGGTGAATCTCTGCAACGTTTTTGTTTGTTTTGTTTTGATTTTGTTTTTGTTTTCTGTGGCATCTTTTTAGCATGTAGATATTTACTAGAAAATTGCGTGTAAATAAATAAAAAGTTAGTTGATGCACTCATCTTTTTGTCCCTGCACTAAATTTACTTTCAAAAGACAGAATAGTAATTTGTTATGGCATATCAAATTGACCGTTTTTCGTAAAGAAATTGAGCTCAGATTGGGACTTTTTAATTGATAAAATAAGATTGTATAGTATATGATAACTGATGTGAAGAAGGATGAAATAGGGTGTGAAGGTCTCAGTGACTCCTCAGGTTTTTGACATTGCTAAATATGTAGTAAGTCTTATAGCCTTAAGTCATGTCTGGAAGCACACAGGTAATTTTATGTGTCCATTCGTTGGTGAGAGGACTCATCTCCGTGGTCAGGTGTGCTGGGAGTGGTAAGAACTGGTTCCCCAGAGCAGGAACCCACCCTGAAGGGAGGACTTCCTCATGCAGAGCCCTCGGAGCCGTGCAGCAGCTTAGACCCCAGAGGACCTCAGCCCCAGGCAGAGTGAGCTCCTCTGTACAGCACTCTCCCCCCTGGGAGTCTCTTCTGCTGTCTTTTCCTTTTAAATGAGTGGTGCCTCCTTAATTTGATTAGTAATCATATCAGGACTTAAGGGAAATAACCATCACTCAAAAATCTGAAAAATATAGCTGCTTCCAGGGCATTTGGATTAATACAAGTAGGCTATTGAAATGTGGATTTTAAAGGCAGAAAGCCAGGGGGATTTTTCCTTTCTTACTGTTCTAGGTTTTAATTGTTTGATTAATCTTTATATCCCCTTTTCCTCATCACCTTCAAAGATATAACAAATGCAGAGAGAATTGTTTTCAAACTTAAATGCTTCTAGACCAGGGGTGGGCAAACTTTTTGACTCGAGCGAGGGCCACAATGGGTTTTAAACTGGACCGGAGGGCCGGAACAAAAGCATGGATGGAGTGTTTGTGTGAACTAATATAAATGCAAAGTAAACATCATTACGGGTACGGTCTTTTTTTTTTTTTTTTTTTTAGTGTTATTCATTTCAAACGGGCTGGATCCGGCCTGCGGGCCGTAGTTTGCCCACGGCTGTTCTAGACTTTTGTTTAAAAGCTCAACATATTTTGGGGGAGAGGATGTTTTCATTTATTTTTTTTTTCCTATTTTGGCTTAAAAATACACCCAATAAAAATATAATTGCTATGTAATGAGTCTCCCCTTCACCTAATCCTCACCTGCAGGCCCTACCGTCCCTTGTGCACACACTTCTCGCTCTTGCTCCAGGCATGAAATGATTACTAGTTGGTACATGTCCTTCATTTCTGAACATCAGTCCCCTAGGATATGCTGTTGATTCTGGTGCACAGTGAAGTTGGTGTTTGTCAAGATAGAAACTGCTTTTTGCACCTCCTACACCAAACACATCTCATGGATCCTGTGATATATTAAAAAAAAAAATTCCCAAATCTTCACTTATTGTCATTCTATAGCCTAGAATATTGCTATCTTTATATCCCTGTTTAAAATATGTGTATTGTTTGGAGGAGAGGATTAGTGTCAAAAACTAATTAAATCACTCTAGTCAAGATGATGAGAATGGTTGTGGAAATCCTAGTGACAGAACTGCACGTTTTCAAAATATAAAAGATGTTGCCTTTTTGCTTAGGAGAGCCAGTGTATAAACAATAAAGGACGTATACCCGATCTCAGAAAGAGTGGGAAACAAGGTGAGTTGGAGCAGCTATGCTTATGATATATTTTCCAAAAGTCTTAAGAACACTTCAGTGGCAGACTGCTTATTAGAAAAAAGCAGGTTGTGTCCAGTGAATGTTTAAACATTTAGCCAGCCTATGTAAAATATATTATCTGGGTAAATACTGTGCCCTAGTACAACCTTAGCTTATTCACTACATTTAAGAAATAGACCTGTTTCAAGTAAATTTGACATTTTTATTTAACCTTTCCCCATTCCCCCCCCCCCCCACGAAAACAAGACTATATCAAGTGGAGGCACATGTTAGATGGATTTTTGATATCTCAACTTCATTTAGATACCAAGTTGCAGTTATTTTTGGACATACATGAGGGTTCTTCTTGTTTTTCTTTTAGATCCATAAGACTTTTAAAAATAAAACTCGGTTGTTCAGCAACCAGAAACATTTCTTCAGTAGGCTTATGTTGTCTGCTGTGTTGATTAGCTCTTTCTTTTCTGTGTGTCTGTGTTAACTCCTTCATGAATAATGCATGGAAATTTGTTACTCAATTTACAGTAAACCCCAGCTAAGGAGGGCAACTTGATCTCTTTTTCTGATGAAAAGTGGTTTTTGTTGTTAGGTTTATTTAGGGCGTGGGAGAGATGACTTACTGCTAGTTATCATGATAAATTTAGAATACAGAAGCTAACCAATTGCTTTAGTAAGTACACTGCTATTTTTAATAAGACTGAAGGCTAAAATAATCAAAGTTGGGTGGAGGGGCTAACAGGTTATTGATGAGGCTCTAGGAGTACAGAGAAGAATATTTTTCTATCATTTTTTCCTGAGGATTCTAAAGATATTATTTGCTTGTTTGATATTTCCATTTTTCTCAGTTCTTTGTACCATGAATATGTTAATTCCAGAGAGAGAAAAACTTTTTATTGAGGGAGAGGAAAGATAATTGTGTTGGAGCAATTGATTACCTGCTTAGAAAAATGAAAAGAGACTCCATACCTCACACCACACCCTGAAATAAATCCTAGATGGTTCAAAACTGAATCTGAAAACAAAGCAATTATAAAATAGAAGAAAAGTACTAGAAAGAATTTTGTTTACTTTGTGCAGAGGAAGGACTTATTAAGCAATATGTAAAACCCAAAAGCAAACAACAAATTGACAAATTTAATTGTATAAAGAATTTCTTTAGCCGAAACCGGTTTAGCTCAGTGGATAGAGCATCGGCCTGCGGACTGAAAGGTCCCAGGTTCGATTCCGGTCAAGGGCATGCACCTGGGTTGCGGGCACATTCCCAGTGGGAGATGTGCAGGAGGCAGCTGATCAATGTTTCTCTCTCATCGATGTTTCTAACTCTCTATCCCTCTCTCTTCCTCTCTCTAAAAAATCAAAAAATATGTTTAAAAAAAGAAATTTGTTAAAAAATACATAAAGAATTCTTGATTACATATAGAATTTAACTCCTGCATGTACAGATCATACAAACTTAGAAGTAACGAGCTGGGGAAAGATTTCTAGTGTATATCACAAAGACTATATTCAGAATATATCCATGGCCACAGGAAGTGAATACCATGTGCTAGAATCCTTGGTAAAGTATATAAAGAGAGAGTTCACAGGAGGCATACAAATGGCATGTCCTCACCTGTTGTCAGGGGTGCACTTAGTAAAGCACTGAACCGCTAATTGGAAGCCCATTTGCTATGCACAGCATTGTAAGTGTACATATCATTTGAACAATAGCTCTAATTGTAGGAGTTTATACTAAATAAATTTTCACGGGTCCACAAAGATGTGCAGAAAAATAACAGCAATGCCTAATAGTAATCAGGCACTTTCTAGTAAGTCAGGCAATGTTTTTAGTACTTTGTGGTTTTAACTCTCTCTATCCTCCCACCATCCCTGGACTAGGTCCTATTATTTTCCCTCATTGATAGAGGAGGGAACCAATGAACAGAGTACATTTAAGTAACTTGTCAAAGCTGAAAGAGGTACCTACTGATGAAGCCAGCATCTCAACTAAGGCAGCTGGGCGCCAGAGTCTGCACATTAGGCCTTTCAGACTTAGGGAGATTTTATAGCCTTAAGAAGATTGAAGTTGACTTTTATTCATCGACATGGGAATTTCTCATGTCAGGGTATAAGTTTACTTCAGAAAAGCAAGTAGCACCCTGGCCAGGTATTTCAGTTGGTTAGGGCATTGTTTGTACACCAAAAGGTTGAAGGTTCAATTCCTGTCAGCACACACGGGAGGCAATTGGTCTGTTTCTCTCTTACATCAATGTTTTTCTCCCTCTCTCCAAAACCCTTCTTTCTCTTCCTTTCTCTCTAAAATCAGTAAACATATCCATGGGTGAGGAAAACCTGTGTAGTGTATGGTTCTGTTTAGGTTTTGAAATGTTTATGTGTGCTTGGATGTGTGAGTGTGTGCATTTGGATATATATGTGTAATGCAAATGAATTTTAAAATCTGGTTCATAAACGTACAACTGAAGCCAGCCAGTTTTACTGGGGTGAGGAGGAGAAGTAGGAGCCATACAGGAAGACTTTAATATAGTGTGCATACACACTATACACCTGTATCGCTTGAATCTTTGCCAGTGACACTGTATTCATATACTGCTTTTATACTTTCAAAACATCCATCAAAGAATTGAAGAGAAAATTGCTAAGTTTACTCAACAGCCGCAGTTCATGGAGCTACTGCTTGCCCAAAGCACATAAGTGATACAGTATATCTGTTGTAAGTACATACATGCATTTATGTAGAACTATGGAATTTTAGAGTTTAGGGAATTTTAGAAATATAAAGCCAAGAGAGGTTCTATAATGTACAGATTGTTAATGAGAGAGCCTGAATTAGAACCTACATCTTATAATACCCCATTTTAGTATTTCTTCTGTTATATCTTGCACAATATTTATGAAAAAAATTCCCTACAATAATATGAATTGTGTGGCTTTCTGTTCTTTTCCACAAATACCTATAAATATCTGTTGAAATAATTTTCCCTCGAAGGTTCTTGTGAACCTGAATCAATTAATGTCATTCTTTTATGCAACTGACCTTATAATACTTAGGAACTCAGGCTGCTCTTTAAGTAAGATTTAGAAATATGTTACTTGCTTTCCCATTTATATTGAACTATATTCATATAGTATGTGAATAGAACATACTAATGTATCTAAATGATCTCATATACAGTATAGTGTACAAGTGTAACATGAGATACATGATTGCAGGAAATGCATTGAAAAGCACTTATAGCCGAAACCGGTTTGGCTCAGTGGATAGAGCGTCGGCCTGCGGACTGAAAGGTCCCAGGTTCGATTCCGGTCAAGGGCATGTACCTGGGTTGCGGACACATCCCCAGTGGGAGATGTGCAGGAGGCAGCTGATCGATGTTTCTCTCTCATCGATGTTTCTGACTCTCTGTCTCTCTACCTTCCTCTCTGTAAAAAATCAATAAAATATATATATAAAAAAAAAGAAAAGCACTTATAAACACAAAGGTATACAGAATATCAGCTAAGTGATGAATTTGTATGTTTGCTAATGCTTTTTAACTAATGAATAATTATGCTGTGTTTAGGTTTTTTTCCCCCACTAAGTAGTCAGCCATTAAGAAAGGATCCTACAAAATACATTGAAGTAATTCTGGCCATAATTTTTGCTTTTCTATTCTCTCATCTTCAGGATGTTACTGACAGTTCTTCGGATCCAATACTTGATCTGCAAGTGCCTTTGGAAGAACTCTACACCCAGAACCTCCTGCAAAGACAGGATGACAGCCCATCTTCCGTAGACTTGAGCACGGGACCTGCTTCTGGGTTTATTGTAAATGATTATACACCTGAACAACAATATGGATGTGAAAACACAGGCATGTGGGCTGAGTCTCACCTACCCAGGGAAGTTATATCAAGTGCAGAGCTTACTTCTCTGCTGCCTGATTCAACGGGAAAGGTACTATTTTAAAGATACGGCGGGTGTGTTAGGATGAGGTCATGAGGTTGGGACAGGGAAGTATTCTAGCTCAGCTCCCCATGTGGAGCTGGTGCTCTCCTGACGCTGAGGTTTTCCAGAAGCCAACCTATGAACTTGTCTTGGCTATGGATTCTTGTGGAATAAAGCACAACCAATGAGAGAATGTGTGTGATGTTGAAATCATATTCCAAAGTCTAATTTCCCTTTCCATGTGACTTATTTTTTTCTTTCGTCAGGGCTCTGAGTTCTTAAATCAACAGAGCTCCCTGGCCTCTGCTGCCGAGCATATCATGCTGCAGAATATATCCAGAGAATTTTTTGAGAAGACTATTACCATAGCAAAAGGCAATTCTAGCCTAGGTAAGTTCCTTATTTTCCACACCTACCTTCCCAACCAACGCCCTCACAAAGAGGAAAAATTGAACCGGTTTTGATATTTTTGACTACAGGTAAGAAAATAGATGTTTTAAATTTTACTGTAGTTTTTACGGTTTCTCTTTTTATGTGCGCATTATCTTTCCTGAAATGGTTAACAGGTTTGTTTAGTTCAGACTAGCTTAAATCCCTCACTCTCTTAATTACTTAAGAGTATGCAGTGGCCTCATTTACATTCAAGTAAAAGATACACAGAATTGTTTGTGTATGAAACAGCAAATCAGAAAAGAAATTCTTAGAAAATGAAAAGTCAGCAATTTGGAATTCTAAATTCTTTGGAAAAGCAAATTATTAGCTTTTTTGAATGTTACCAGTTATGCATTAAGTCAGTTTGTATTTAATTTCTTTCATTCACTGAAAGAAAGACTAAAAAGACAGCCAGGTGTGCCACTACCAAAATGTAAATGCGATTTATAATTGTCCTTCCCAGGTGGCAGGAGTTTTGTGTCCTTTCTTAGCCAGGAGGGGTTGTGGCTAGTTAATAATCATACAGCCTTCAGAGTTGGGCAAAGAAAAGTTTCTGTAAAAATGAAATCCTAATTTTAATAACTAAAGCTCTATTGAGGCAGAGCACATTTGTTCTTTTTTTATTTTTCTTTCAAGTTAAGCAGTCATGTGACTCAGCTCTGTCCCCAGCGCTCTCTGATGGAAAGTAGATGTAGGATGTTAGAACAGCTGCTCTGAATGCAGAGTGTTGTCCAGGACTCTGGTCAGCGCTGCATCAGGGATCTTACTCCTTCTGGCATGTGACCAACCAGTGCCCTTTACATTGATGTCTCACGGCGGGGTCTTCTTTCCTTGTTAAACTTGAGACTTGGCAAAGAAGTCCAGCGGGGCTCACATGGTGAGTGGGATTCTAGTCTAGGTCTCATTCTCGATTTTGTCCCATTTGGTGGTGGCTGGGTTCTACCAACAGCAGCCAAATGGAGAATTATAGTAGAGAATTTTTACTTAGTTATAACATGTCGCCTATATTTACATTTAATGGAATGATATAAAACGTAAACTCCTGAACTTTCTGTAATTCACTAATTTGAGACAGATATTATAAATATCAAAGCATGTCAGAAATAATTCATCTGTTAATGCAATGTTTCCGAAAGCATGTTACTTAGAATACTGGTTCTGCAGGATGTAAGTAGGAGTTATACATGGCTTCCAAGTTTGAAATGTGATGAATTTAAGGAGATGGGCTTCTGTTTATGCTACATCTCAGTATCTTTAATACTCAGATGTGCATGCGCCTCTTTAAGAAGATGTTATAGAGTGCAGCATTTCTCATTTAATTTGTCATAAAACTCATTTTTTGACCAACTCATAAAACAGAGGTTTTGTAAAAATCCCTATTGTTTTGAGAAACTCAATTCTATTATTTTAACCCAGCTATCAAACGTTCATTTTTCTCTATATTATAGCCACTGTCTAGAGAAACCAGGAGTCAGTTACTTTTCTCAGGGAACATGAGTTTAAGAAATTAGCTAATTGACACAGAAAGTCCTAAATGCATTGCGTACTATGATAGACACTCATACATAGAACATTGAAGGCTTAAAAGAGGGAATAACTGATCCCTGCTCTCTGAGTGTGCGCAGTTTAGAAAGGTTTCAAGGAGGAGAAGGTATTTGATTTAGTTCTTTAAAAAGGAGGAGTAGAGTTTTACCACATAGTTGAGGAGTTAGGAAAAGCTGGAAGTGATTAGAGCTAAGGCAGAGAAATGGGAAGCGTTACTGGGTGTCGTTTGGTATGGATGAAGTATGTGAGCAAAGTAAGAATTGAAGTTAAAGGTAGGGTAGATGGAAGATGGCTGTGGGGTGGGCTCATGGGCAGGACACAGGACTTCTGCTGTAACACCCTCGGGGCTTAAACTCCTACATAAGCGAGAGCTAAGGGCAGAAGAGTGACATGATGGGGTTTGTGTTTTAGGAAGATCATGCTGGCTTAGTTTGGAGAATTAGATTGGAAACAGTTGGAGGCTCTTGTAAGAGCCATGGTTTGAGTACATCTGATTTTACAATCTGACCACTTTGGCTTGCTTACTTATTTTTAGTTTGCTAAGGGAATGTTGAATTTTTCAAATCTTCTTCTTCATCTGTTCAGAAAAATCATGTAGATTTTTAATATATTCTATTAAATCGTCAGGATTTAAATATGTTTTTATTGATTTTTGCAGAGAGGAAGGGAGAGGGATAGAGAGATAGAAGCATTGATGAAAGAGAAACATAATCAATAGGCTGCCGCCTGCATTCCCCCACTGGAGATGGAGCCAGCAACTTGGGCATGTGCCCTGAGCGGGAATTGAACTGGTGACCTCTTGGTTCCTGGGTCGATGCTCAACTGCTGAGCCACACTGGCCAGGCCAGACACCTTATTTTTTAAGTGTGATACAAGATACTTAACATAAAACTTACCATTTTAACCATTTTTAAATGTACATTTCTGTAACATTTGGTACATTCACATTGTAGTACAACCACCACTACCATCTCCAGACCTTTTCATCTTCTCTGACTGAAACTCCGTGCCTATTAAATAATAATTCCCAATTTTCCCTGTCTCCTACCTCCTAGCAACCATCATTCTATCATCTGTTCCTATACATTTTGACTACTGTTGGTACATCATGTAAGTGAAGTCATAGAGTATTTGTCTTATTGTGACTGGCATATTTCACCTAGCATAATGCCCTCAAGGTTCTATGTTGCAGCATGTGTCAGAATTTCCTCCTTTTGAAGGTAGAATATTTCATTATATGTAAATAAACACACATACCACTTTTTTAATTGATTTTTTAGAGCGAGAGGAAGGGAGGAGGAGCAGAAAGAGAGAAACATTGACTGGCTGCCTCCAGCATGCCTCCTGCCTGGGAATGAGCCTGCAACCCCGGGCATGTGCCCTGAGCAGAAATCTGGCAGCCTCTCAGTGCACTGGGTGATACTTAACCAACTGAGCCACACTGGCCAGAGCAACCACAGGTTGTTTGTTCATTTATCTGTTATTGGACACTTAAGGTGATTCCACCATAGCTTTTAAGTTTTGGTTTTTAAAATATACTAATTATGATTAATCTCTTTGGGGGGAAATAGTGAAAGGTGAAGTGTCCTTGCTTTCTGTCATATCAGAAAATCCATTTAAACCTCAATAGCTTGATTATAACATTAAAGTATAAGAGAGTCCTTTCATTTGCTGTGTGTGACAAAACCTAGAAGTGTGCAGACATAGTGCCATTAGCTTATTAACCAAATCTATCTATTTAAAAGGATAATATGCTAAGTGTCCTTCCCACCTTCCAATCAGTCGCTATGACACACACTGACCATCAGGAGGCAGATGCTTAACGCAGGAGCTGCTGTGACATGCATAGAGAAACGGCACTGTGGACTTGGCCCCCAGAAAGCAACACTTGGCTTCCCCCAAGTGGGACACAGGCCCTGTCACCACCCTGGAGTGACAGCCCACCAAATCGCAGCCGAGGCTGCCAAGACCCCATGGCGCAAAATGCAGCCCATAGCCCAGCCCACCCCTGAAACGGTTGTGTGGGTGCCGGGGAATGACATCACATGGCAACGCCTGGCTTCCTCTCCCTAGCAACTAGCCTCCTTGGAGTTCCAGAAACACAGGTGGAAACATTTACACTTTAACCAAATGTCTGTGAAGCGTTTTCCTGTGCCTCATCTCATTTGATCCTCACAGAAGTCCTGGAGAAGGTAGATAGGAGACTTGTTGGAATCCTATTTTCTTTTCATTAGCCAGAAAACAGATATTTAGAAAGTTTAGAAACTTGACCCAACTGAAAAGAAGTAAGAAATGGTGGACCTTGAAAATAACTTCAGATTTTCTCACTGGGCAGAACATAGTCAAACACTGCTGCAGTTAAATATTTTCCCCTTTGTTCTCCCTGAGTGATCTATAATAATAATCTGCTTTGTGTTGATATTTACTGCTGTGTTGCTGACAATTACCTGAAGAGAAGTTGGGGTGCTTCACTGGGCTGGAAAAAAGTTTAGCTAAATCAGAAAGCAGGTCTAATTAAGCAGGTTTATATCTATTAAAAGCTAAGTTGACTTGTGCATGCGCGATACATATGAAGTTCTCACTGGCGCCAGTTGTGCGCATGTGTTTCCATCTGTCATTGTCGATCGTGAATTTGGTTGACACTTCTATTTTAGAGAAAGGGCGAATAGCAATATTAAAATATTTCTTCTAAATAATCTACTTTGAGTGTGCATGAATTCGTGCACCGGGCCACTAGTTTTAATATAAATAGAGTAACTTTTAGTTTTACTTTTGTGATTCATTTGAATTAATTTACATACTCAAAATGTAGATAGGGCTTTTCCTGGATGTGCGATTTCCTGAGGCCCAGCATTTTGGAGTTCCAATTCACTTTGCTAACGCAAGAACATTTCTGTGTTGTCTCGTTTGATAGGAGATGTTCACTATTCAGATTTCCGCAGCACTTAGAGTAACTAAATGTAAAGGAATTGTGAGAAATGCCTATTTTTAAAATCTGCGTAAAACATTAATTTAATTAAAGCAACCATTTAAGCTTTTAATGTAGGAAGGTGTTGCCTTTACAACTTGAAGTTACAAGAAATGTGATAGCATTTTAGAAAATCCAGGTAGAGGCTTGCTTTGTGCTGATAGGTGAGTATGTTATGAAAGGTCTATCAATGAACAGCTGAACACTTTTTCTAGGTTCACAGTCTCCCCTTAACTTACATGAGCTTGTTTTTAGGTTTTGTTTTCTGGATAGGTTCTGTAAAAGTTGTCATAATCCATTTGCTTTGATTTCATGAGTCACTTTTTTTTAACTCTGTTAAATTTAGGGAGGAAATGTCATATGCAAATATATGCACATATGTACACATGCATATAGTGACCTTTTAAACTTTTAATCTTAATGATTTTTGGTAGGTCTGTTCTCATTTCTGTAGATATGTTGTATTAGGGCTTGAAGGTAATAAGGTAGAAGGGAAAGAAAGACCAATCCTCTCTTCACAGATTAGGTATAGAAACATAAACATACTCACTCATTTTTCTGAAAGTGCTCAGTCTTTAGGAGGTGGAATCAGAACTCAAACTTCAGTCTCTCTGGTTTTCACATACTACACAATACACATCAGTGCTTGAGTTACCCAAGGCTACATGGAGATTGCTGTGATAACAAGTGTCATTGTGAAGCTGAATTATGGTTTTCTTGAGCCCTTAGAGAGCAATGTAGCTTTTGATTAGTATAGAGAGGCATCTTAAATATATTTTGTGAGTTGTCATTTGTTTATGTTTTGTACTTTGTTGAGCACTTTGGGTTGGGGACTTTGAAAGGTATTCTACATAAGTTTTTATTATGTACTTATTTTCTCATTTAATACAACCCTAAAAATAGGCATTATCCCCATTTTACAGATAAGTAAAATGATAAAATGAGATCTAGTGTGAGGTTAAGTCAGTTGCCCAATGCCACACTGATTAGAAGTGGTGGAACTCCAATTTGGAACCGGTTCTCTAGTTCTACAGTATACGATTTAGGCTATTCCTACTATTCTTCCTCCCAGAAGAAATTGGGAGATCTTATAAGTTACAATCAAAATCTAGTTAGTGGATATTACCTTGAAGTTGTTGAACCCTGAAAATGATCATTTGGCTAAAGGAAAATACAAGCTGAGACAACTGATGTCTATCTCTTGGTTTATGACAGCCGTAATAGCTGCTGGAGCTGGGAGTTAAAGATGCTATTAAAAATGAAGTTAGAGGTCATGTTGACCATAACTCATGGTGTCCTCCCCAGATTTGTGGCTTGCTGTGTTGTAGAGTGCGTGGTGCTAATGAGAACAAGATGCAGTGTTGGAGTCCCAGTATGGGCCACTGAGTGAAATTTTGTTTTATACTCATACATTTTGATGTCACTGTAGTACATTGGTGGAGCTTAGTGCGAAGGGTGGCAGCATCAGAGCAAACTAGAGAACCTGTTGAAACATTTCAGGCCAGCCTCTTTGCTCATAAGAGACCCATCTGGGATGAAACAGCGTCTAAACATGTTTATTCGCTTATGATCAACAGAGATGTTTCCTTCATGACAATGCATTTAAAAATCATTAGTGTGAGTCTTAAAAGAATATTTTGAATTCTTTTTATAATGGTTCGTTTATGTCAGAAAATGATATCTAGTAGCCTGGATTCCCCATATCCAGGCATGAAATCTAAGGCTATAAGCAAATTTTTAAATATTTTCAAAATATTTAAAAAACATATCTAAATTGGTATAATTAGAATTAATCTTTAGTCAGAAAGTATTACTTTGTGTTTTTTTCCAAAAATAAATAAATATTTAAAGAGGGAATTGTCACTTTCCTCAGAAAAATGTTTTTATAAGTACTCTCCTTACCTGGTTTAGTTATGTTATCTTGTTTTGGAAGGAACTTCTAGCACTTGATTGAAGTGAATTAACATTATTTTACGTAACGTGTTAACATAATTTAAAAGGTTTTATATTTTTGAAGGAGTAGAGTGAGGGTAGGATGAGAAGGGATTATAAATTTGGGTGAGGCTTGTTGTGAATGTCATTTTTGAGAAAGTGATATTGAAGTGAGGAGTTAGCTGTGCAGGAGCTGCTGAGAGGCTGTCGGTCCCTCTGAAATGGGGAGAGACCAGGTGAATTTCTGAAGCACAGTTGCTGGAACACAGGGAGCCAAGGAGGACATTGAACAAAGAAGGATGCATGTTCAGAGGGCCAGGACACCAGGCCCAAAGAATGTGCAAGTAGGTGTGTTGTATGTTAGCATAACAGTAGGTTATTAAAGGGTTTTTACCAAGGGAGTGATGTGATTTGTCATCTCTGTCTGCTGAGAAAAATGCACTGGAAGCCAAACAGGAGGCTGTTTTGAAAAGTGAGGCAAGAGAAAGTGCTAGCCTAGTCTAGGGTTAGTAAGGAAATGGAGAAAATGCAAGGATTCAGGATAAGTTCTGGAGATAGAAATAACAGGACTGGGTGATGGATTAAGAATAAAGGGTGAGAAAGAGGTAGGAGTCAAGATTGATTTCAGCATGCCTGCTTGAAGCAATGGAGAGCAGTGTTGTGGTGTCAACCCCAAAAAGGGGAAGACATGGAGAAACAAAGGGAGGTAGAAGCCTGGGAATTCAGTTTTATGCATATGAAGGTGCACTTCTTGTTATGCATCCAGGGCGCATGTCAGGAGGGCAATTAAATATCCAGATCTGGAGCTTATGGAAATTCAGATTTGGAGATAAAATGGGAGTAGATTAGTATTAAGTTCACATCAGCTTAGTTCAACAGGCACTGTGATAGGCACTGAGGATAGGACTTAATACAAGCTTCTTGATGTTAGGAATTCTGTTACGCTTTTTTTATCTCAAGCCACCAACATAGTATTTGGCACATAGTAAGCATTTAAGAAGTCTATACTGAATGAACAAATGATTTGGGAATAAAGTAGTAGCACAGAGTTTCTTGATGTATTGAACTAATTTTCCATTCATGGTCCTGTTTTTTACTCTCTTATACATATAAGATGGACTCCTGTTGTGAAATTGATTGGATATTGTGAAAACATGCTCCCTGGGAGAGCTTTCTATATAAGGGGTAACACACCAGTTCGCCTAAAATACATTCACTGTAGTGTAGGCCTATGTGTCTTTCATTTTAATTGCTTTTTATTGGCTTGAAAAATTAGTGCTAATTCATAGGGATTATGTGACTTTCAAATAAAAGTGAATTTGAAAATTGCAAATTTAATCCATATCTGTGTTCTTCCATTACCATAGGGATGACAGTAAGCGCTAACAAAGATGGCTTGGGTGTGATTGTCCGAAGCATTATTCATGGAGGTGCCATTAGTCGAGATGGCCGGATTGCCGTTGGGGACTGCATCTTGTCTATTAATGAAGAATCTACTATCAGTTTAACCAACGCCCAGGCACGAGCCATGTTGAGAAGGCATTCCCTCATTGGGCCTGACATTAAGTAAGTATCATTGGGACCCCAGTTTGGCTTGGAAAGTTCAGGAATTTCAGTTCAATAATCAGAGGTGTTTTCCCCCCCTCAAATACATTTTTACTTGATATACAAAAACCACATAATTATTTAATGTAAGTCACTTACAGGTTTGACTATTCCTGAATAGTTTTGATTTTTGATCATTTTTAAGATAACAGTGTTGAAATATTTTAGGACTGAGCATGCATGCCTTGCACTCTCGGCTCCAGGATGGGTGGCTGTTTGCAGGAGGACGCTGCCTCTTCCTGTGGGGGCAGCTCTGGGCATGAGGACAGGGTGCTATGTGTGAGGGCTGCAGGCCATAATAGACAGCAAAAGTTTAAAGGCGGCCCTGAGGGGCTGCGTTTCAGACCCAGGTGGAGATTCCAGAGAGGATGTGCAACGGTCTTAATGAAAGACAGACATGAGTAGTAACAGGAAGCTGTGGGAGGGTGGTGCCCATGGCAGCCACCTGTCGTGCTGCTCGTGTTCCGTGGTTCCATGGGGCAGCTGCAGCAAGGATGCGTGCGCCTGTTCCAGCACATTCCCATGTTTGAGAGCAACTTCATCCAGGTCAGCAAGAGAGAAATAGTGATCAATGTGCACACAGTGTGCGAATGGTCACTGTGGGCACCGCCTGCACCAGCCCCGCTCCAGTAATGTTGTCATGCTGCTGGCACCACCTGGTGTCAGCTGTGCAGTTGGTGTCAAATATGGCCACAACCGGGGAAGGGGACTCAAGTCAGCCAAGAGCTCTGAGCTGACCAGGCTGCCTCCTTTGAAGTCTGTAAAGATGTCCATCTACCATAATGAGGGAAAACACTCCTCTTGAAGCTTATACTGGCCGCTCTTTTTACCTATAATTATGCCCCCTTCAGATGCAAAGGAAGAATCAGTTTGCACACTGGGAAGACTTGGTGTTCTTCCTGAGACCGCCAGTGGAGGCTTACAGTGTACTCATGCCCTGCCAGCTTGTGATGTGATGCACATACCTGTGTTGGAGGCAAAGGACAAGAAAAGTCCAGTGACCACAACCTGGTCAGTGTCAGGAGCCTTCTCGTGGTCACTGAGGTGTCTGGGGCCACCTCTCTCGCTTATGCTAGTGGGGAAGGAGTCCAACAACATGCTTCATGCAAACACTCTGTGCTTAGGGACTCACTGTCTTTCCTAACCCTGCACTGGCAGGGCCTGACCAGGGTGCAGTGCCAGGGGCAGCAGCAGTTAACACCCTGTGCAGTATGAGTGTGGTTGTAGGAGGGAGATGACCAGCCGACCTGTTACAGAGACCTTAGAAGGTCCAAGAGCTGGACCCTGCATTTCAGCCTGGCTGAGTAAAGACAGTGGAAGTGAACAGAATGGAAGTCAGAGAGTCTGCCAGCGCCATGCTGAAGCCCTTAGTAAGAGAAAGGAAACGGAGGACACTCCCACCCAAAAGGCCCTCCCCTCTGGCTGGATGTGAGAGGGCAAGTCAATCCTAAGATCCCATGGAACCCCTCAGGGAGATCAAAAGGAGAAGGACCAGAACAGCCCAGGAGTACAGCAGCCTCAGCATCACCCTGAAGGGCTCTGATTTATCGCAAAAAGAATGAAGTGGAGCTGACCTGCAACTAGTATTGGGGGCATACTCCAGAGATCCTTTCCCTAGTCCCTCCCCATCTGCAGCTCCCCCTAGAATAGGAGGGAGCACGCTAGCCACTCCTGGAAGTCCTGCACATCAGCTGGAATGGGTCTCCAGTGTATGATCCACCCACCCCTTTTAAGAAGGGGAAACTTAACTTTCCTCAAGTGGGTCACTTCTTTAATTTCTTGAAATAAATAAATACCTGCTATTAAAAAAAAAGAAATATTTTAAAACAATGTTGCTGTCTCTTTTAATTTTACTTTTTATATGATTTTTTTGCAAAAACCTTAGATATGAGATGACATCTCTCACAGAACAGGAAGGTCCACTCTTAAAATCTTATAAAGATGTTTTAATTGGCCCTCCATATAAGGAATTGTGCACTACCTATGTGACCTGTATGGGTCCTAGAACTAAGCCGGTTGTTTGAGGGCCAGTAATGGACAAGACCATAGAGAACAGTGCCAGTTGGATGAGTAATTTACCTGTGCTGAACCTCATGATCCAAGGGAATTCACCAATATGTTGATATAGTCTGAATATAGGTCATATAGGATGTTTTGTGAGGAAGTGCTTTAAATGTCCCATAATTCCATAATGCGCCCAATGCACATTACATATGTGGTTTGGTTTTTAAGGCATTAAACATTTCCTGAACCAACCTAAAATTAGTTCATGACTTTATTGTTGTACCTCCTTCATGTAACAGCTTGACTTTTCCCTATAGCATTAACCATTGGATATTTGTATTTTTGTATAAGGGATAAACTAGTAAAATAAGAGCTCAGGGAAAGATTGCTGACCTTTAATTAATGTAATAGTTACTATTAGGGGAGAATTTTTTGTATGAATGCTATTTTATTGTCTGCATTCTGTATTATTCATTTGCAAAGTACATATTTCTAGAGCTTAGGTAAGAAAAACAATATTTTCAATCTGGTTTTCATTATGCCTTCAATAAAAAGTAGAAAAATATATATTGTTTGGAGTAGATTCTTTTCAGGCAGAATTTCACTAATGGGCTTTCAAATTTTTGTATGTCTTTTGACATTTATTTTATGGAATGAAATCCTGTGACTCTTCCATAATTACCTTATTAATATCATGAATGCAAGTAAACATCATTAAAAAATCAGTGTCTCTCTACTCAGAAAAAAAGAGAAACAGTAAGTGCTTTTCTCATCCCTTGTGGTCCAATGTCCATTTCTTTTGCTTAAAAGATAAATGGTATGCATCCACATAGAGATTCTTTATGGCAAAGGTTTAGCTTATACAGTTTATATGCAGCATAAAATGCAGATGGCCTGGTAACTGATCACTTGATTTGTTGTGTGATAATGCCCGCATTGAGCTTGGAGCACTGATGCAGGTCTCTTAGTGCCATAATTGGTGCTTGGTTCTAGCCTTTTCCTCCATTCTAATTTACTGAAGATCTTCAAAGGTAGCCCAAAAATGAGACCATTGTGACATTGATTTGGCATAAGTCGTGCATTTACCCTGTTCCAGAAAATGTATTCAGTACGTTTTCAACACCAAAAGTCTTCTTTCTCCTTTTCTCGTATTTACTGCCTGTGTGTGTGTGTGTGTGTGTGTGTGTGTGTGTGTGTGTGGTTCCCACCCTTTGACTCAACACCAGAATTTACTTTTTCATGTGCACAGCAGCATGATGACCTTGAGGGATGTCTAGAGAGTTCGCTTTATAAATACTTGCTTTTAGATCCCAGGAGGCAAAAATGTACTGTGGTATCTTATAATAAAAAAAAAGAAAAGAAAATCCCACCGCCTTCCCTTCTCTGGAAATCAGTCAATAAATCAGTCAGTTAATCGATCTCTTTCTCGCATACACACACACTCCCACACACTCCCAAACATAACAACATGACACTTTGATTTCTTCTAAAATGTCCTACTGTAGCTGTGATTCAGATGGTTATGGTTTGACCATTGGGTGAATGTTGGAAAGAAATTAGAATCATATAACCCTTTTTCAGAAAAAAAAAATGTGCTAAATGATAAAACAAATCTCCGTTTAGTCTGGCCAGGGCTGAGCAGCATGTTCCATGCATTTTGCATGAAGTGTTTTTGGCCCTCTGCCTTCCAGATCTCTTGCTTTCATGAAGCTAAAGGTTTAGAATTACCTTGAAAGCTATGAGTAATCCTCCCAGAAGGAAAGTCTAGGCCTCCCTTACTCTGAATGGAACCATGCATTGCCCTTGGCTAATTAAGCTTTGTAGTCATTGCCCGGATTTAGGCTCCATTCCTGTTTCTTCCCTTTTATTTCTTATTACAAATTCAGCTTAATCTGGGGTGGTGGTAGAGAAGTGTATTGGAGGGACTCAGGAAAAAAAAACCAACTTAATGGTTCAGTTATATGACTGTTTGGTTTTAGGAAAAGCATTGCTTGTTGAGACAATGCACAGATTTCTTTTTTGCCTTTTATGATAGAGAGCTAGGAACATGGAGAGTGTGCCTTCGTGCACGCCTGGGTAACTAATTTGAGTTTCAAGAGTTCAAGAACAGCCAGTTTAAGTTCCAGGTTCCATTATTTTCTATGGAAAACCAGATGTGAAGCCTCACCAGAATGCATTCTGTTTCACTTCTCACTCCACCTTGCCAGGAGCTCTTACATTTCTGTAATAATAGCCAGGGTTTTGCGCTTAGCAGCAGCTGCTGGTAACATCTGCCAGATAATTACCGCGCGGAATCAGAATTCACCTGCCTTAACCCAAAGTGTGGGATGAATTCCTGATCAAGGAATAAAAGATTGATTGCAGTTACATTTTCCCATGCTTGTTAATAATCATTGCTATAGACACCAGTAGAGAGCAGATGCTTTTCTGGGGGAGGTGTAGATGGGGAGGGAGGTGGAAAAGGGAAAATCAACCAGGAGCACCCACTTTTAACTACATATGTATGCATCGCATATTCAGCACAAGACATTGACATTTGTTAACACCATTGTGAAAAGATGCCGCGCACGGCGTATGCCTCACATTCTAGATTTTCTACAGCACCTGCTGACAACTGAGCCCCCCTTTATGTGTGAGTATCGGTGATTCAAAAAGCTCATTATGGCTGTGTGTTACAACTTGTCTGTGAAAACCATTCCATGCTTTTGTACCATCAGATGCAGGGAGAGAGCCAGGCATAGATTCAGGGTATACATTTTGGATTCTTTTTTTTCTTCATTTTACATAAGGACATAAATTACAACAGAGCTGTGGGTTTGTTACAGTTTCACATTGCACTGATGCTTGTGAACCTATTTAAAAATCATATTTTCCAGCTACTAAGATTTTAAGCTCCTTTGTCGGGGGTGATCCTGCTGCATGTTCAGGCACGGGCTCTGGGTGAAGAGCCATATCGCATTTCGGCATCACTAACGTTACTTTTTTTTCTTCCACTCCACGTCTAACCAAAGGTTAGTTTACATGTAAGAATTTTTAACATAGCTCTCAAATCCGTAGTGTCCGTGTTATTTGCACCGTTCCTAATTTAGTTTCGGTGATTTGCTCTGGATGTGCCGTTGCATTATGGGATGCTTGTTCTGGTGGCCGGGCTGTGTATATTGGGCTAAATATTTATGAAAACTGCCTTCTTTAACCTTTATCACTGTTACCTAAAATATGAGAAAAATGTAAAACTCCCTATCCCTCACCCTTTGAAAACCATCTTTGAACAAGTATAGAGGAAAATTCATTTCAATATTGTTTAGTATAGGAATATCTTTTCCTTCGCAAACCAGTTAAAAATTAAATACTTTGCACTGATTATCATTATTTCACCATTGTGTTCTAACTTCCCCCACCCCTCCCCTCTTCCTGGCTGTTTTTCTAAATGTTTTAGTTATATGTGTTTGATTATATTTAATCTTCGGAAATAATACCAGTTTTCTTGAATAGACTTTGCAGGTTTGGGGTTTTATGTGTATCTTTATTTTTTATGTAAAATACAATCAGTCTTCTTTTCCAGTACCAGGAGTTTTGTATTTCTAACTTATTATTTTGAAGGGCTAAATGTGAATTTACTATTGAGTATATTTTAATTCACAGAGAAGGTGTTGTTATAGATTAAGTTGGGTCAGAATTAGAGCACCTCTCTTCCACCCAGGCTAGTCCTAAACCCAGTGACCTGTGCTCTCTGCTTGAGTTTTTAATCCTCCAGGTAAAAGTGTCATGAAGAGATTCCCAAGGGCCCCTGAATTGTGATCAGCCGTGCTGAGGCCCTGTTAGCACCCCGCCTTACGTTCGTGTTATGCCTCTAGTTTACAGGAGCCTCATGAAAAAGGGTGTCCTTTTTGCGATGGAGAATACGGGATTGAGTGGTAGTGATTTACGCCCCCATCACACTCCTGATGAGCAGCAGCGCTGTGTCTCCCGACTCCAGATCTCAGTGACCTCACAGAGTGAGGTCACTCTTTATAGAATAACCACTACGTCTGAAATTACATGCCTTCCTACTCAGTAATTATGACATTGATGTAATTCGTCTTTTATTGTAACATGAAAGACAGTGCTTTCATCCTGCGCTCTGGTGCTGAGATTTTATATGTACTGTCTTTATGGGTGGGTTATGGAGAGCTGGTTTACTCGTCTTTATGATTCTTATATATTCTTTTAGTTGTGCAGACATGCTGAGCTGGCTTCAAATGCAGAATTTCTCTTGCCTTTTCATTAATTTGAGGATCTTGGAACAGCCCACTTAAGGGTATCAACTACAAAGCCTTCTAGGACAGCGGTCAACTTGAATTTTCACACGTCATTTTCTGAACATTATAGTGTGGTCAGCATCTAACTCAGTGCCTTCCACATTATGGGCTTTCACCCAGTACTCGTTGAACTAGGAAGTGATTGTTCAAGTGTATGCACTAGGCTTTCCTCTGAAACCAAAATGAGCTTATGAGGAGTTGCTACAAATTAGTAAGAGTGTCTTTCCATAAAGTTAGTCTTAACTTCAGACTGAGAGAGTTCATAACTTAATATAAGAGCTAACATTTACCTATTGATAATGCTTGTTAATACCCATAATTAATTCTGTACCAGTATTGTGTAAGACTGTAAAGTTATTTACATAAAATAATATAAAAACTCAGTGTTTTAATAGTGTATGCTTAATTTGTTTCTGTTGAGGATACCAAGAATCTTTGGATGAAATCAGTGTTATTACTGACAGTCATTTTCCTAAGAATTTATAGATCTTTCTAATTCCAAAAAGTTGTTTTAGCCTTCTCATTTAGGAATATTAAAAATGTTGTTTTTTTCCTCACCCATATGATTCTTGGAAAGCACCTAGTTTATCAGCAGAATTTGAGATTAAATTTCTGTTATTCTTACCTATAGGATACGTTGTCTTTTTGATCTTTGGATTCTCTGCTGAGTAAGCTGACTAAATGAGTTGTGTGATAAAGCAGGAATAAAGGAGCAGTATTATTTATTTCTATATTTTGGGAGCTTTTCCTAACAGCCAGCCAAAACTTTGCTTCCCTTTGCTTTCATGGGTTATGTTCTGTTGCAGAATTACTTACGTGCCTGCAGAACATTTGGAAGAGTTTAGAAGAAGCTTGGGACAACAATCTGGAGGGATAATGGCACTGGATATTTTTTCTCCATACACTGGCAGGTAAATGAAACAGTAAATCTGCTACAAAGATGAATGATATAGGTGGTTATGGAATTTTGAATCGAGAATCAGGGAGGACTAGCAATGAAAGAGGATTCCTTTCCTTCTTCAACATTAAGAAAATGTTTACCTTTCCCCCCTGTGCTTAAGTAATTATGACATACTGTGGAAAACTAGGAAAATATATGAAAATTCAAATCAAGAAATTAAAATAATCTTTAATTATACCACTTGAATACAGCACTTTTAACATACTGAGTTTAGAGATTTCACCTTAGTTATGAATATTGTTTCATCAATTTCTTGGAAGCTACAATTTGTGTAGTATTTTATCATGCTTTTTCCTATTTTGTATGTATTTTTAAACATCTTCAGAAATTTTATTTATTCCTCTTTTTAACATTCATACAGATTGAGAAACATTTGTAATGGTTAGTTTTTATTCTTGGAGAATGTTAAGCTGAACATCTTGGTATATATGCATGTTAGGAAGCAGAGGGTATGCCTTTTATTTATTTTTTACTCCTCACCAGAGGATATATTTGTATTAATTTTAGAGAGCAAGGAAGGGAAAGGGAGAGAGAAACATTGATGTGAGAAAGAAATATCAGTTTGTTGCCTTCCATATGTACCTGAGCAGGGATTGAACACACAGCCTGGATATGTGCCCTGCCTGGAAATCAAACCCATGACCTAACCGCTAAGCCACACCTGCCAGAGCAAATGTATGCCTTTTCAATGCTCTTGATACATAATGTATTATGAACCTCTAAATAATACAGGAAAATGGTATATTTCCCCCTCGTAGGAAAGGTAGGGACTAGGTTTTGATGCTGCTGCTGAGTTCAGCACAGGGAGAGAAAGAATGTTAATGCTTTTCCAGGAAGAATGTGCCATGTTACACACTCAGCCGCGGGTGGACCGGTTTTTTCAGTTGCATTGGCAGCTAAGTACCAGGTTGCTCTTTAAGCATGCTGCAGGGCAGAAATGGCTTTGTGTGCACACTGAGGTCTTCTCTGAAGAGTTCTATGGCTTCTCTGGGAAGTCAGAACATCCCAGAGCACTTTGGTGTCCAGTGACTCTGCAGGCATCACGATACGACATCATTATTTCCTCTGCAAATTGCGCATGGCCATGGTAATGCAGAAAGTGCTGAAGGGAAGATATGTGTTTAATAAAGGGAAGGAATGCTGTGACCTCGGGAATTTAATGGAAAAAGTGGTATTCACTCCACCCTGTCTGTACAGCGCTCAGCCACACTCCACTCTGGAATGTCCATCTTAGGGTTAACACTATCTTCCTGACGCTTTTTGCCAGAATGCTAAAAGCAGTCACTCCCATGTTCCTCTGAAATATCATTTCAAATGGCTTAATTAAACAATATGCCAAGGTAGCATCATATTCCTTTAAACGCTGAGGCCTTAAATGCACCCGAAATGCGTTAGAGAGCGCCATGTTCAGCACTGTGCTTCCCCCAGTACAGAAAGGAGAGCGGCCTGCCTTGGGCAGCGCTGTCATGGCTGCCTCACTGCAGAGGAAGTGTATTTGCTAATAATATAAAGGTGCTCAAAACAAAGCGACCTGCATTTTACAGAGTAGGAATCAGCACCAGAGGGAGGCGGAGTGACTTGGCCAAGTTTCACAGTTAATACGTGGAAGAGCCAAGATGAGGATGCGAGTAGGTAGGCTCCATGTTTTGAACCATTGGATCCAAAGAAAGAATTGCCCAACCCGAGATAAAACTGTGGGCAGCATAGCATGGAGGTTAGGAGCTCAGGTTTTGTAGTAAAACGGCCTCATTTAAAAGCTTAGTACTGCTACTTTACTGTATGACCTTGTGCCAATTTCTGGCAGCTAAATACACATGTAAAGGGAGTCATAATAGCTGACAGAGATGCCGTTAGTATTCAACACCACTCGGGGCTGAGCGAGTGCTGTAGGAAGAGAATGGGCCCTTCTGCTCTTTGGAACACAGGGCACTAGAGTCCCCTAGACCGCACTCTGGGCCGAGTGAAGAAGAGTCGGCACAGTTACAGGAGCGTGTCTGGGTCAGCGAAAGGATTCAGGACAATAGAATCGCTTGTTTTACTGGGGTTCAGGATGCTAGTCTCCTCATGGCTAAGGAGGCATGAGTATGAGGCATTGTGTCAGAGCGCTTCTGAGTAGCTCCCATAGCCTAGAGTTCAGGGTGAGAAACCTCCCCACCCCCATGGCAGTCACTGAATATTTTAGGGCCTCTTTCTAAATTCTTATTCTTGTCTGTCTTCCACAGCTGCTTTTTCTGTCATATTCTCTCCAGTTATGTTTCTAGAGGGTTAGTCCTAGTTTTCATCTCTCTGCCTTGTTTCTATCTGGATAAAAGCTTCACTCAGACTGTCTCATTGTCAGTGAGCATCTTAGCGTCATTTTACTCCCCCCACCCCACCACCACCACCATTCCTAGAAGTCCTACCCACTGTCAGGCTTAGACTCGCAGAACCCCAGTCTCATGCACAACCTTGTTCCTCAATGTGCACAGGAGGAGAATTCAAACACACAACTAATGGGCAGGGCCTGTGGGCAGGTAGGCTTCCTTTTAACAGTTGAAAACTAAAAACTAACATTCAGGTCAAAGAGAAAAATAAGAACTTTAAGTAAAGCCTGGACATTTACTTGCCAGACATATTATAAAACACATTCAAACACGGAGGTTGGGGGGGGGGGGGGGGGTTGTTGGATTAGTTAACGGGTAGGCAAACTTTTTGACTCGAGGGCCACAATGGGTTCTTAAACTGGACCGGAGGGCCGGAACAAAAGCATGGATGGAGTGTTTGTGTGAACTAATATAAATTCAAAGTAAACATCATTACGTAAAAGGGTACGGTCTTTTTTTTTTTAGTTTTATTCATTTCAAACGGGCCGGATCCGGCCCTCGGGCCGTAGTTTGCCCACGGCTGGATTAGTAACTTCAGCTCTCACTATCTAAAGATTCATCTGACTGAGTTGAGTAATCCTGTCGATGGAGATGGGTAAAATTTGAACGTATACTTTCTTTAGATTTTTCCGTTTCTGTAGAAGTCAATGGAAAATCACTTTTGAATCAGAATGTTATAGCCTCTGCTTTCAAATAAACATGTGAGCATGTTTCTCTAAAAATCCAATTTTTACTAACAGCATAAGACACACCATAAGTGATTTACCCATCCTCTGTTGCTCTTACATGTTGCCTCTCTGGACATATTTTGTTACATGCCTGGCATTTGGCAAAATCTTTACTCCTACAGAACCTGAGAAGTGAAGTATGAAGTGCTCTGGGTCTGGCCCTTCTGATGGGCTGAAGCTGGACCATAAGCACTTCCATCTTTCTTCAGCCATCGAAGGGAAATCAGTCCATTCCTAGGAAGCAGAGACGCTGAACTCCTGCGTGCTCACTGATAAGTTCTTTTAGGGCAGGAGTTGTCAACAAGGGCTGTGCAGTCATAGCCCACACGGAGCTTCAGTCTTCCTGCACATGGTGTGTAGTTAAGAAATACTTGTTGAATAGTTGTTGTGGTTGTTTTTAATTCAGGATTTATCCCCTTCTCATTTTATTCCTTTATTCACCCATGTATCATCAGGAAAGAGACTAGAGAAGACTCTTAGTATTCAGCTGTATCTTCAGATTAACTTATAGATTGATTCTTTTCTTTTTTTTACAAAAGCAATAAAGTTACTTTTTATTGAATTCATGGGGGGATATTGGTTATTAAAATTATACAGGTTCCAGGTATATAATCCTACAGCACATCATTTTTGGATTGTATTGTGTGTTTGCCACCCCAGGGCAAGTCTCCTTCCATCACTATATATAGATAGATTGTAATGTAAAGTGTGTGTTTTTGTTTAATGGGGTTTTATTTTCCCCTTAGTGTAAAATGTTGTATACTTATTGGCCAAGTATGGTGAAAATAGAAAGCAGTTCTGCCTTTTTTAGCCAAGTCAATAAAGAACAGTCTTGCATGGGTTACTAGGATTTTGGGGTACTCACTGTATAATTCTTTAACAGAGACATTCCAGAATTACCAGAGCGAGAAGAAGGAGAGGGAGAAGAAAGTGAACTTCAAAATGCAGCGTACAGCAATTGGAATCAGCCCAGGCGGTAAGGACTGTTTCTGTCTTCAGCCCACTCAGTGTTTAAAAATAGGGAGGTGTGCTTTCAAGTGCTGTATGGTAACTTGATACTGTGATGTTGGGCAAGTTGTTTAATATTCTTATGTATATATACAGTGGAGAAGATAACATGTATCACACAGGGTTATAACTAACGTGTGCAAGCGTTTGGCATGTAATAGGGATTAACTAAAATTAATTAAAGAAAATTATGCATAGGTGGTTAGAATGGGTATTTTCTATAGGGTTTAATCTTAAATATACCATCAAATGTTAATTAAAGTTTATCTAACATTTGTACAAACTATAGATTCAAAACGCGTGTGCATTTATGATGGTGTGTCAGTAAGAACCTTGTTATTCCCAGGCTGCTGTTATTCAATTTCATGTATAATAGAAAAGATGACTTTCCTAAATATGATCAGATATATCACCGTGCATCACTACACCACATTTTTGTGTTCATGCTACATAAATTCAAATTCATTTAATAGAAATTTATTGAGTTCTAATTATAGACTCAGACAAGAAGCACATGATTTTGTGACAACAGGGAAGAATAAGACATAAATCCTGCCTTCATAAAGGCTGTAATTTACTTAGGTAGGCAGCATATAGACACATACAAAGTAATTAAAGAAAAATGTAAGGTATTTTGCATTAAGTGTAAAATATGGGTAATCATTGGACACTCCCTCTAAGCAGATGTAAAGGTGACCATCACATTGTGCCTTTCACTTAGTAAATACTTAATCTGTATTCCACAGTAGTAAATACTTAATATTCTACAATAATAATACTTATTCTACAAGAGAGAATAATTTCTGCTCTTCAGAGATATAGTAGTTTCATCATTTTCTTTACTCACAAATGAATAAAAAGCAGCAGCCATCACATTTAAATATTTTCTAGGTTATCACGCTTGAAGTATAAAAAAAACAGGTTACTTTCACAAAAAACTGCAAGCATTTCCAGCCATTCTAAATGATTTCTTGATCTGAATTCTTGAAAAGCTGTTTAGTCCACTTAGAAAAGTCATAGTCTCTCTTATATTACCCATAGAACAGAATATAAGTGCTAGATCTGTGGCAAGAATATGTATTATAAGATATTAAGTTTCTTATTTGAGGATGGAAGCAAAAGAAAGTAGATGAAATTATTTTGTAGTTGGTGACCATAATGACAAACTTGAATTTGGTTGGAGGACAATAATCACAGGGAAATAAAAAGTTCGGTTGGACAGTTTTAATAAATGTGGGAGGAAACGTAGTTTTTAAAAGGCACTGTGCAAAATGGAGCAATCAGAGCTATATTTGAATTCTAACTTTGTCGCTTTCTAAGACAAGATTCTAAGTCTTCGCCAGGTCTCAGTTACTTCATTTGTAAAATGGGATTAATAATAGAACTTTTTACATTTTGGGGACAATTCAGCGTGATCATTCATTTAAAATTCTTAGTATAGTGCCTGGTACAGAATGAGTCTCAGTGGTTGGCCTTGTCAACAATCACCATCATCATCATCACTGACAACTAAGCAAACAGAAAGTGTTGAACACAGGAATCATTACAAAGTATTCTTATGAGAAAAAATTAATGTAACTTCTGTTCAGCAACGCTTTTCAATTTCTGCCCTAAATTTTTTAACCTTTATGTAAGCCTAAGAGAAGTCTCTAAAAGTGGTAGCTACCTTATAGAGAATGTCTGGAGCTTCCAGATATCTTAAAGAAGATACTCTGCACTCTTCTATATTCTTTACAGAAGCATTAGGTACTTTTGGGGGAAAGTTCATAGAGTATTATGTTCATAGAAACTTACCAAAATAACCAGGACTCTTAATAAATGAGGAGTGAGTGTTATGAATATGTTTTATAACATTGGAAACCTGCTGGGACATTTATTCATGCAGTCAAAAAATTTCCCTTTGTGTGGAAATAGAGAATACTTTTTAGCAAAGTGTAAATTTTAAAATTGCAAATAATCTGTGTTCCTGTTTTATTTTGCATGTGATTGTCATTGTCTGTGTCAATTTCCAGCTTGTCTACTCTTCTCTCTCAATCCAGTGCTTTGGAGATCTATCATGCTGATTCTTGAAGACCTAATTCATTCAGTTTAGTTGTTGCAGTACATTTCAGTATATGACTGTACCACGGTTTATTCCCAGATTGATATTTGAGTAGTTAGTAGTTATTTGCTACTATAATAATTATGTGCATTATATATATATCAATTTCCTTATAGTTATGTATGAGAATTTACCTATGTATATACCCCAAAGTGGAATTGCTGGTTCATAGATTTAAATGTATAATTTACTTTCCTAGAAATTGTCAACTTGTTTTACAAGATGGCTCTATCACATTTTCCTTCGTTTTCCAACTTAAGAGAGTTCCCTTTTCCTCACATCCTTAGTTACTTCTTCTTATGATCATTTAAAAAAAGTTTTTGTCAGTCTGATGGGTAGAAAATGGTGCCTTGTGTTAATAAACACGTAGGTAAAAGAGGATCGAGGTGGTGGAGTTCACATTTACCCATGTATCGTATGGATTGGATTTTATATATTGCTCAATTACATTACATCAGGGATCATAATCATAGTAAGAGAAATAGTAGACTTACTGGTTGTTTCATGTGTGTCAAGCTTCATTTCATACTTTATGTTTTCATCAATTTAGTAATCACAGCAGCAATCTCATGTAGAGCCTCTTCTGGCTCCATTTCACAGATGAGGAAAGCAAGAGAGAGGCTAAGTGGGTTGCAGAGGGCCCACAGTTGTTAGTAGCAAAAAAGCAGGACCTGGACCCAGAGACCCTCTGTTCAGAGCATGGGCAGCCTGGCCTCAGAGCTGTTTTACTTCTGCTTTTCTGAACTTCATTCTATTTAAGTCTCTGTCTTGGTCTAAGAAAGGCTGTCATCTTCCCATAAAACTAACTCCGAATATGTTCTATGAAGTATTTCTTTTGGGGTCTTCTTTTTCTACCCATGGAATGCTTACCCTCTCCATTCGGCGATAAGTCCGTTCCTCAGCACTGTGGTCATGGCGGCAGTCCCTCTCTCCTTATTTTCTCCAGTGCGTTCAGTTGGCACAGCCTTTCTTCCAGGCAGTGGGGTGTTTGAAAACCCTTTGTGCCAAAGCTGCACAAGCTTATGGTACTTTTATCCAAAGGTTGTTTAACCTCTCTGTGCCTCTCCGCCTCTTTGTAAGATGGGGCTAATGAGAGTGTCCACCCCACATGGATGATGTGGGAATTGAATGAAAGTGTATGGAACTCAGATAATAATGCTGAGCACATGGTAAGCCCTCAATAAGTGTTTGCCGTTGCTGTTATTTTTATCATCAGGAAATTATAAAAATCACTTTTTAACTTATACCCACCGTGGAGAACGCTAGGAGATATTTTCTTTCATTCTTCCTTTTCTTTTCTCTGTTTCATTTTTTAAGAGAACAGTTAAGGAGGCCCACACATGTATTCTGGATTCTTAGATATTAAATACAGTGACTAAATTTACTGACTTCCGTACTTTGCCATATTACTTAAGGAACCACTTTAAAGAGACAAGGAAGCGTGTTGGTTTTTGTCTTTCACAGAATTTCTAGACTGAAAGGAAGTGATGAAGAGCATGTTAAATAGTTTAAACTATTCACACAGATTTCATGAGATCAAGGAGCATGGTGAGAGCTTTGAAACTAAACAGGTAGAGTCTCTAGGATTATAGATTTCTAGTAAAGAAAAAAGAAAAATATGGAACAAAGCAGTGTCTCGTCATCTGACTGTCTGGCCAGTAGCCAGTCTCTCACTCCACCTGGGGGCTCTGCTGTTCCCTGCCTTTTTTACTGGGACCTCCCCCACTCACTGGAGTACTGGCTCCAACCTCCTCCCCTCTGGGAGCACCTCAAATGTCAAGGTAGAGAGCACTTTAGGGCCGTGCTTTCTTCTCCTACTTTAATGTCCAGTATTGTCCTCCTTTTGCAAGAGGCCAGCTGCAGTCTGCCTGTCTCAGAGTTCTCTGCCTGGTGACTGTTTCTTTCCACTTCCCTGAGCTGCTCCCTCATCTTGGCCAAACACCTCTCTGCAAATCAGCTTATGCTTATATCCCGACCTTGTCACTAGATGTGTACTTTCAGCTCATTCACAGCTCTTAGAGATATTTGCAATGATTATATATGAGCCATGTGTTTATTATGTGAGTAGATGAAGTGCATTCAAGACAAAAGATGTAGCAAGGGCCAAGGCCCCAGTCAGGAGAGCATGTCTGCTGAACTGAAGGCACTGCAAGATGCTGTGGTTGCTGGAATGGAGAGAGGAAAGGGAGAGTGGCAGTTGTTGTTTTTATGGGAATGGTAGTGGGAACAATCAGATCATGTGGGATCTTGTCCACCACTGTTAGTTATCAGATCTGCCCTGGCAAGAAAGACTTATACATACGTCAGCTTCCAACATAGTGGGTGCAGGAATGTTCTTTCTCTTGATTGCGTGGCTAAGCTTAGAACTGTCTGTTCAGGGGTAGCTGAATTTCTTGATTACTAAATGTCTACAATAATAGACTCCTGAAACATAGTACCTTGGTTTGTGTTCCAGCCTGGACTGTGTACGTTTGATATTTATTTTAAAAAATCATCTTCAGAAATGCATTAGTATTTATCAGATCCCATAAAACACATAATTGAGAAAATATTTAAAACGATCTTGTCTTACCACTGGCAAAACTTTAATAAATTGAGCAAGCAATATTTGCAAACTTAATATATAAAGACATTTTATTCCATTGAATTTAAAAATAGTTATTATTTTTAACCATTTGAATCATTTTTAACTCTGCAGAGTAGTGACATCAAGAATGTTCCTACTAACAGACCCCATAGAAATACAGAGGATTGTTAGAAAATACTATGAACAACTCTACTCCAACACACTAGACAACCTGGAGGAAATGGACATATTCCTAGAAAAATACAACCTTCCAAAACTTAACCAGGAAGAATCTAAAAATCTCAATAGGCCAATAACTATGGAGGAAATCGAAGCAGTAATCAAAAAGCTTCCAGCAAACAAAAGCCCGGGGCCAGATGGCTTCACAGGGGAGTTTTACCAAACATTCAAGGGAGACCTAAAACCTATCCTCCTCAGACTATGTCAAAAGATCCAAGAGGAAGGAACACTTCCCAGCTCATTCTATGAAGCCAACATCACCCTAATCCCAAAACCAGATAAAGACAATACAATGAAAGAGAATTATAGGCCAATATCCCTCATGAACATAGATGCCAAAATCCTCAACAAAATCCTAGCAAATCGGATCCAGCAGTACATCAAAAAGATCATACACCATGACCAAGTAGGATTTATCCCAGGGATGCAAGGATGGTACAATATCTGCAAATCAATAAACGTGATACATCACATAAACAAATTGAGAGAAAAAAACCACATAGTCATATCAATTGATGCGGAAAAAGCATTTGACAAAATCCAACACCCTTTCTTGATAAAAACTCTCAGCAAGATAGGAATTGAGGGATCATACCTCACCATAATAAAAGCCGTATATGACAAACCCACAGCCAACATCATACTCAATGGGCAAAAACTAAAACCATTCCTCCTAAAAACAGGAACAAGACAGGGATGCCCCCTCTCACCACTCCTGTTCAACATAGTACTGGAAGTACTAGCCGTTGCGATCAGACAAGAAGAAGAAATAAAAGGCATCCAGATTGGAAAAGAAGAAGTAAAACTGTCCTTATTTGCAGATGACATGATACTGTACATACAGAACCCTAAAGACTCCATCAAAAAATTATTAGACTTAATAAATGAATTTGGCAATGTAGCAGGATACAAAATTAATGCTAAGAAATCCATGGCATTTCTTTACACCAATAGTGAACTTACAGAAAGTGAAACTACAGAAGCAATCCCATTTACCATTGCACCAAAAAATTAAAATACCTAGGAATAAACTTAACTAAGGAGGTAAAAGATTTATATGCCAAAAACTACAGGACACTGAAAAAAGAGATAAAGGAAGACATAAACAGATGGAAGAATATACCGTGTTCATGGATTGGTAGAATCAACATCATCAAAATGTCCATACTACCCAAAGCAATTTATAGATTCAATGCAATCCCCATTAAATTACCAACGGCATATTTCACAAATCTAGAACAAACGTTCCAAAAATTCATCTGGAATAAAAAAAGACCCCGAATAGCTGCAGCAATCCTGAGAAAGAACAAAGTAGGTGGGATCTCAATACCAGATATCAAACTGTATTACAAAGCCACTGTTCTTAAAACAGCTTGGTACTGGCACAAGAACGGACATATAGATCAATGGAATAGAATAGAGACCCCAGAAATCGACCCAAACCACTATGCCCAATTAATATTCGACAAAGGAGGCAAGAGCATACAATGGAGTCAGGACAGTCTCTTTAATAAATGGTGTTGGGAAAATTGGACAGATACATGCAAAAAGATGAAACTAGACCACCAACTCACACCATACACAAAAATAAACTCAAAATGGATAAAAGACTTAATCATAAGACGGGAAACCATAAAAATACTAGAGGAATCCACAGGCAGCGAAATCGCAAACATATGCCGAAGGAATTTCTTCTCTGATAATGCTCCTAGGGCAATGGGAACTAAAGAGAAAATAAACAAATGGGACTTCATCAAAATAAAAAGCTTTTGCACAGCAAAGGAAACCATCAACAAAACAACAAGAAGACCCACTACATGGGAGAACATATTTGCCAATGATACCACCGATAAGGGTTTAATTTCCAACATTTACAGGGATCTCATGAAACTTAACAAAAGGAAGATAAACAATCCAATAAAAAAATGGGCAATGGACCTAGATAGACACTTTTCGAAAGAGGACATACAGAAGGCCGAAAGACATATGAAAACATGCTCAAAGTCACTAATTATATGAGAGATGCAAATCAAAACGACAATGCGTTATCATCTCACACCTGTCAGAATGGCTATCATCAACAAATCAACAAACAACAAGTGTTGGAGAGGATGTGGAGAAAAAGGAACGCTTCTGCACTGCTGGTGGGAATGCAGACTGGTGCAGCCACCGTGGAGAACAGTATGGAGCTACCTCAAAAAACTAAAAATGGAACTCCCATTTGACCCAGTGATCCCACTACTAGGAATATATCCCAAGAAACCAGAAACGCCAATCAGAAAGGATATATGCACCCCTATGTTCATAGCAGCACAATTCACCATAGCTAAGATTTGGAAACAGCCTAAGTGCCCATCAGCAGATGAATGGATTAGAAAACTGTGGTACATATACACAATGGAATACTATGCTGTGGTAAAAAAAAAGGAACTCTTGCCTTTTGCAACAGCATGGATGGAACTGGAGAGCATTATGCTAAGTGAAATAAGCCAGTCAGAGAAAGATAAATACCACGTGATCTCACTCATTTGTGGATTATAGAGAACAATATAGACTGATGAAAAGGGACAGACCCAAAGACTGAGAAACAGCAATCAGGCTATCAATCCCCAGAAGGAAAGTAGGGGAGGGCGGGGGTGAGGGGAAGAGATCAACCGAAGGACTTGTATACATGTATATAAGCCAAACCAATGGACATGGACAACAGGGGGATGGGAGCATGAGTGTGCAGGGCGGGGGGGAGGAGATTGGGGTTAATGGGGGGGATGAGGACACATTTGTAATACCTTAACTAATAATAATAATAATAATAATAATAAAAAAGAATGTTCCTACTGCTGTGTAACCATTAACACCATCCCTCTATGGAACTATTTTCATCGTAAAATTCAAACTCTGTACTCATTTAGTAATTCCCCACTTCCTCCTCCACCACCTTCTAGCAACCACCCTTCTTAGGTCCATATGGATGTGGCTATACTAGATACATCATATAAGTGAAATCACATAGTACTTGTGCTTTATTGCACTTAGCTGGCTTACTTCACTTAGGATGATATTCTCAAGGTTATTCTATGTTGTAGGATGTGTCAGAATTTCCTTCCTTTTAAAGACTGAATTATTTACCGTTATTTGTATATACCATTTTTCTTATCTATTCATCTGTACATGGACACTTGGGTTGCTTCTACCTTTTCATTATTGTGAATAATATTCCCATGAAAGTGCTTGTAGAAATATTTCTTTAAGACCATGCTTGGAATTAATTTGGGTATATACCCAGAAATGGAATTGCTGCATTATATGGTAACTTTATTTTTAATTTTTTGAGGAATGTCCATACCTTTTTCCTAGTGGCTATAAGCTTTTTTACATTGCTGCCAACAGTACACAAGGGTACAAATTGCTTCAGTTTCTCTAAATTTTCCTTGCCAGCACAAATTTTCTTTGTTTTTCTTTAAAGTAGCCATACTAATGGGTGTGAGATGGCATCTCAATGTAGTTTTGATTTGCATCTTCCTAATGATTAGTGGTGTTAAGCATCTTTCCGTGTACTTATGGGCCATTTGTATACCTTCTTTAGAGAACGTCTATTCAAGTCCTTTGCCCATTTTTTAATCAGGTTATTTTTGTTCTTGAGTTTTCGGGTTTCTCTATATATTCTGGGTATTAATCCCTTATCACATATGAAATTTGCAAATATTTTCTCCTGTTCTGTGGGTTGCCATTTTACTCTAAGTATCATTAGATAAACAAAAGTTCTTAATTTTGTGGAAGTCCAGTTTGCCTATTCTTTTTATTATTGTCTTTGCTTTTGGTGTCATTTCTAAAAATTTAAAAAAAATTGCCTAATCCAGTGTTATGAACTTGCCCCCTCTGTTTTCTTATTTTTATTTCATTTATTTTTTATGTATTAACATTTTGTTTATTTTTTACAGGGTTGAACTTTGGAGAGAACCGAGCAAGTCCTTGGGCATCAGCATTGTTGGTGGACGAGGGATGGGGAGTCGACTAAGCAACGGTGAAGTGATGAGGGGCATTTTCATCAAACATGTTCTTGAAGATAGTCCAGCTGGCAAAAATGGAACCTTGAAACCTGGAGATAGAATAGTCGAGGTACCTTCCACTGAGCTTTCTGAGCTAAAATCGTCGCCTTCTTCCATGCTCTCTACCAAGGGAATCATCACCATTACACCATTACTTGACCAAACATTAGAGAAAAATGTGCCCGCAGTTAAAGCATTTCTTATTTGTTTCTTTCCACCCATAATTGCTCTCTTCAAAATATAGTGACAGATTATATATCTTGATGTATAGACTGATGTCTGAAGGTACAACCAACCAGTTTTAAAACATTGGCTCTGAGATAAAATAAGTAAGTTCTGGTTAAAAGAGCAAAGCAAATTTCCTGGGGAAATAATTCTTTAATAGTATATATATATACACACACACACAAAAAAAAATATGTTCATCATAATTAAGTTTCCAATGAGATTTTATTTCTAAAACCACTTTATAGTTACTTCATTATAAACTTTATTGGATGAAAATTTTTTTCCAAGTGAGTCTTTTTTTTTTTTGCTAAGACCCTGATTACCTTGCATATAAATGCCCCCATCCTCATCTAAGCACAGGTTTTTCTCCTCCTCAGTGCTTTCCATTCATCACTCAGGGCTGTGTGCACGCCCACGCATGTGTGTACACATATAAGTGTATTTTGTTATATATGAGAGAGAAGCATTTGGTCAAATTGTACCTAATACTTTAATTCAAATCAAAGTTTAATATTTTAAATAGACTCTTCCCTCAGGAGTCACTCACTCATTTGCTTAACAAATATTTCTGGAACAGCTGTTGCATTCCAGGTGCTGTCGCAGGCTCTGGGCATCCCACAGTACACAGGGCACTGTGCCTGCCAGGTGGGACAGGCCTGACAATTAAGTCACTGCAGAGCAGTGTGATACATTTTTTGATCAGGAGAGCATGGTTTAAGTAAAGAGGACAGAGGAGAGATACCTGCCCCAGATTTGCTGAGTTGTTAGGATTTACAGAGTAAACTAAAAGAGACAATTTCCAAATGGAAACCGATTGCTTCACTATTATAATGACAATTATATTTACTTTATGCAAATGATTGACCCTCATTTTCTAAGTCCATATAGCTTACACATTAAAATGCCTTAATTGTTTAGAAGAAGGTTACACATTAACTATTATTTTAAAATTAGCATTTGGGGGACTTCTTTGTTTATTCCTTGATTGATTTATTATTACTGGGAAAAAGCAAGGGCTATGTATATTTCTTCCTCCTCTGACCACTTACAAGGAAGAATGGTGGGTTTTCTCTCTCTTCCTGTATACTTACCTCTCATTAGATGATTAGATGGCCTTCTTCTAAAGAGCTCTTTTTTAGTTGGAGTACTACCTAAAATTTCCATTTTTAGATTATCACAAGGCAGTTTATATTATGAATACTTCATTATTAAATATCTTTCACCTAAGTAAAAAAAGTAAGAAATATTTATAATTATTTCTGGAAAGGATTGATCATAGTTTGCACCAAAATATCTTTTAAATGTATTAAGAATGTTAAAGTATCACTTTAGAATGGAAAAGAATTTTTGTGTGAGTGGTAAAATACTGAATGTTGTTCAGCAGTGGTTTGTTGAGGGCTGTTATGTTTTGGGGCTTTTCTCATAAATAAGATAGCCTTAGGCTTCTGAAATTCTAGGGATTCTGTAACATGTTTCTGCTAAGAGTTTCTGAAAATATATGTAGATTAGATGAGTAGAGACCTGCAAATGATTTCTAAGTAGAGTTCTTTGAACATGAGCAAAGATATTAAATGTCCTGTTAAACTTTCCCACTAATGGGATGTATAGTACTCACTAATATAACTTTTATTCTATAAAACATTAGAACTCATTTTCAAGACCCACTGAAAGAGATGTTAAGTATCACCTAAGTATCAATCTGAGGGAGGTTTTCAATTAAATATGTGTGTTTTTTAAATATGGTAATGCAGAGAAATAATAATTTTCTTTTCCAGAAGTGTGTCCACTCTGATTTTGCTATTTTGTTGTACATACCATATTGTGGTAATTGGAAGTGATAAAACTATATAGTATCCTATAGTTTTCTAACAGGATTAGCATTTGGCCTTTCAAACTCTTTTCCTCCCTCACAAACCATGGTCAATAAAAGCTTACAAATAACTTTCATTTCCAACCTATTTGTATAAGAATTACTAACAAGTAAGCACAATTTCTTGGCTTCTAGCTCCTGTCATGTCTACTGCACAGATTCCTTTGCAAAACTAACCTCACCATAACCTGTAACTTCTGAACGCCAGCATTTTGTTTTTAACTTCAAGCATCCCTGTACAGAGAAAAATACACGATGTATCAGCCACCACTTCCCAAACCACTCTAATGAATTTGTAAAATATTTGTACAGTGACTTTCATGATGATGTTAGTGCTACTAAGCAGTTAGTTCCCTTATATTATTTCTTTAATTATGCTGATTTATTAAAGGAGCAGCCAAGCAGTGTAAGGAAAGCAGAAGCAGAGCCTTGATTCTAATTGATGACTATTTCAGTTGATTATTGAAGACAGAAATCTGTGTCCAAAACAAGGGCCCGCAAGTTTGCTGAACAGATGAAAAGTTTGGAAGCCTCACAGACAGCCGTAGTTATTTTTTGTTCTGACACTGATTTTCCAGGAGCCTCCCCCTGGATCCTCAGAACTCCAGACCACAAATTGTTCTATTGTTCTCTAGCTTCTTGAAATGTTAAGCTGAGGCCTTCCATTGCAGGTGGATGGGCTGGACCTCAGAGATGCAAGCCATGAGCAAGCTGTGGAAGCCATTCGGAAAGCAGGCAACCCTGTAGTCTTTATGGTACAGAGCATTATAAACAGACCAAGGGTAAGCAAACGCAGAGGGCAAGGGAGGCATATCCACGCAGTGTTCAACTCGGAATCTAATGTCTCAAGGGCCAAGTTGTCTCCGGAAGCAAAGATACCGAGTCTTGAAATCTCAGGAAACTTGTGAAAGATTGTTTTGCTTGTCTTTTTCATTGAGTTGTTGTGGAAACCCCTCCTATCTTGTTTACTAAGCACTTGAAGTCTGTTTTCAACACACAGGAGGTAGGATTCATCGGTGGCCAATGATATCTAGGTGGACAATTGTTAATGTCATTATAGTCACAGAGTACTTACAAGAGGAATGTGGTGTAGTCTTTTTCAGGTTAATAGTCCAGGACCTCTCGTGAAGTCCCTTAGAAGCCAGCGAGATTACATTTTCTTTATAAATTTATTTCCTTAGACAGAATTTCTAGTTTATGCAATCCCATGATCACCTGTGAATGATCTTGACTGCATTTGTCTATCCCACTGAACATTAAATTTCCACATGGTGGATTTTGTTCCAACTGTATGTGTCTATACCAGTGACTTCATGACTACTACCTCCCAGCCCCAATCACTGTATAGCCCTTCATCACTGTATGGTGGACAGAAACCTCCTAACTCATTTTACCATCAGTCATCACAGGTAAAATGGCTTCAAAAATATATTTTAAAAGTATAAGTGCGTTCAGTGAAAGTTGTTGATGGAGACGATACTACGTGAGGCTTTGTGTATTTGATACGCCCTAATGTTGCTGAAGAGGAAGATCATGCCAAGCGTTTAAAATTATTTTTCGATGCCTTCTCTATGCCTCAGTAAAAAGAAAGCTATTTTAACGTGCAGCAGTTCTTAAATATATTTGGACCGCAAACCCCTTAGAAAGTTCTTCAGAAACATACATGTTCACTGAAGGGCTTGCACACCAAAGACAGGAGTTGCCTAGATGTAAGTAAGAATCCCTGACAGGCTGGTTCTCAAAGAGAACTTTTATTAGCCTCTGGGGTTGGCTGTCTTTAAAAGGAAAATGTCAATATGTGTGAGGGTAGGTAAAAGAATGATCTAAAACTTAAAATGTGGAATTTTTATAGAAAATACATTGAACTTTTAAAATTAAGGATTTAAGATATCAATGCCCAAATGATGGAAGAGACGTAGCACACAGCTCTGTGGATGAGATCTGTCAGTCTTCTGAGCCGTGGAATAAAAGTGACAAGATCTGTCCCACTGGTCCTTCCCTTTGTTGTCGGGACAGGTGTAGCGCTGCTCTGAGTGTACAGTAAGGAGTGAATTTAGTAGTTCTCAGTGTAAGCCTTTATCTTCACATCTGCAGTTTGTAATCACTCAGTTGTTTATTGTTAGGTAATAATTATTCATTCAGATAAGAAAATCTGCCAAATGGAGGGCTGCATCACACCGCATTCTTTTCATATGCTATTCAGTTTGTTTAAATAACTATAAATCTTTCTACGTTTGTTTCCATTTGTGGTGTTAAACACAGACACAGCATGGTAATGTTGGTAAATGGCTGTTTAAGTTAAAGCTATTTTTTGTGTGGGTGGGTTTTATTCCTTTCTTTTTTTGTTTCACTTTTAATTTCAAACTTTTCTATCATTTAGGACAATACTATAAAGTGCCGAATAGGATTCTCCATATTACTTTTTTAAAACTTAAACTATAAACATTTCTTTCAATGCCAGTCACATTTGCTAATGAGCTGGGAAGTGGGTTTTTTTGTTTATTTGTTTTTTCTCTTTCATGCACCTGGAAAATAGTCCTGTTTCATTATATGTGGTATAATGATGCCTGATTTTATAGCAATTATTCCAGAATAAATCTTGCGTAGAATGACATATTTACTCAAAAAGGGTTCGGGACATGCTACCCCAAAATACGGCATGTTGGCTGTTGAATATTTTAAGCTAAAGGAATTTGAGAAAAGGCGGTTACAGGAATGACTGATTTCCCTTCTCCCCCTGAAGCAGCTTGTAAGACTCTCAGTGGGAGGTGCCCTTCCTGCCTGGAGAGAGGAGCATCCTTGTCTCCAAGGTGGAGGGATGCTGAGAGGAACCTGAATGGACAGATGTTGCTGACCTCCCCGCTCCCCTGGTTCACCCCACTTAACTCATATTCTCTTGTCCAATGACACTTTCCCTGACCACCCACTCTTCATCCATCCTAGTAGAAGAACACGCAGGTTTAACCCTTTCTTCGGGTCTTTATTTCCTCCTGAAGGGTCGGTGTCACTTAAAACTTATAATAAATCAATATGTATATAATTTTTTCTTGTGAATCTGTTTCTTATTACAGAGATCCAGCTGGGATCCTGAGCAGGGTACAGGCATTTTTTTTCCCCCTTCTCTGCATATGCATTTTGCTTTGGGAAATTAGAGTTAACTTTGCATTTGAAATGAGAGATACTTTGTATTCAGTAATTTACTTCCCTATGGAAAGAAATCGAGTTTCCCATAATCTAAAGGAAAAAAATCACAAATACCTAAGAGTCTCTTCATGATAAATGTTGTATTTGTGGATGGAATGGAGCTTAAAGGAAATCTTACCCAGAGGCTGAAAAGCCAGTCTGTGGCTCTCAGACTGTTCAAGAACAAGCCTTCCCGGCCCCAGCCCCAGCCCCAGGCCCAGCCCTGTTCATTTTTCCAGCGGGTACTTCACAGAATTCCGCCTGGCTGCACCATCACAGGCAAGCGTGAGCCCGTGAACATGGGCCAGAGAATGGTTCTGTCTTCCCCATGCCGCTTCTTAATTAATAACATTTCTATTTTTATCAGCCCTTGGAGCTATAAATAGAAGTTTCATCATCAATTTATTAATAAAAATATAGTCTTTTTCTATCAATCTTTCCTTAATAGCAGACTGATCCACCACTTCCCTTGCTGTGCTCATTCTGTACTTTTATATTCTAATCTTGGGCCAAATTCTAATCCTATAAGAGCTACATATGAAAAAAAAAAGAAGAAAGAACCCAAAACAACACAAAAAACTAGAACTCTCTTTACATATTGTATTTCTTGCCACTATGGTTTTATTTTATGTGATTCTGCAGAATTGTAAAGGAAATATACAACCAAATAATTCCGTGTGTGCAGACTGGAAATAAGCTCGATCTTCCGCAGCATTGGGTTTTCTGCCTAGGAAGCGTTTCTGATCTCTGCCTCGTCATTTCTTCCCCCGTAATATGCGGTCCCGTTCCTAGGCATTTGTGATCTTCTCTTTTGTAAAGCAGGAGTTGGCATTTTCAGCTGAAAAGCAGAGCGCAAGTCGAGATGAGCAGAAATGTCATGGTGCCCGTTTCCTTTTCCCGTCTCCTCTGTGTAGGAGAAACATTGCTGGAGAGCAGATTGAAGGGTGAGGTGGCACCAGCATTAGCATGGGCGAAGGCAGTCTCCCCAGAGAGTGCTCCCAGGCAGGGGGTGTCACGTGACGGCCTCTCCCACTCTCCATGCTTGCCAGGAGAGCTTTTTTTTATAGAGAGAAGCAACACAAACATTTCACTGGAGCCAGAATGAATTTTAAATGTCTGCAGTTTCTCCTGAAAGATGTAGTCAATAAAAGAAAAAGATAGTGGGTATGAAGAGGAGAATTTATTGTGCTAAGGAAATTACTTTTTTTTTTTAACTATGAAAATGCTAAATTCTGTCTGGCAGTCATCCTGCCTTTAATGTGCATATTCAAAGGCACTAGTCCTAGCTTGGTATATCGCAGGCAAGCCACAAAACCTAGGAGAAGCACTCTAAGGCCGCATTTCCAATGTTACTAAGAGCCTCATAAATGCCCCAGTAATGTGGGAACTTTTATAGGGAATTTTAAAAATATATATCAATATTTCTACCTTCACAAAAAAGTAGGCAGAAATAGAAAACATACCATATGGTGGTTCATTTAAAAAAAATTGTTGATTTCTGTTTTTAACTAAAAAATACTATTGATCTTAAGCAAAGTTAGCATCTAGTCAAAATATGATAATTTTCTTTGTTGGGAAATGAGATGAAAAGACTAATGAAGTTTACCCCTGAACTAGCAGACAAATATTTAATTTGCATTCTGGAAAAAAGATAAACTATTTGTTTTACCAAAAAAGCATAATTTGCTTTTAAATATAAAGTTAGAAAACTGATATGATTTCAATTTTGAAAGATAGTTACTGATACACATAGGACATATATTACTATATAAAGTGGGCAAATATATGTGTATCTGTCAGAGAGTGAAGTCATTCAGTGAAAACAAAAGAAATTTGGGATCCATTGGACAGACTCATTTCCCACATAGTTTTGTGGCCAGATTGAGATCAAAGTGTAGATTCCGGTCACTAAAGATAAACCTTTCGTTCCAGACTGTTTCATAAGATGTTATTATTAATACTAGATCTGACAGGATCTAGTTTTACACAGTTATTTAAACCAGTAAGTACTTTGTTCTTAAAACTGAGTTGTTTGGGATCCATTTCTTTGGGCTCAGTGCCTCTTATGTTTCCTTTTAGAAATCCCCCTTGCCTTCCTTGACGCACAGCCTTTACCCTCAGTACAACTTCAGCAGCACTAACCCATTTGCTGATTCTCTGCAGTTCATCGCTGACAAGGTTGGAGAATGCCCATTGTCTTGCCCTTGCCTTTTGCACATGTTTTGTTCTGTGTTACTGCCGTGCCTTTGTCCCAGTTCACTGTTTACTAGATTTGGGCAGGGGAGAAAAACAAAACACGACAACTGTGTGCTTGGAGTGGGCATGTACCGTAAATCCTTTCTTAAGCACATTTTCTTGCCAGAACATCTTTATAGCTGAATTAGATGGTCCTTCTGAAGAGGAAGGGATAATTGTGAGTTCAGTGCCTTTTCTGTATTTTGCTGTGCGTTAAATTTTCTGATACTTACTATGAAGTCTTTGTTAAATATATGTATCACTGTCACATAATTTCTTTAAAACTGTGTATTGGTTTAAATGTTTAATAAACCAAAATAAGGTGGTCCTAAAAGCTCTCCTAGGAGTTAACCACTCCACGGAAAATTGTGTACGTGTAGGAGTCTGTGGAATATTCATACAGTGCATCCATGTAAATGCCTGACTCAGGAAATGTGTAGCTGTTTCAGTGCCTGTAAATCTGTACTTGGGATATTCTCGTAACTGATGGAATTATAAATCCAAAACTGGAAAAAAATTGCAAGGATAAAGATACTATAATGCGATTGTGAAAAGGAAGAAAGCTGTGAACAATTTCTCTCAGGAAGCATTTTATGAATATTCATTGGCATTTCATGGTATTGTAACGAGTAAAACCAAAGACTATCTCTGAAGGAATATGTTTTCTGTTACTGTAGGAATTGCAGAATTCAAGTAGAGTTGTCTTCCATTGTTCCCCAACTAACCCTTTTGCTCCCACACCATTTAAGGTTTGTCCTGGTGTGAAGTTTTCATGAGTATGTGGTGTGCTGTCGTGTGCTGTGTGTGTACATTACACTGTGTGCGTACATTGCATGGAGTGATTTCAAGTGCAGTTGCATGTTTACCAATGAAAACTAAGCCATCTTTGTTAAACAGCTACATTTTTATTAACAGATTTTTAAGAAGTGTCAGTGACAATCTACTATACTATCTCAGTGAGAATCAATGTTTTAGGGGCAGTAAAATAGAACACCTGGTTGCCGTTGGTAAACACAGGCGTGGATTCTTTTTATGATTCCTCAGTTATGGTAGGGCACCGTTTCAATTTATACTCACAGCATAGAAACATGCCTAAGATCCTGAACAGTTTGTAGGCAAGCAGACTTTGTTTGTTTGTTTTAAGGAAAATAACAACTCAGAACAATTATGCAGTAAGTAATATCTATAAAATGTGTACCCATCAATTTATTAAAATATGGGAAAGTTTAATTTTATTCTATTTTTAAAAGTTAAATGAGCTTAATTCATGTTTGCTAACATTTCCTATTTTTACAGAGAAGTAATTTTTTTTATATTAATTAGAAAAATTTTAAATTACATATTCCCCACCAACTTAGTATGTTTAATGAACCTTTATTGGGTCGCATTAGGTTTTTTGTTTGTTCACTTTTTATTTGTACATTGTTAATGTGAGAGTTTTGTGGCCCAGCATTTGGGGAGGTAACAAGGATGTTGTTTGCACTAATGATTCTTGTCTGTTTGGGCAATTGTGTGTAAACTGAATATTTTAAGACAGCACATTCTGTAATTTGAAAAATCAATTGCCCTGTAAGTCTCTATCAATAAGTTTTGCCAGAAAAGCAGTAGTAATTTGTGTTTATTATGATCATTGTGTCGTAGCTTAGAATCCTGAAGGGCTTTCTGAATCATTAAAGAAATATTACATTCAGTGCCATGTAATTTTAGTATTAGGTGTATGTTCTGGTATTCTGAATCTTGACACCAATTAATAATCCCTAATTATTTGTGCCTGTCATTCTGTGTGTTCTGTAAGAAGTTTTTTTTTCTTTTTAAATCACAGCCCTTTTTCCAAATATACACATATAAAATAAAATAAGGCATATTAGAGGGATTTTTGTGTAGAATGAAAGGTAAAATAAGGAAAGATAGTATAATAGAGATTCAAGGCATCAGGGATAGTGTCATGCCAGGATTAGAACTTCAGCCAGGTATCTCTGAGCTTTGAATTAGGTACTCACTATCTTACGGTGGAAATTGGACGAGACAGCCTGCATGATGGAAAGTGCATTGGGTTGGGTTAAGAATTAAGCGAAAAGAACTCTAGTGCTACTATGTGATTTTAAACAAAACATTTCACTTTTCTTGGCCTCAGGTTATTAATCCACAAAATGAATTCATTGAGTTAAGGTCCTTCTAAACTTGAATATTTTGTTTGATTTTCTGCAACTTGATGATACCAAGTCCTTTCTTTGGATTAGGACCTCTGTGGCAGCAAGTGCACCATTCTATGCAGTTTTTCCCCATGTTTTCTCATTTACCTTCCGAGCTACTTTGGCAAGGGAATGACGGTGCTGTCCCTCAGATCCACGTCTGTGTGCTCCATGCTAACAAGCTGGCTCCCTGGGAGATGAACTTGCACGTGTAACATTTTCAGGGATGCGTTGAGTCATTTGGAGAGAGGATTCGGTAGCAATAAAAAATTATTTATATGTAGTCTCACTAATAAGCTTTGAACGTCTTTGGTTTTTTATTAATCCGTGGCTATTTTTTTCTAGTTTCTTGGAAGACTTTTCTAGACCACTCCCCCCCCCCCCTCAAATCTTGCCCAGACCCCTGGACATTTATGACAACTTTTGAATGAAACTTCTTTTCCAGAAGGGGAAGTTTGTATAATTTTTCATCTTAAGTTATTTAAGTTATTGAATAGTTTATCACCTTAAAATACCAAGTAACAATTTAATGAATTGTTTTCTGAACATAGCACTTTGTTTGTATGAAGCTTACCTGAATCCTGTCTACCAATTTGTAAATATATCTATTTCCCCCCATTATTTATACATCATATCTTTTAAAGCCAGTTTTTTGTTTTTGACATTATTTTCTTATTTCATTTCCTTAGCTTTTTTCCCTTTGATCTGCACATACCCACAGCATTCCTCTTGTTCCCACAGGCACCCAGTCAGTCAGAACCAGAGCCAGAGAAGGCTCCATTGTGCAATGTGCCTCTACCCCCTCCTTCAGCATTTGCAGAAATGAGCGGTGATCATGCCCAGTCATCTGCAAGCAGGGTCTCAGAAGAAGGGGACAAAGAGGATGAGTTTGGTTACAGCTGGAGTAAGTTGTCTTTTTGTAATGCATTTAATTGTCAGAGGTATTAAAATAGCTCTGCGTTTCTCAATGCCGATGCCCTGGATGAATAAGGATGTTTCAGCTTTAGTTATTAATACTGCAGTTTTGTGTAGGGGAAAAAAAAACACTGTTTGTTTTTGCTTGAATACAGCATGCATTCCCAAGGCATGAAATCATTTTCTTCCGTTCCTTCTGGTCTGCATTCTTGTGAAAGCCCACTTTGCCATTTTTATGAGAACTAAAGAGGGCGGGGCACTCTCTCAGAAGCTAGTACTGGGCCAGCTTTCTTGTGGTCTTGAACAAGTCATCTCCCCGCTCTAGGTCTCGGAGTCTTCCCATTGTTGATAGTATGCCTTGAATTTTGGTGTTTTCACTACGAGGGTGGTAATACAGTATAATTGTTGAGATAACAACTTTGGGCATTTGGCAGTTGTTTAACCACCTCTAAGCATTAGCTTAGTGGTTTGTCCCTCTCTTTAAAATACAGCGTTTAGCCCTCGCCGGTTTGGCTCCGTGGATAGAGTGTCAGCCTGCGGACTGAAAGGTCCCAGGTTCGATTCCGGTCAAGGGCACGTACCTTGGTTGCGGGCACATCCCCAGTAAGGGGTGTGCAGGAGGCAGCTGATCTATGTTTCTCTCTCATCGATGTTTCTAACTCTCTATCTCTCTCCCTTCCTCGCTGTAAAAAATCAATAAAATATATTTTAAAAAAATAAATAAATAAAATGCAGCGTTTACCTCCAGTTGCTAACATTAAATTAGATAATGTCTGAGGAATACTGACCACAATTCCTGATGTGCAGGAAGTATGGAAAGGCAGCTGTTGCTAGGATCATGGCTGTGTCTCTTGTTTCCTAAGGAGATAAACCATTTCATAGGGTAATATTAAAAATTCAGCCAAAAGTTATAACTGTGTCAGTACTTTAAAAAGTTTCATTTAAAATATATAATTATTTCCTTTAAGAAAAATGGCATGCTTTTCAGAAGATAAGAATGTAAAAGGTGTGTTGCTAAACTCTAGGATTCAGGAAATGGCAGTTTGTGAAATTGATCCAATTAAGAATCAATATAGAATACGTGTCATCAGCCATGTAATAACATTTTCTAAAGTTTACAGTTCTCAGTCTATTTTTAATGAAATTAGAGTATATTACTAATCCACCAGAATATACTCTGAGGAAAACATTAAATGGAATATTTCAGTTACCTATTGTCATGTCACAAGCTACCCGAAACTTCATGGCTTAAGAAAGCAGTTTCTTACTGATGTGTCAAGGAGCTGTGGTTGAGTGGATTCCCTGGGACAGGGCCTCTAGCATGGCTCCCTCACAGCCTGACAATTAGTGCTGCTACTGGCTGATTCCTCCACTGCGCCTGTGGCTGGGACCCCACACTTGGCTTTGCTTTCTCAGTTTAAAGAATAAATTCTAACTATTGAACATGTGGGGTGGGAGATACGAATGGTCTAATCTACTTAGGACAAGTGTCCGAAAGCTGGGACAGGTACATCGAATTCTCCTGACCTGATGTCTCTGTGCAATAATGAACCCGTTCCCTTTTGTATGGATATATGGACCAAGAAACTGTGCAACATGATGTGACATGCAGTGTAGATTTTCCTGTGAGAGAAAAGCTTCCACGGACCAATCAAGATGAATACTCCTGCCCTGGATGGATAGCTCAGTTGGTTAGAGCATTGTCCCAGTACACCAAGGTTGCGGGTTTGATCTCTGGTCAGGGCACATGAAGCAAACCAAAGAATGCATACATAAGTGCAACAACAAATCTCTCTTCCTCTCTCTTTCTAAAAATCAATAAAAATATAAATTAAAAATAATTCGCCTGGCCAGCATGGCTCAGTGATTGAGTGTCAACCTATGAACCAAGAGGTCATAGTTCAAATCCTGGTCAGGGCACATGCCTGGATGGGGCGTGCAGGAGGCAGCCAATCAATGATTCTCTCTCCTTGATGTTTCTATCTCTCTCCCTCTCCCTTCTCAGAAATCAGTAAAAAATATACATATTTTTTAAAAGATGAATACTCAGTGTTCTGTTCTCCTTTGAAAATGATAAATTAAATTCCTGTTTTAATCACAAGCTGAGAGTTTGTTAATGTGACCACTCTTGGACCTGATCACGCAGGTACACCAGTTAACTAGACATTATACTCCCTGCACCCTGAATGCAAAGAAATTCCTTAAAGTTTGGGTAGTCCTAGAAACCCAGGTGGCCACTCTGCTTTGGTTTTCTTAACTGCCAAGCATATTTTGGTACAAATAATGCCCTTTTGAGGCTATTCTAAGTAGCATTTGACTATGAATTAACTCTCAATACCTATACTCTTACTGTTGTTATGTGCAGAAAATATCAGAGAACGTTATGGGACTCTGGCCGGCGAGCTGCATATGATTGAACTGGAGAAAGGTCGAAGTGGTTTGGGTCTAAGTCTTGCTGGGAACAAAGATCGATCCAGGATGAGTGTCTTTATAGTCGGGATTGATCCCAATGGAGCAGCTGGGAAAGATGGTCGGTTACAAATTGCAGATGAGCTTCTAGAGGTAATTTCTTGTGGAAAATGCTGAATTTACTTTTGCAGAGTCGGTGCAGAGGAAGCATTAGTTTCTAGAAAATTCACCTGGGCCTCATAGAGTGATGGAGAAAACTATCGCTTGCCTAATAAAATAGATGCATTACAGCAAATTTGGCACTAAAGCAAATCTCTATTAAGTAGTGTCCATGTTCCCATTAACTTCCATTGAAAGGTCATGGCAATGTAGCACCAGAAACAATTTTTGCCCCAAGACAGTAATAAAGATTACACTTCAAAAACTTTTTTTGTGTGTGTGCTGCATTTTCATCAGGAGCTTTTGAAAATCCAGATGACCGATCAATCCCCATGATGAGATTGGCCCACTGGACATTCTGAAAGTTGTATCCCTAATAGTGCAAGTGACAGATGTTGGGTGCATTGGGGTCAAGGTTAAGTCTAACTAAAACAGTAATTCAGCCCTCCAAACAAAATAAACTTGTGGACCATGCTTTATAGTTTTAGAACTATATCTGCTTGTTTTGTTTGCCCTTGCCTCCTGTAGGCTGGGATCCACGTTTTTGTATTGCCTTAATGTTCTTCCCGTACTTGTGTATTTCTCTATTGGTTAGAAAGGCTCAGTCAGCAATGGCTGAATGACTAGAACAGCAGTCACCAACCGGTGGTCCATGAACCACTGGTGGTCCGTGAGGTTCGAAAGGTTGGCGACCGCTGGTGTAAGGAAACCTTTGGAGCAGCAGTCGCCAACCGGTGGTCTGCGGACCACTGGTGGTCCGTGAGGTCCAAAAGGTTGGCGACCACTGGACTAGAAGACCAGCAGTTTCATCAGGTGCTGTGCTGCATAGACACAATGTACTGCCACATCCTAGTTCTGTCAGCATTTCTTCTCCCAGTGGCCCATGCCCAAGCCTTGAGTTTTCAGACTAATTAGAAAATACAACAGTATAGGGCTTCTCTGGATGCTCTGTGCAGGTCACACATGCTCCCACAGAGCCCCTGCTTTGTACAAAGCGCACTGAGGCCCAGTGCCTGCCAGGGAACTCACTGTCTGCTCTCCTTCAGTCAGTCCAAGTGCTGCCTCCTCAGCTCTTGGAGCTCAGGCCATATTACACCATTTTATTGTTGGCTTCTAAATGAGCTTTTCTTTATTCACCATCAAAGTCAGGTTCATGTTCTGGAAAGGATATATATATGCCTAATGCATGAAATTCATGCAAGGCCCTTGGCCCCAGCCCCCGCCTGCTGCCACCATGGCTGGGGGCCTCTAGTGTGGCCTCCGCCCGCTGCGGCTTTGTCCAGAAGGAAGGATGTCTAGTCTAATTAGTATATTACCCTTTTATTATGTAAATATATATATGAAATATTAGTTTAAAATAAAAAAAATATTTCATTAGCTAGATAGGATGATAAAAATTTACAAAATTAAAATTCCAGGCTCAATTAATGATATTTATTTCCCATAGATCAATGGGCAAATTTTATATGGAAGAAGTCATCAGAATGCTTCCTCAATCATTAAATGTGCCCCTTCTAAAGTGAAAATAATTTTCATCAGGTGAGCATTTTCTTTTTCTGGTTTACTAAAAAATGTTCGTTAGCCTTTCAGTTCTGTTATTTTTGAATGAAAATAAAGCATTTATAAATGTTTTAGTGTTGCAGTTCCAGGCCTTTGGGGTTACAGAATTTTCTGTAATAATCCTTCTGAATCTTAAAGTAAAATGTTGAAATAATGTGAAGTGTTATGATGTGATAGGTCAATGCATTTCCTTTTAGGAATAGAGATGCAGTGAGTCAGATGGCTGTGTGTCCTGGAAATACAGTGGAATCTTTGCCTTCTACCTCAGAGAACCTTCAAAATAAGGAGGTATGTAGCTCATGTTTGTTTCTCTGGAAGATTTGATTGATATGCCACTTCTTAATTCAAACAATTATAGAACCCTTACAAGGCTGTCAAAAGATAAATAAGTCATAGCCTTGGCCCCCATGGAGGGTATAGCCCAGTACAAGAAGCGCTCGAGTAAGCAAGCTCACCACTAACATGAAGGCTATTAGTAGAGTTCACATAGGGAATAATGAAGGCACTAGAAGAGGAGGTGCCAATTCCACCTCTAGGGAGAGAGAATAGGATGTTATAGAGGAGATTATGTGTAGGTTGGAAGTAGAAGACTTGGGGGCACAAAGAAGCAGAGGGTTGAGGAATGGTGTGGAAGATCCGGCAAATACAGACAATTAAAAATTGCAGAGCATACTGAACAGCGTGAGGCGGGGGATGGGGAGCTGGTGAGGCAGAGTCACTGTCAAGGGAAGGAGATGGGTCAGGTCATAGGAATATGATGAAGACTTTGTCTTGGAGGCCATGTTGTTGGGAACTCAAAGAATCAGAACTGTAATTTTTGAAGACATTGCTGGAAATGGTGCAGAGCAGAGAAAAATCAGAAGTTGCTGGGAAGTGAAGTAAAGGGTAATAAGAAAATTATAAGAGTAGTTCAGGAGAAAGAAAATAAGGTTCTAAGTAATGTAAAAAAACAATAAAATAAAAAATGGAAATGGTGACATCAGATGTTTAGGACCCAAATTGACATTACTTCATCCTCAACTAAATGTAGTCATTAAGGAAAAATGAATATTTGAGAATTTATTTATCCAGCAAATATTTATTGCGTGTCTGCCTGATTCTATCAGGTACTGTTCTTTGGGCAGGGTATAATAGACTGGCAGGTGAAACAGATAAGATGTACAAGGTTTCCAGATGTCTGACTTGGTGACTTGATGGATGGGTGACTTTTATCAAAATATATAAATAAATAAAAAGAGGAATAAATATTTGTAAAACTAGAAGACATGTATTTAGGCAACCTAAGAGTGAAGTATAGTTTACATTGGGACATTTGGTCTAGAGTTCAGAGATGAATTCTCTTAGATGCAGATTTGGTGTGAAAGCTGAGGCACTTGACTACAGAGAACATTTAGAGAGAACAGGGCCAAGGTCAGGATTATGTAATAACAATCAGAAAGAAGGCTGATACATATGGTCAGAGTTGATGAAGTAGAGCCAGGTGGACGTGCTGCATAACAGCTGATGAGACCACATTTCAAGAAGAATGGGCCCTGACCAGTGTGGCTCAGTTAGTTGGGCATTGCTCTGTGCACTAAAAGGTTGCTGGTTCAATTCCAGATCAGGGGGCACATGCCCCTCTCTCACCCCCCGCCCCCCCCCCGCCATTTGCAAGCTCCTAGCACATGAGGCAGCTGATGTTGTGCTCTCACATGGATGTTTTTCTTTTCTCTCTCTCTCTAAAAATCAATTTAAAAGTATTTAAAAAAAACCATGGATCATCTTTGTCCCTTATAGTTAAAGCTGATATAGCTATCTATCCTATATAATAAAGAGATAATATGCAAATTAACCCTCATGCCCTCACAAGATGGCTGCCTACGACCAGGCTGGCAGGGGGGGTTAGTGAGGGATGACCAAATGACTGAACAGCAGGCTGCATGGGGCGACCAGGCTGGCGGGTGAGCCATGAGGGGTGACCAGGCCGGCAGGGGGGGCAGCTGGGGGCGACCAGGCAGGCAGGCAGGCAGGTGAGCGATTAGGAGCCAGTGGTCCAGGATTGTGAGAGGGATGTCTGACTGCCAGTTTAGGCCAAAAACTGGCAGTCGGACATCCCCTGAGGGGTCCCAGATTGGAGAGAGTGCACGCTGGGCTGAGGGGACCGCCCCACCCCTGTGCACGAATTTCGTATACCAGGCCTGTAGTATGTATGTAACAGCCTGATATGCGAAGTGCCCAACTAATAGGTCAACCGTTTGGACAACTGCTCGACCAGTCACCGCGATGCGCACTGACCACGAGGGGGCAGAAGCTCCAATTGGTAGGTTAGCTTTCTGTTGAGGTCCAGTTGACAGGGACTGAATGAGACGAGCCAGACACACCCTGGAGCCCCCCCCATCCCCTGCAGGCTGGCCTGCCAGGCCCAGTCAGCCCCAATCAGGACTGGGCAAGATAGGCTGGACCAGCCGTGGGCAAACTATGGCCCGCGGGCCGGATCCAGCCCGTTCGATCCATCCCCCTCTTGCTCTCCCCTCCGCTCCTTCAGCAGCAGTGTTAACATGTATTAGTTCCACAAACACGCCATCCATGCTTTTGTTCTGGCCCTCCGGTCCAGTTTAAGAACCCATTGTGGCCCTCGAGTCAAAAAGTTGCCCACCCCTGGGCTGGACACTCCCTGGATTCCTACCGCGGTCCCTCCCTGGCCTCTAAAATATTTCTTCTAATTGATTTCCTTTCAGTGTATAAAAATTCCTGCACTGGGCCTCTAGTATATAAATAACAACCCACCCAAACATTGAAAAAAATAGAAGGGTATATTCTACAACCTTGAATACTGCAAAGAGGTAAGAAAATGAATAAAGAATGTCCATTGGAGTTGGCAATTAGGAGATTATTAGTGATTTCTGAGAAAGCAAATAATGGGTAAGAAGTTAGAACAAAGAAGGCAGTGGCCAGAAGGTGACCAAAAAAGAGATTTTGGTGGAAGTCCTATTTTTATTTGGAAAAGCTTTGGCTACATGTTTCAGATGAATAGAAGGAAGTAATAGAAAAAAAGAGTGAGAAAATTAGAGGAGCCATGAGTGTCATCAGTGAGAAAAGGAAACACTATTCCCTCAATAAACATATAAGCATTGGGCTTTATCTATACACTAGAGGCCTGGTGCATGAAATTCATGCACTTGGGTGGGGGGGGTCCTCAGCCTGGCCTGTGCCCTCTTGCAGTGTAGGAGCCCTTGGGGATGTCCGACTGATGTCTTAGGCCCACTCCCAGTGTGGGAGCCTGGCTTCTGGCTGAGCAGTGCTCCCCCTGTGGGAGCACACTGACCACCAGGGGGCAGCTCCTACATTGAGAATCTGCCCCCTGGTGGTCAGTGCACATCATAGCAACCAGTTCCACTGTTCAGTCGATTTGCATATTAGCCTTTTATTATATAGGACTAGAGGCCCAGTGCACAAAAATTTGTGCACTCGGGGGGGAAGGGGGTCCCTCAGCCCGGCCTGTGCCCTCTCGCAGTCTGGGACCCCTCAGGAGATAATGACCTGCTGGCTTAGGCCGGCTCCCGAATGGCAGAGGGCAGGCCCAATCCCTAGGTGCAGACCCTGGTCGGGCTCAGAGCAGGGCCGATTGGGGAGTTGGGGCACCTTCCCCTGTCATGCACAGAGCAGGGCGGATCGGGAGGTTGCGATGCCACCCTCACTCACGCTCAGGGTAGGGCCAATTGGGGGGTTGGGGCACCACCCCCTGTCACACTCAAGGCAGGGTCGATGGGGCGGTTGCGGCACCACTCCCTGTCACGCACAGAGCACGGCCCATCAGGGGGGTTGGGGCTCCGTACCCTGTCATGCACAGAGCAGGGCCCATCAGGGGGTTGGGGAGCTCCCCCCTGTCATGCACAGAGCAGGGCCAATCGGGGTTGGGGCGCTGCCCCCTGTCATGCACAGAGCAGGGCCCTTCAGGGAGGTTGGGGCTCCATACCCTGTCACGCACAGAGCAGGGTCAATCAGGGGGTTGGGGATCTCCCCCCTGTCATGCACAGAGCAGGGCCGATAGGGGAGTTGGGGCACCGCCCTCTGTCACACTCAGGGCAGGGCGGATCAGGGGGTTGGGGCGCCGCCCTCTATCACCCACAGAGCAGGGCCGATCAGGGGGTGGGGGAGCCCCCCCCTGTCACACTCAGGGCAGGGCCGATGGGGAGGTTATGGCTCTACCCCGTCACACACAGAGCAGGGCCCGTGGGGGGCGGGGGGGTTGGGGCGCCGCACCCTGTCACACAGAGAGCAGGGCGGATAGGGAGGTTGTGGCCCCGCCCCCTGTCACACACAGAGCCGCAGGGCGATCAGGGGGTTTGGGCGCTGCCCCGTGTCATGCTGATCCCAGTGCCGGGAGGCCTCGTGACTCCGCTGATCCCAGTGCTGGGAGGCATATTACCCTTTTACTATATAGGATAGAGGCCTGGTGCACGTGTGGGGGCCGGCTGGTTTGCCCTGAAGGGTGTCCTGGATCAGGGTGGGGGCCCCCACTGGGGTGCCTGGCCAGCCTGGATGAGGGGATGATGGCTGTTTGCAGCTGGTCACACACCCTTCAGGGTGGGGGTCCCCACTGGGGTGCCTGGCCAGTCTGGGTGAGGGGCTGAGGGCTGTTTTCAGGCTGGGACTGAAGCTCCCAACTGCTGCTTTTTTTCTTTTATTTTTTTTATTCTGGGCCAGCTTTAGCTCTGAGGCTCCAGCTCTTAGGCCTCCACTCCTGAAAGCAGGTATCTGGTTTGTTTCGGTTTTATAATCGAAACTCTGTATCAACTCCAGCTCTGAGATCCCAGCAGCTGAAAGCTGGTTTCTGGGGTTTTGTTTAGCATCTATATTTGTTACAATGTTTGAAACTGCAGGCTGAGAGGCCGGCAAGGCAGGCGGGGAACGTTGTAGTCCTCCGTCACTGAAGCAAGCAAGCCTCATGTTAGTTTCAAGCTGCCTGGCTGCTGGCCGCTGTCTTGGCTGGCAGTTAATTTGCATATCTCGCTGATTAGCCAATGGGAAGGGTAGCGGTTGTACGCCAATTACCATGTTTCTCTTTTATTAGATTGGATTATTATATAGGATAAGATAAACGAACTATTGTCTCCTTCTGGTGAACTGAATCAAGTGGTTTTCCATGATTATAAAGGAGAACAGTTTATTTTCCTATGGGCTGTACCAAACATGTCCCTTAGTGAGATGGAGTATTTTAACAATTTTCAGGTAGAACATTTAATAGCTCCTAAATTCACTTGATGGCTAACACAGTAAAGAATAGTGGATGGTACCTCTTCTGGTACCAAAGGTTCTGTGTTTCAATGCGTTTCACTGTTTTGTAGCTGGGTTGCTACTAGATTTCATTGTAGTATAAATCAAGGCAGCTTGAAAATCCACATTGTGTCTCTGCTCTAAAATAACTGCTGTCTAAACACACCTCAGTAGTGTTCCGGAGAGAGTGTATTGTTCTCTCCAAATAGTAATAATGAATTGCATTACATAAAATGATTTTGACTAAGTGGCTCTTATAATTTAACAAACAAAAAGATACGACACTCCATTGCCCATTTTGCCATTTCTTTCTCTGTCAGGCTGAACCAAGTGTTGCCACTTCCGATGCAGCTGTGGACTTCAGTTCATTTACAAACGTGCAACATCTGGAGCTTCCCAAGGTAAATCTGCTTTGAATTGGAGTGAAATGATATTCACATTGCTGTCCTCATCCACTGGTTCTCAAAAGTGTGGTCTCCATCAGCAACATCAGTCAGCATTACCTAGGATCTTGTTAAAAATGCAGGTGCTTGGGGCCACTCAGACCTACTGAGTAACGGGGTGGCCCACAGCCTGTGTTTTACTAAGCCTTCTCAGTGACTGCAATGAACGCTGAAGGGTGAGAACCACTGTGCTAACTGATACTTTAGTAGGGACCCTCCTTTTCCTCCTTTATGGTACCCCAAGGTACGAGATTTTGTGGTCCCTCTTTTGATCTATTTACCAGGGATCTGCCAAGGCAGGAATAAAAGAATAAAGAAACAGAAATGATGGTTTCTTTTCCTTCATAAAATGGAAAGCTCCAATTCTAGAAGTTTCACTGATAGACAGTGAGGAATTTGCTTTTGAGAAGATCAGAACCTTAAGTTCAAATGACCACTTTAAAGAAGTAGTTTGCTGAATAGAAACCTATACAGGCTGTTAGGTGCTGCAGGGCCATGCTGGTCTGCAGGTGGACAGTGGATGAACGAGAGTACAGGCAGAAAGAGCATTGGAGAGCTGAGGGGGAAGAGAAGGAGGGAGGAGGGGTGGGGGATAGGAGGGTACTCAGTGAGATGCTGCCACGCTCCAGGTGTGAGTCAGTGCAGCATGATGCTGAGGCCAAGCCTTAGAAGGAGTGCCTCAGGGTTGAGGACCCACTTCATCAAGTATACACTTGACACAGTGTGTGATCTCCCTTGGCCTCAGTCTTCTCACCTGTAAACTGGAGAGGACAATATGATCTTTGATGTAGGTAATTGTAAAGATTAAATGAATTGTTTATCAAGTGGTTGGCATAATGCCTGGCACATGATCAGACCCTGTTAAGCATTTAGGAGAAAAAAATACTGTGACTTTATTGGTTGCTTTTTTACAATAGATAATTCTTTTTTACAATAGATAATTCTGTATGAGAGAAGTCCTTCTTAATGGACAATTCGTGTTGTAGGTTAGAGAGAAAAGAACAGAAGTCATTAAAGCCTTTTCCTCTTCTACCAAGAAGTCTATACACTTCAAGAATCCCTCATGCTATTTCCATGTAAGAGAGCCAATACCTTCCTCTTTCCCCTGCTGATTTCAGGGTAGTGTTACCTTTCCCAAGTCCCTAATATGTTCCTTGTAAGAATTCTCTACTTCATCAAACTGACTTGAATCAAGAGCCCATGGAAATTATTTTAAGAATTCATCTCTCTTTGCCTTTGCTTATATCAGGATGCCCTGCTTTTTTTAAAGCTTATCCAAATCCTACATAACTCAAGACCTAGCATAATCTCACCTCTGTTTATTTAGAAATATTTCTCCAATATTATGGCCTATATAATGCTTACTATTAATGTCTTCATTTACTTGTCATATAATCAAGAATATATCTCTTATGCTAAACTTTCAGGTGAGTATAGTATCTAACATTTCAATTGCATGTTGAGAGAAGTAATAACTCTTACACTTTCTCTCCCATTATCTTATGTGGAATTGTGTACCATAGTTCATACTAAGCATTAGGGAGGGAAGAGTGAATGCATGCTTACACGTAGTTTGTGCTCAAGGGGAAAGATGTTAAGATTGGGAGAGGCAGGAAGGAGAGAATAGTTTTTGTATGAAAATTCGAAATCATGTAACAGGTCATTTTGAGTTCTGTTTTGACTCCTTAGAAACTCTCTTGACAGGTCTATTATCTTTTTCTTTTTAATTCTTTTTTTTTTTAAGTGGGAAAATATAAGTGTAAGCAAAAAGCTCATAATGTGTATGTGGTTTATAAATGTACACCCAGTGGCTGACTGAAATGCTAATTCAGTTTAACAGACATATTTTTTTTTGTTAAAGATTTATTTTTAGCACATTTTGTGTAAGGAAGTACATATACATCAAAGCAGGTAACAACATTACATGATTCCCAGAGATCTGTTTCATATCCAGTTAATTTTATATGGTGACAGTCTTCAAATACAATTAAGAGTTTTTCTTCTAAATTTTAGGGTATCTTCCAACTTTAAAACAGTCCTCCTGATAATAAGAGTAGTTTGTTTAGTTTATTTCTACGTTTAATTCCTGTTTACATTTTTTTTTAGCTCTTTAATTGTACAAGTGTTCCTTCATAAATATATTTCCTTAATTTGTTTCACATTCCCCTTATGGTGATGTTTTTCTATTTTTTATTTTTTGATGATGCTTTAAACACTAGCTCAAAGCAAAGTTTCTAAGATCTATTTTTGAGGACTCTGTGTGCTGTGGCAGAAGTGAGGTGGAAAGTTGAGCAATTAGAAAAGAATTATATAGGATAAGATAAACGAACTATTGTTTCCTTCTGGTGAACTGAATCAAGTGGTTTTCCATGATTATAAAGGAGAACAGTTTATTTTCATGTGGGCTGTACCAAACATGTCCCTTAGTGAGATGGAGTATTTTAACAATTTTCAGGTAGAACATTTAATAGCTCCTAAATTCACTTGATGGCTAACACAGTAAAGAATAGTGGATGGTACCTCTGCTGGTACCAAAGGTTCTGTGTTTCAATGAGTTTCACTGTTTTGTAGCTGGGTTGCTACTAGATTTCATTATAGTGTAAATCAAGGCAGCTTGAAAATCCACATTGTGTCTCTGCTCTAAAATAACTGCTGTCTAAACACACCTCAGTAGTGTTCCGGAGAGAGAAACACTCACACCCCATTATCCTTACTTACCTGACAATCCATTATTGTCTATAGATGTGTATGTATTTGTTTTCATAGTATATTCTAAGTGGGATTGCAGCATATTTATACAAAAACGGACTCCCATCAGTCTTAAAGGAGGGATTTGTGGTCTCAGGACAGTTGACCATGTGGCTCAGCAGTGTCATAAGGGCCCATTCTTCCTGCCCCTGCACAGCTGTACACAGTGGCAGCTTGACCCCAAGACTGGTCCTCCTCATAGTTTTAGAGTGGCTGCGAACCATAATGGGGGCCAAGGGATACTTCTCTCACATATAGTGGGGGTTGGGAGATAGAGTGACTATCTCAAACTTCTGAGCAAAACTCTTGAAATTCATCCTGTTGAACCAGTTCAGGTCATATACCTTTTCCTAAGCCATGGAATAGAATTGTGCAACTAACTTCAGTCATTCAGACTCTATCTGTGGAGCTACTTTTCTATTGCTACATAAGAAATTCCCTCCAAAATTAATGGTTAAAACAGTAGACATTTATTATTCTCACAGTTTCTGTGTATCAGGAATTCGGGAGCAGTTTAGCTGGGTGGTCTGGTTCAGACTCACTTGTACGGTTGCTAAAAAACTGCCAGCTAGGGCTGCAACTCGTCTGAAGATTCGGTTGGGGCTGGAGGAACTACAGCCAACCAAGACGGTTTACTTACAGGGCTGCTGGCAAGATGCCTGTTTTCTCTGCATGGAACTGCTTTAGTGCCCTCGTGGCATGGCAAATGACCCAAGAAAAAAAGCAAGGAGGAAGTTCAGAAGCCCTTTTTGACAAAATTGTGCAATTACACATCATCACTTCTCCTTTATTTTGTTTATTACCATCAAGTCACCAAGCCCAGCCCCACTCAAGAATCCCTTCTTGAAGGGAAGAACATCAAAGGGTTTGTGTACATAACTGAACACCATCACTGAAAACATAGGCAAAGAGAGAGGGGGAGAGTGTGTGTGTTATTTGAGGCAGCAGAGGGAGGGGGACTGGATAGTCTAATGAAAATACATGAGTTTGTACAAAGGAGTAAGATGAGAATGAGTATTAGATAAACAGCCAGCAAATGCCTGCTGTAATAGTAAAGAACTTTCCTGACTACAATTAAGTGAATAGAGAATAATAGAACAAATATATCTATATCTCACTATAGATATAGAGTATTACTTATTCAAACAAAGGTTTCTTTGTAATAATAGGAAAGACCATTACTGTGGAAAATCCCAAATACAGGGTAACTAAATTGTTTATGCTTTGCATTGGCATTGGGATTTGCCAGTGTGGTATCACACTGACCTTCCTATTCATCAAGGCTGATTCTTTGACTGCTGGATCAGAGTTTGGGGTTTCAGAATACTGGCATGTTTCAAGAATTCATCTGAAGTAACCTTGGTTTTGTCCTGTAGAGTTATTAGCAGAAGGAATATGTGTTAGAACAACACTTGTGTAATGCATCAAGCTTTCACGCCCTTTCTTACTGCACTTAATCCTCACAGCAGCCTTGCTGTTGGGCAAATGTTATTATTCCTTTTTTGTTTTTTTTTTAGATAAGAAAATTGAGGTTTAGAGATATTAAGTGGCATATCCAGATTTCTTCAGCTAGGCCGGAAGTAAATTAGGACCGAGTTCTGTTCGCCCTAAAAGTGCAGTTTTGTCTTCTCTCCATGACTGATTGCCTGAAGGAGAGCAGTGGTGGACAGATGCCCAGGGAGAGCCTGCAGGTTGTCAGGCATTGTTTATCTCCCACAGAAAAGCCCCATGCTGGCAATCTTTAAAGGTAGGGAACCTGGCCTGAATGTCATGGTCATGATCCTAAAGGCCTGATAGCAAGCTTTGGCTCTTGTATACCTTTCAGAAGAAACATGGCGAGATTTCCTTTTCTCTTTTTTGCTTAATATTTCCCTGCTTGGAGACTGTAGTGGAAGAGGAACCCAGCTCAAACCAGAATGAAAATGTTGAACCCTGTTTTAATTTTATGAGCATTAATATTAAAGGTAAACGGCAGTATTGTGGAACATTTGGTTTTGATAAAAGCAGATGTGGAAAATACAAAGTAGGTGTGGCTGTCTAGCCTTGCCAGGTTTTCAGGGCAGGTCCTTGGGCCCAGAGTTGAGAGCATTTTCACTCTGCACCAGATCAAAACACAAGTCCCTAGAGAAACCACGCTGGGTCCGGAGCCCCAGAAGGGACAGAGCTTGCAGCAGTCATCGCGGCCCACCTGCTAAAGAAAGAGGCACAGAGGGGGAGTAGGAGCCGGCTCATGTGTTATTTGCAAGCCTAGGCCAGAACGAGGAAGCCGGGGGGTGGGGCGGGGGGGATACTGTGATTCAGCCAGCCAGTTACACATAAGAAAATTCTCAAGCATCCTATACTCATTGAATTATTGAAAGCATTTTTGTTTCCAGGACATTTTGCTAAAGTTACTAGAGATATGTTGCAGTATACATATGCTAAAGATACTAGAGCTAGTAGAAATTTGGGAGAAGTGAACATACCGGGTTAGGCAAAAGTCAGTTTACAGTTGTGGGTATGGAAAATACAGCTTGTCCCTGTATTATTATTGATTAATTATTATTTTCCATAGGAACAACTGTAAACCTACTTTTGCTCCACCCTGTATTTGAATATTTGATGGAGGAGAATTTATTCCCATTTAAAAAACTTGAAAGTTTGCTTAAGAAAAGAAGAAATTTCTAATAATAGATGTTAGAACAGTTTTAGTTTCTTTTTTAGCCCCTGGGTAGACGATGATGTTCAGAAATTATGGCCACATACCTTTCCATTTGAATAAATTTGATGTTTCAGATTTTCTGAGCGGTCTTGTTTGTATTTCTCTAGGATCAAGGGGGCTTGGGCATTGCTATCAGTGAAGAAGACACACTCAGAGGAGTCATCATAAAGAGTCTGACAGAGCACGGGGTTGCGGCCAAGGTGAGGCCTCCCCCTTTTCATGTCAGAAAGTGTGGAGGAGAAAGTTACTTCTGCAGAATCATTCAAATGTTCCATGCTTCCGTTTAGGATGGGCGTCTCAAAGTTGGAGATCAGATCTTGGCTATTGATGATGAAGTTGTTATTGGCTATCCTGTTGAAAAGGTACTTTTTTTTCTTAAAAAAAAAAACAACAAAAAACAAATTGTGCTGTGAACCTATCCTTAAGCATGGCCACAGTATGCGTGTGTGTGCGTGTGTCCCTGTGTTTGTGTGTACGTACTGGTCTCGTGAGTCCCGCAGCCTAGCACACTCGGCCCACTCAGGCTCAGCGGCGCTCTCCATGGGGGAGTGGGAACCAGCTGCCTGCCTGGAGATCAGTGTTTGAAAGGCCATAGTTAGGGCACCTGGTACTCTTTGGTGAAAGCTGGTATAAAGGGAAGAAGGAGTACTGACCATATGTTTGTCTGTGTGGTTGGCCATTGGAAATTATAGCCATGTGGCTATAATAGACAGATAGCCTTAAAGGAAGAGATTATTTGGAAGTTCTTCAATTTTTGTTTACTATTTTTCAGTGAAGGCTGTGTTGAGCTATTTTATGTTGCCTGGTAAATTCAGTAATTAGTGGACATTTTTTATAAAGTATCATTTCCATTTTCCCTTAGGAAAAGTTTAGACTTCTAAACAAGGGTCAACTTAGTGTCAAGACCAAGGAACATTTTTTATGAATGTTAGGTCCCATAAGTAGCCACTATGCATATTGCTTTATAAGCAGATTTTAGCAGTCAGCCATTAAATATGAGATAAAGCCAGCTGAAGTTAGCCCAAAAAATATGTATAACTTTTATTGGGATTAACATTTATTTGTACCTGCATTTCCTCTTCCTCAGAAGTGTTCATAATCCTTAGGAATCTCACTTGAGGCCTTTCATACAGAAGTGCGAGGAGCAGGCCTCTTGAGAGTCGGTGTGCAAATGCTTCCATTTCTACATTGGCCAGCAAGAAGCTGAAATCATTTGTTTCATTTCGTTTTAATTGTAGAGGTTGATCCTTTAACTCACATAACTTTCCATTTGACTTGATTTTTCTGTTGCATAGTTTTCCTTATCCTGCTTTTTGTTTCCAAATCTTTATGGATAGTATTACAGATGTGCCCCCTCCCCCATTCCTTCCCTTCACCTAGTTCCCACCCCGATTCCATTTTTTAAATGTTTGTGTAGGCTGCTTCAGATTCTCTGTAGAGTCAGGAGTGGTAAAATATCCCATATATATTAGGCAGTGATCCAAAGAAATGGATGTAACTAATTGGAAATATACAAAGTTGAAAGCTCTATACTTAGATAAGAAAGAGGAGAGTCAGAACTGGACTTACAGTAGAAGGTAACTGTGGCCTTAATATTAGACAATTGAGGAAACTGCAATGAAACTATAACCATTCTTTCTTGGCCCCTCAAATCTTGACAAGGAAAGAATTTTCCTCTGACTTTTCTCTCCTCCATAGATGGTTTTAGATTCCAACTATAATAGTGACTTCATTGTATATGCCTACTAATTTGTCTCTGTCTCTGAATTTTGTTTCCCCTTCACACCAACCCCCTGCCAGTTTATCAGCCTTTTGAAATCAGCAAAGACAACAGTGAAACTTACCATTCGGGCCGAGAATCCAGATTCCCAGGCTGTTGCTTCAGCAGCTGGTACATCCAATGGTGAAAAAAAGAACAGTTCCCAGGCTCCGATGGTCCCACCACCTGGCTCCCCGGAACCGGAGCCCGTCCGAAGTAAGGGCTGGTCTCGTGAGTCCCGCAGCCTGGCACACTCGGCCCACTCAGGCTCAGCGGCGCTCTCCATGGGGGAGTGGGAGCCAGCTGCCTGCCTGGAGATCAGTGTTTGAAAGGCCATAGTTAGGGCACCCGGTACTCTTTGGTGAAAGCTGGTATAAGGGGAAGAAGGAGTACTGACCATTAGACGGGTGATGTGTGTGCTGTATATTAACCAGCCTTAGGAAACCCATCCACCCTCTGAGTTTCAGCCTCTTCGTCTCTAAAACAAAGGAGTGGTACCCTTCGTTCCCCATGGACCTTTTGCTAAGGGTACCTTGACTCTAGGTATCTGACTAATGAATTAAAAACATAGTTTCCTACATTTCCTTTTTTTTTTTAAATCCTCACCCAAGGAGTGAGGATATATTTTCCATTGATTTTTAAAAGGGAGGAGGGGGAAGAGAGAGACAAACATCAACAGAAGAGAGATAAATCGATTGATTGCCTCCCACTCGTTCCCAGACCAGATGTGATACGTGCCCTTGACCAGGAATTGAACCTGAGACTCAGCCCTTGGGCCGGTGATCTAACCATTGAGAAAACAAGCCAGGGCTGTCCATTGTCTTTTTTTTATACTGAGCAGTAATTTAACTTCATCTCAGTGTTTGAAATGGATACACTGTAAAATGGATACAGTGATGTCACTTCATCAGAGGAATCAAAGTTGCCTGGCACTACAGGAAACGCTTAAAAATGCTGGTCATTGCCACGGGTGTTTGTAGTCAATCCGAGTGCTGTCATTGGGGTCTAACAGTAGATCCTGTCAAATGAAATGGTTATATGGGACCCCGGGGACAACACTTTTCTCCCATTAAAATGCCAGTCTAATATATTGGGACAAACTATTTCTTCCAGTAATCTTTTAAGAAAAATTACGCTAGAATTTACTAAAACAATACGTTTTAAGCTTTGCAGCATTAAAGAAAAGTACTTAAACACATTGACTTTTTTTTGCAGTTGGCGAAAAAATCTCTTTTGGCTTCGAAACTGCAATATTCAGTTCTTTAGAAGTTTTTTAAGGAAATAGCAGTTTAGGTTATACATATCTAATGAAAGTGATTATTTAGAAAGACAGGGTATTTCAGTGAATTATTTAAATATTGAATGGAAGTTTTCTTATTTTTAATTTTATGTTGATCCCTAAATAGCATTGTCTATAAAAATATGAACTGCTAAATGAAAACATAACTAAAAGAAAACATCTTACACCTGCTCGTACCATTTCAGGAGCAAGAAAATAGTCTGTCTCTGAGTTCCTAAAAAGAGCATCTTGTCTATAAAGCTGCTTTACCAAGTGTCCCAGCTTTCCCCAAATATGCTGTTTGCTGCCTGCTCTTTGGTGTATCATTAAACATAGGCTATGGAGACTAGAATAAAATGAGGTGTGAACGTATGTTCACCTTGTTTTTTCATGATCTATTCTTGTCTATCCAATTATGAGCATATATGTAGCAGTATGTAATATATGAGTTTATAAAACATCAAGTGAGATGCAGGAAAGACACTGTGAGTGGGTCTCACTTGACATTTTATAAACTCAGGTATTAACTAAGTTCAGCTGTGTAATGCTCAGCCTGGTTGCAGAAGAAAAGAGACTCTGGAATAAGAAGAAAAGGCGACAAAGTCAGAGAAGACCTGAAAAGCAGGCGCCGTGACCAAAATTGTTCACGTTCACTGTGCTCTGTGCTCTTCCCGGGCTGTGTTTTAGGTCCTGCCACACACCTCGGTTCTGAGCTTTACCGACCATGATTTCATAGGGTTTGTTTGGCTCCAGTGGAATGTAGAATATTGGAGTGAAACTAGAGGTTCAGTTCAACTCTCTGTTCTTGTTGCTTTTTACATAGTATCTGTAGCAATGTAAAAAAACAACCACACGCAGAAGAGTGCAGAAAATAATTTAGCAGGTAATTTTGTGCCCATACTGTAATTAAAAATGAGGGTTTAATCATATTTGTTTGGTGGTTTAGAATGTCACTGAAAGATTAAGGTGACTTTGAAGTCTTCTTTGTCCCCAGTCTTGGGCCCATTTTTCTGCTCGTTCTCCCAAAGACAACCAGTGTGGTGAGTTTACTGCATATGCCTTCTAATCAATTTGTATTTCATTTCATTTTTAGGTACAAGCAGGTCGTCAACACCAGCAGTTTTTGCTTCTGATCCTACAACCTGCCCCATTATCCCGGGCTGCGAAACAACAATTGAGATTTCCAAAGGGCGGACAGGGCTGGGCCTGAGCATCGTCGGGGGCGCCGATACCCTGCTGGTGAGGACACACCCAGAGATGCTTTGACACATAGGCAGCCCCTTCAGACAGCCCTGAGAGGCTTGTCAGGGAGCTTTCTATCAATTTTATTAAATGACATATAAAGGCTTAGAAAAATGCATCGTTCTTTGTTATTTTCATTTGTAGGGAAAATATTTAAGTGGGTGGGTACTGGGGTTTTTATTTTGAGTAGGCCAGTCTGACTCCGTGAGACTCTGTTAAACTTGTGGTTATGACCTTCAGGTTCAAAATATTTCTATGAGTTCAAAGTCCTTGCTGTGTTTTCATTTACTTCTTACTGATTGGACATGATTGGGTTAGACACATATTGAGAGGAATCTATGCATTATTCATAGGCAAATTTTTCTTTTTTCTTTTATTTATTTAAATCCTCACCCTGAGAGAGAAACAGAGATGTGAGAGAAAAACATCAATCGGTTGCCTCCCATACACTCCCCAACTGGGGTTCGAAACTGCAACGCAGATGTATGCCCTGACCGGGAATCGAACCCAAAACACTTTTGAAATACAAGACAGTGCCCAACCAACTGAGCCACCTGGCCAGGACTAGGCAAATTTTTCTAAGTGTCAGAAATGCTTGTGAAATCCAATCATTGCACGTGTGGATAGGAGAAATGATGTATATCTATTATATATGTGTGTGATTTATATATTTCACCATTTTTTCTTTAAGCCTCCCGATCATTAGAAAGAAGTTTAACCTTCTTTGAGCCTTTTTAGCAAAAACATTGTTGTTATACTTTTCTTTGAATTTTGATATGTGACTCACGTATGGACCCTGTGAGTGTGTAACCCGTATCACTGTCTATAAAAATGCAGTGTGTTTTGACTCCATTTCTGCTCACCATCCCTAGGGAAAATGGGATAAAACATGGGTGTGTCTTGTCTGGGTCCTTAGGGTGCCATTATTATCCATGAAGTGTATGAGGAAGGAGCAGCATGTAAAGATGGAAGACTATGGGCTGGAGATCAGATTTTAGAGGTACAGATGCTGTGTACTTGACCTTTACAGTTAACAAAGAAAAGGCTACTCTGGGGAGGGTGGTCTTTGTGTGTCTGTTTCTCTTTTCTTCCCCCCCTTTCCCCCCTCACTTCCCTTCTACTCCTTTTCCTCCCGTTTCTCCTCTCCCCCCTCTTCCTTAATTTTCCTTAACTCACTGGGTTCCTCAGAGACCGTGTCCCATTTCTGAACAGGTGAATGGCATTGACTTGAGAAAGGCCACTCATGATGAAGCAATAAATGTCCTGAGACAGACGCCACAAAGAGTGCGCCTGACACTCTACAGAGATGAGGCCCCATACAAAGAGGAGGACGTGTGTGACACCCTCACCATTGAGCTGCAGAAGAAGCCGGGGAAAGGCCTGGGATTAAGTATTGTTGGTAAAAGGTAAGAGAAGGGCAAACATAGTGACCTTTCAGAAATGATGAAATCTGAGGTATGTTAAAGAGAAGTAGCAGTAGTAACATCTTTATCAACAGCTAGTGTTCTGTAAGTGTGGAACATCCAAAGACACTGGTTTTGAACTTTTCCCGTGAGCATTTTGAGGGTTTTTGAAAGTACCCAACAAAAGCTGTTTGTTACTTTTGAGTACCTGCTATGTGCCGGGAAATATATTGGATTCTGGAGGACAGAGTTAAGAAAGACATGGTGCCCTAACCGGTTTGGTTCAGTAGATAGAGCGTCGACCTGGGGACAGAAGGGTCCCAGGTTCAATTCTGGTTAAGGGCACGTACCTTGGTTGCGGGCACATCCCCAGTGGGGAGTGTGCAGGAGGCAGCTGATCAATGCTTCTCTCTCATCGATGTTTCTAACTCTCTATCCCTCTCCCTTCCTCTCTGTAAAAAATCAATGAAATATATGTATTTAAAAAAAAAAAAAAAAAAGAAAGACATGGTACCTGACCTCAGAAAACTCAGTTTGGTGATTGAGAATTAAATGCATTCTTGCAACAAAGGAATCTGTTGATGAGTGACCGAAATGCATTGTGGGGATCCATGGAAGCAAAGGCAAAATGAACCAAGTAACTCTATTTAAGGGAAGTAGATTAGGAAAACTTCTTTAGAAAGAGGTGCCTGAGCTGAAGCTAGAAGTGGTAAAGGATAGTTGGTTTCTGAAAGAGGATGGAGGATACCCCAGAGAGAAGATCAGCATGAACAAGAGCCTGCCATCAAAAGGGGACAGACAGTAACTTTAGAGGCTGCGGAGGCATATTGGTGAGTATACGTAAATTCAGTACCAAATTTATTTAAATATTTATATATAGGAAATATTAGCAAATATATAGTACAGTAAGTTCCAACACCTTTATTCTGAAGATGGGAAAGCAGACAATCAGTTGGTGAAAGGGCTTGAGGTCACGACCTTGGCAAGAGCAAGTGGTGCAGTTCACCTTTCAGTTGCCTTTGTATCTCAAGAAGTTGTTGGTTTATTTATAGTTCTTTTTAAAAAATATTGGAGCCCTAACTGGTTTGGCTCAGTGGATAGAGCGTCGGACTGCGGACTGAACAGTCCCAGGTTCGATTCCAGTCAAAGGCATGTACCTTGGTTGCGGGCACATCCCCAGTAGGGGGTGTGCAGGAGGCAGCTGGTCAATGCTTCTCTCTCATCAGTATTTCTAACTCTCTATCCCTCTCCCTTCCTCTCTGTAAAAAATCAATAAAATATATTTTTAAAAAAATAAATAAAAATAAAAATATTGGAATAGGTTAGTATTTGTTCATTTTACATAAATCTCTCTTGATTGGTAGTTAGGTCTATAATGATTTAAAATAAAAGGCAGCACAGCAGGGGTACTTAAGTTTGGGGTAACAAATGGTCTTAGTTTGAGATACACATTAGTTACTCATTTTTAATAATGTTAATGATGTTGATGGTAATAGCAGCATATTTTTATAGGCGCAAGTCTATATCTGTTTAAGGCTTCATTATGGTGTAGAAAGAATAATAGATTTTGTAACCAAGGACGGACTCTTACATCTCATTGTTTTGCCATTTGGTAGCTGTGTGACCCATACAATGAGTATTATAGCCATTTCTACACATATTATATAGTTGTTAAATAAATATGCTTATGCAAGACATATTTAATCTATGAAATCTATATGTATAAAAGCCTAAGTGACTGAACAACCAGTCGACCGGTTGCTGTGATGCACACTGACCACCAGGGGGCAGATACTCAACACAGGAGCTGGCCTCTGGTGGTCAGTGTGCTCCCACAGCCAACCTCCTGTGGCTAGCCAACCTTCCTCAGTCCCTCCCCTGGCTGGCCAACCTCCTATGGTCCCTCACCCCAGCTGGCCAGGCAGAGGGACCCCACCTGTGCACAAATTTGTGCACCAGGCATCTAGTATATATTATAAGATATCAACTATTATTTATCATAAAAATTAATTCTAATATTGCCCCAGTGTTGATTTGAGAAGAAAAAAAAACTTATAAAATAAAATTTTCAGTTAAAAGATTTCAGCCTTTTATTAAATAAGCATTGCATTACAGTTGAGAAAAAGTAATATTGAAAATCAAAATTATGTTTGCAGAAATGACACTGGCGTCTTTGTATCAGACATTGTCAAAGGAGGAATTGCAGATGCTGATGGAAGACTGATGCAGGGAGACCAGATACTGATGGTGAACGGAGAAGATGTCCGTAATGCCACACAGGAAGCTGTTGCCGCTTTGCTAAAGGTAAAAATCAAATGCCCAGAATATGGTAATTGTGTGCCATGATATAGAAAAAGAGGAATTTAACCTTGAGCTAGCTCAGTGCAACAAGTACTGACTCCTCCTTATTTAAAATGTTCTCACAAATAAAAGATAAGTAAGAAACTATATTTCCATAATAAATAATCTTCAATACACAAAATCTTCACATGATATTTGTTGCAGTGTTATTGGTAATAATAGAAAAACTGGAAGCAATACAGTTGACAAAACTATGGCAAGGGTGCATGGCAAACATATCTGTTTAAAAGTCATGTTCAGGATAACTAATTAACATGAAAAAAACATAATAGAGAAGGTGAAACAAAATTTTATTCACAGTGTAGAAACATCTATGTGAAATAAAGTCTTATAGTAATTCTTTTAACAATAATTATGAGGTGATTATTGGAACTATGGAATCCTTGGTTCTTTTCTTCATTTCAAAATTTTCTATAGAGGGTGAATTGCTTTTATAACAGAAAATTTGGCTTAAAATTTTTTTTTTAATTTCTTTATTGATTTCAGAGAGGAAGGGAGAGGGAGAGAGAGATAGAGATAGAAACATCAGTGATAAGAGAGAATCATTGATTGACTGCCTCCTACACTCCCCCTACTGGGGATTGAGCCCGCAGCCCGGGCATGTGCCCTTGGCTGGAATCAAACCTGAGACCCTTCAGTCTGCAGGCCAATGCTCTATCCACTGAGCAAACCAGCTAGGGCTAAAAAATTTTTATAATAACAGATTCCCTTGACATTTAAATGAGATATGTTGCAAGTAGATGAAAGAGTTATAACTTCTCACATTGAATAATTAATGCATGGAATTGGTTAACCCCTGCAGCTATGTAAGCTAGAAATATAAGTAGATTCAAGAACAGTTTGATAAGTTCCTGCCCCTCCCCGCAAAATACCAAACAAACAGAAAAACAACTTATGAATAGTGCAGGTCAGGTTTTGACTTTTAAAAATTTGATTTGTGATCAATACACTTACGAGTGAAACATCTTTTGTAACCCCTGTCATAGAAGCAGCATAATAATACCTGTGGAAGTACTAATTTGTGCTAGACACTGTCCTAAGTTATCCTATCACAGCAATCTAGAATGGTCTCCATTTTTAAAATGGAAAGACTTATCAAGCTAGAAATCTGTTCAGGTCTCACAGCCAGTAAATCACATAGTCTGATTTAGAACAGTGTGTCTGACTGCAAAAGCCCAGCCGCCCAACACCCCCTTGCGTTGTTTCCACACCAGAGACTGTGTAGCATTTCTTGCAGCCTGTGATGTAATGCCTTTCCCGTAAAGGGCCACGGGGAAATGGCCTTCAGTCCTTGTTTTGTGTTTATGGTAACGTGGCTAATTTAAGTATTGTTTATTCAGGAACAGTGGAACAATAGAGAGCTCAGCCATTTATCTGAGTATCTCTGCTATTAAGAGCAAAATAAGTTGCTTTATTGTTTGTTTTGTTTTTAGAACCTGAGTTATTTAGTTCATTTAGCCTATCTAAATCAGTGTGTTTCCTGAGATAATTGCCCAGTTCTCAGTGTAAATTATGAGTCCCCATGTAAATTATGAGGTCATACGACAGACATTTGGTGTGGCTGTTGCTGCTTGTTGTTACTACTTTGACTAATTCTATTTTTTAAAAAGCGTCTTTCTACAAAGCTTTGAAGGTATCCTTGACTATGGAAATTCCAAAAGGAAGATGCCTTTAGAAACTCAGTCTTAAAGAGTAAAAAGTGCTCCTAAAGATAACTGTAGCACTTTATGTAAACATTTCCATAAACCCACTGCTCCCCCAGTGTTCCCTAGGCACAGTGACCTTGGAAGTGGGAAGAATCAAAGCTGGACCATTCCATTCAGAGAGGAGGCCCTCCCAGAGCAGCCAGGTAGGTAGCTCTGGGATTCACCTGGGCACTGCAGGCCACACGCCAAAAGGAACTCAAAGATGGTCTTGCCTGTGGGCTGGTTCAGGGTCGTGGACACAGGCCTGGCTCTCGGCAGCTGGGCACAGTGGGGCGCAGAGTCTGAGATAGGGAAGAGCAAGAGCTGAAGGACAGGGAAGCAAGGTGTAGCTCTTGAATAGTGTTTAGGCATTCTAAGGAACTTATTCTATTTTCTGACATGACTCTTTTTTTCATAATCTCAAAAGTTAACCAGTTAATGTAGGAAAGCCTACCAAGGTACTCTATTTTTACAGTATTTTATAATTAACATTGATCCATCTGTACTCAACTGAAAAGAATCCCAGGTAAGTGAACTGCAGATGCATCTCACACATGTAAAAGACGGAGTTACACAGTTAGGTCTCCTGTCAAGCCCCTCTCGCCATTCCTGTCTTCTGATGATAGAAGCCCATTTTCATCAATGTGTCCATGCAGACCCCTTGTTCACCCCTCGCTGGTGACCATCAGTTTCCTGTTGACTGGCCCCAATTCTGTCTTGAAGCCCCATCTGTGTACAGTATCAGTTTAAATTTAGAGGATTAGCTTGAATGAGATTATGAAAATCCACTAAAACTTTAGGTAGGCTGGAATCTTTTTCATCCATCCTTTTAGCTTCAATTTATTTAGGTCAGTACGCAAAGTCTTCCTTAAAAAGAATATAAAGTCAGTAGAAACTGCTTAAATGCCCATCCAGTTATCAAATGCCAGTGTTACTTAACAGGTGTTTCTCTCTAGATGCATAGAAGAATTGAATTCTGAAATAAGTGGTGTGGAGGGGCTATTGTTCTTTCACACTCTCTAAAATCACTGTTTTGCGTGTGTAGATGAGCGAATGCAGCCTGTCGTCCTTCACGTTCCCGCTGTCTGGGTCCAGTGCCTCCGAGTCGCTGGAAAGCAGCTCAAAGAAGAACGCATGTAAGATTGGTTGCATGTTTAAGCATGATTTACTGGTTTGATTTTGACAGATTTTCCTTCCTGCTTTAATTTACCTCTGAGCTCTCTTTCCCCCAAATCATTCCACCTACTATTCCAGGTGGAAAGATGTGTGTTGGCAAAAACTCAGAACGACGTGAAGCTATGCCTACAGCAGCTTTTCCCGTCTTATGTTTACCCTACAAGACATACCAAACATTAGAATCGCATTCTGTATTTTTTTTCCCACTGAGCCTATTGGTATATTTGATTTTTATTTCCCTTCCTTGTTTTATGTAACACCGATTAATCAGAAGATGCCATTAAGAGAAGCCTTCTTTTTCCATGAGGACTGCACAATTTTTGATTGAAAAAAATTAATATGATCCTCCTGTGTTTTAATTACATGAAATCATGATGCAGAGGGTTTTTGGCTTGGAGCATCAGTTGAAAGTTGTTCAAATTGAAGAAACTAACCATATGGCATTCTCTGTTTGCAATATGACTAATATTCTAGAAATGTAGGCATTTCCGTCCATGAATTCTTTTTAATGCACCCATGACTTTATTCCTCTCAGCTGTGCACATGTGTCTTTCTGTCCAAACCACATTCTGTCCTTGTCTCACTCAAAGGGGATTATTCAGTTATATAACTCGTGCTTGAAATAAGAAGTAATGGGACAGTGTGTGCATTTTTCCAACTGGAGAAATAGAGTCCTCGTGTGAGACAGACTTAATCATGGTTTCTAGCAACTTTAGAGCCCTTTAAAAAAAAAAAATAAGGGTGTGTCATTTAGTCCCATCTAGCTCCTGACATTGACTGAATTTTTAAAAAGCTTTAATAACCATATTTTGTCTTTTTCACCTTTTTAGTGGCATCAGAAATACAGGGATTAAGAACAGTTGAAATAAAAAAGGTAACTCAGGGGTTTGTGGGGGGAAGAAAACAGTGCAAACCCTGTTGACTTCAGAGGCACCTGCATAGGTCTTTTCCTAGAAGCTTTTTATCCGTCTGAAAAGTTACGTACGATACACAGGAGAAATAGTCAGTCTTTGCTGAGTTTTCTCATTGTAGCTCCTTGTTTGAAAAGTCATTGTTGGCACGTGCTGTATTGTCAAAAACGGCATCAGCGCGGCCCCGACCTCACACAGATGAGTAGGCTGCTGCCTTCAGGAGATAGTTCCTATTTCCAGATGCAGATTCCGCCAGCAGCCGTGCACCAGAGAGAAGATAAAAGCAGCTACGATTCCTTGAGCCTTTCCTGTGTGCTGAACACGCTTGCAGACGCTCTGTGCGCCCCGTCAGCCTCTCACTTACTGTGCACGGCAGCCCTTTGTGAGAGGCCTGTGGTCACACTTTGTGAGTGAAGGTCTAGTGTTCATTGAGGGGAGGGGACTTGTTCCAGGTCCCAGCGTCTGTAAGTGGGGGTTCCTGGCTCTGGACACAGGCCTCTCTGGTTGGAAGAAGTGCGCCCGTTTCACTTCATCAGCGTACCTGCTCTTTGTCAGTTCACAACATGATTTTCACTTCACGGGTGTGATTTCTTTCGCAGATGCTATTTCCCTCACTAAGTCACACTGAGGACCTGTGTCAGATAAAGTAATGCAATTTTTGAGCTTCATTTTTCACCCTTACACCTAGAGGATCTGTTAACTATAGAATATTGTGCCAAAAAAAATCAAAAGTCAATTAAAATACTATATTGACCCAAATACTCTCTCTATTCCATGGCAGGGGCCTACTGATTCACTGGGAATCAGCATTGCTGGAGGAGTGGGCAGCCCACTTGGTGACGTTCCTATATTTATTGCAATGATGCACCCGAATGGGGTGGCAGCTCAGACCCAGAAACTCAGAGTAAGTTGAACTAATGGTTCTGGTCACCTTTGCAAATTTGGCAAAAGTTTTGATAAACCTTTTGAATCTGCCACCGGTTGCAGGCAGTTTTAAATGTCTGTATCTGCTTTTAAATCAGTGAATCCAACCACAGCAGGGCTTGCTTTGAGTAAAAGATGCAGAAAAGTAAAAGAAAGGAGAATTTGCTATTGTATGCACATTTGCAAGCAAATTAAATGAGAAGATTTACTGTAGTTTCTTAAATTTTTTACTTGTTTAAAACTCTATAGAAGAAGTTAAAACAGGAAGTGTTTCAGAACACCAGTATGGGGTGAAAATGTTTTCCTTACACATTTCATAGTTTAAATGCTGATTGAACTTTATGAAGTTGAAAATGATCATTCGTGTTGCATTGGATTATCAGTTTTGCAACAGTTCAATATACAAGCATGGACAAAAGTAGGTTTACAGTTGCAATACAAATACATAATACAATAATTCAGAAATAATAATACCAGAATAGACTCTTGTGTTTCAAGAAGTCACAAACTGCAGGCCTCCTGTAAATGTGACAAAAATTGTCAAACTATACAAAACGTGCTTCCAAGTTGAGGGATTATCCAAACATAGAGCGCTGTGATGGAATTTATGCGAACCGTTCAGTCGTGAAATCGTGAATATTCCATTCACGTCTGTAAAGTAAAGTCTGTGTGGCCTCGTGTCAAAATGGTCTCGAAACATAGCCACCTCTTAGTTTAAATAGTGTCCACATGGGGAATGGTCCAGTCTCCTTTGATATCTATATCTATATCTATCCATCTATCTATCTATCTATCTATCTATCTATCTATCTATCTATCTATATGTATATATATATATGAACGACACTTAAAAATTGATTGTTACACACAGCACAAGGGTCAGAAAACTCTTCTGTGATGGCCACTGACCCTTTTAGGGCTTGTGGACATGAGGGCCTATGACAAGCTCTGCCCCATGAGTGCACCCAGGTTAGTATAGCAGACTTTGTTCACCAAAATAAGCAGTGGGTCAGACGTGGCCTTTGGGTCACAGTTTGCCCGCCCCTGACTTATATCGTCAAGTATAATGTGTATAATTATAATGTCCAGAGAAATTCTGGTTTCCAAAGAGCATCGGATATCTTATTTTCTTAATAGGAAGCAATGTCTTACCCAGGAGAAACAAAGAGAAGAGTGATTTTCCCCCTCCCCCTGGAGACTGTAGGACTCAGTCATTATGTATAACTTTGTCTTCTGGTTGCTGCTGCTTGGAATTAGGGGTTTCTTTGGGTAGATTTCCGTTGCTGATAGCAGTATATGTGTGATGTGTAGGGTGGGAAGGAAAGGACTGCTCAGGCCTCAGTGTCCCTCTCTCTGCAGCTGCTTTTGCAGATGACTGTTACTTTCTCTCCCTCGCAGGTTGGGGATAGGATTGTCACTATTGGTGGCACTTCCACTGAGGGGATGACTCACACCCAAGCAGTTAACTTACTGAAAAGTGCTTCTGGCTCCATCGAAATGCAGGTAAGATTTTTCTCCCAAGCACAACCCAGAATATGGGGAGCTTGAGGACACAGGAGCTTTCATGTTAAACCAGTAAAAACGCTTAAATCTCCTGCTCTTATTTCATTTACCGTTTCCCTTGAACATGAATGATTATGTTGAGAGTTCTAAGAGAGTAGGTTAGAAACACATTCTGTCACATTTATCCTGATGCATTTGTTGTTTCACACATTATATCTAAGGGGGGAAAATGCAAGGTCTTAGCAGTAAATTGCCAGAATGGTGTAAGTGGCTTGTAATCTGAAGATCTTTAAAAATTAATTGCATGAGAGACCATGTTTGAAACCATCAAAGATCTTGATAGAATTGAAGTAGTAAAATATCTTTACTGTCCGTGGAAGAGGCCTCAGGACCTTGTGAAATTTCTCTCTCTTTGGCTGTATATTATATTAACAAATGATTAAGTGGACCATAAAATACATGTTTTAGTGCAAATGCTGCTTTTGAAGAAAAATTACTGATCCTTCATCACATGAACTTGTGTTTTTCTCTGTATCCTTCTCCTCTGCACAGGTGGTAGCTGGGGGAGATGTGAGTGTGGTCACAGGGCACCAGCAGGAGCCTGCCAGTTCCAGTCTTCCTTTGACTGGGTTGACGTCAAGCAGTATATTTCAGGATGACCTAGGGTGAGCTCATATATTATGGTGTGTAGGTCCCTACCGGTCACATAAAGGTGAAATAACAGGAGATGAGGGATAAAATATAAAAATCAAGTGTTTCTAAACTTTTAAATAATTATGGCACGGATTTATTTTATCAAAGATAGATAGATAGACATGCCACTGTGTACCCTACATTGTCAGCTCTGAGTTTTGGGGGAGTACATTTTAGTCTTGATGTCACTACCCTGTGTGACATGGAACAAGCCAGACCTATCCTTTTAAAAATTCCAACATTGCCTACTCAATCATCTTTTTGATTAAAAAATTCACAGTATTCACCATGTGAGTACAAAAGAATTAGAACATAGAGAGAGAATAGAGGAGCATATTAGCATTTTTAAATAATTTGATGCAGCTTTTACATTATTGATCATTGATTTTTTTTTCTCAGAGCTTGGGAATACTGATGTTTATGACTTATTCCAAGATGGTCCTCTACGCTTTAGCCCTCTCACTTTATTTTATTTTATTTTATTTTTATATATTTTTATTGATTTCAGAGAGGAAGGGAGAGGGAGAGAGAGAGAGAGAAACATCAATGATGAGAGAGACTCACTGATCGGCTCCCTCCTTCACGCCCTCTACTGGAATCGAACCTGTGACCCTTCAGTCCACAGGCCAATGCTCTATCCACTGAGCCAAACCAGCTAGGGCAGCTCTCTCACTTTAAATACACTGGAAAAAAGAATAAGCTTCTCCATGCAATGAGCACCTGCTGTGAATATGTTAGTTTAAGAGAACTGATAATGAGTAATAGAGTTAGGGTGTTAAATAGAATCTCATTGGATTATGTAAATTTAAAATCTGAGCCTAGCACACACTGACTGACAATTCAAGCATGCCCAAAATACCAGTAATGTACTCACCATCAGTAACACAGAGAATGATGCTAGTTTTACATAATCCTTAACTTGCTGATGCACAATAATATGTAAATTCTTGAATCTAGACACTGTTTTTCCTTCCTTTTACTATAGACCTCCTCAGTGTAAGTCTATTACACTGGACCGAGGACCAGATGGCTTGGGCTTCAGTATAGTAGGAGGGTATGGCAGCCCTCACGGAGACTTACCCATTTACGTTAAAACAGTATTTGCGAAGGTAAGATTGCAAATTTTAACCACCCTCTTCCCCCACTAAACATTCATTAATAGTGGTCAGCAGCTGGCTTATTAGTTTATGGCCCGAGGTAATGCCAAATGGTTAACAGTTGATCATTTTCTTTTGGAACTCCCTACAGGAATGGATCATTAAATATTTTTGTACAATTTGAGGTTTAGTTATGTTTTAAGGAAAAAAGGCTCAAACTGAAATTCCATGGGAATTCTTAATATACATAAAAATATTAATGATCATTAGACAGTAACATCTGATTTTTTCTTTTGAAAACACGTGGCATATGACTGAATGTCTTTGGAAAATAGGGCACTTTAAATATGTATGCTCTAATATGCTGGCATTTCTTTTTTTTGGTATTTTTTTGTTGTGAAATATAAAACAGGAACAGAAAAGTATATAAAATTGACATGCAGATTAACTAATTTGGCATTTATTTTGCAGTTTAATGCCATTGAATAAAAGAAAAATAATAACTAAAATATTTTGAAGAGTATCCAGAAGCTTTGTCACCTGTAATAAATCAGAATTTGCAATTAAGGGATTTAATTAAAAAAAAAATAAAAACCATTAGTATAGTGTTGTAATTATATAGAAACCTGTTCTGTGTTAAGAGTGTTTAGAATAAGAAAGAATAAAGTTACTGTGGCTTTGCTGAAGTATTAAAATAATTTAAACCCATAGAATTATTGTTAATATGTTAAGGCATTTTTGAGGAACTACAAAATTTGAACAAAATTTCCTATAGGAGAAAATCTAAAATCTGAAAATTTTACACAGCAAAGGAACACCAGGGGCTTGAGATTAGTGCTGTGGTCCATAAAGTGCCTACCAATGGAGGTTTCATTCTATTATTTTGGAAAAAAATTAGTATTTTAACCAGTTTAAAATACCGTATATACAGCAATGAAGCTATAGACTTAATTTATGAGATTTTTTAAAAGCCACCGGTAAGTCCAAAAATACAAACCACTTTGCCAGTGAATAGAAGAGTCACGCAGGCCTTTTCCTCAGCCCGGGAACAGTTTATTTAAGGCATGCTAGTTAGAACATATTTTAAGAATTTCATCATTATGGATTCTCATTAACTTCTCAGTATTTTAATCTTATATTTAATTGCATAAATGCCTTCCATAAGCATGCCTTAAGATTTGGTTCTTTTTTGAACAGCAATGTCTGTGTTTAGTCTTAATCATTAGGGCCCACAAAGAATATGAACACTCCACCTCCCCTTGGAAAGTAAAGTACCAGCAAGCATGAGCTGCCTTTTTAAAACCACAGAAAGAATTTATGTTAGCATTAGCAGGATTTGTGCCTTGCCCTGCCCTTGTCAGCATACATGTGGACTTTATGCTTCTGCAAACCTTTGGGTTTCACAGCCCTCATGCCCTTGTCCTAATTAAAAAAAACAAACAAACAAAAAAAAAACTGCTTTTGTTCCCACCTAATCCTTTGTTTCTTTCTGCAGGATTAAAAAAAAAAAAATCCTAGATTCTATGAAATCATTTCTACTAGGCAAATTCCCAAATACTCTTTATTAATTTGGGTTCCTACCTGCTATGCTGAAGAGCCAAACAAACCATTCAGCTAATCTGTTGACTGCTAAATCTTTCTCAAATAGGAATTCCATTGCTAAAACCATGCAGGAGAAAGGTCTCCTTCGTGCGTGCTCATGATTGCTGAGTGGCTGTGGAGCACCCCGGGAGCACGGAGAGCCGCGTGGACCTGCAGGTCCACTTACATTCTTGCCCAGGTCTTGTTCTGTTGTAAGCCTGTGAGGCAGCATTTTTTGAGACGTCAACGAGCCTACTTTATCTTTGCAGGGAGCAGCCTCCGAGGATGGGCGTCTGAAAAGGGGCGATCAGATCATCGCCGTCAATGGGCAGAGTCTGGAAGGGGTGACCCACGAAGAAGCCGTGGCCATCCTGAAGCGGACGAAAGGCACGGTCACCCTGACGGTTCTCTCCTGAAGCGGCCGCCAGAGTCGAGCCAACGCAACCCCTCGCTCCCATCCCACCCTGCGGGGAGAACAGAACTGGCCCTGCGGGTGCCTCTCCCAGGCTGTGTTCCCCGTGCTCTTCGAGGCTGTAGGGGAGCCACCGTTCACATGTGTCACTCTCACGTGCCACTGGTTTTCTCACTGACAGCCTACTGGCCTCATGCTTCCCCCCTCCTTACCTATGGTGAGCGTAAACTCAAAGGTAGGGCTGTTGGCATAGTGAAATCGCTCTCTCTTCCTGAAGACACCTGGCATTTTATAGTGACACGGGCAAGAATTATTACCTGCTAAACTGGTTAGTAGAGGAAGAAAAAATAATAATTCTAAAGCTAACCATGAGAAATGGCTTTAGTCAGGGTGAAAATATAAAATAAAGAAGGAAATGTCAAGTTTTATGAAAAACGCCTCGTTTTGTCAATCTATCCCTCTCCCTAGTACTAACTTTAAAAAAAAAATCAGTTTCTTTCTATTAAAAAATTTAAAAATAACCAGTATTTAAAATATTTGAATATTATAAAAAGTTGCATCTCCCACCTTTAACATGCACATATATTGTTTCCTCTGAAAGTGGTTTCTGAGATGGAGGAAAGAGCAAATCTCTAAAGCAGTGTCCCTAAGTTTGTAAAGAAAACATTTGAGGCACATGGCCGTGGTCGTGCTCATTTTTGACCTGTTATAAAACACTCCTGTGATTCTACAAGTGAAGTGATGTTGCCGCCCTGTACCGACTGTCATTTCTCTCTAAAGCAGCTGTGCTAGCTGTGGAGGAACATCGAAGGCTCTCAGCACCTCAGCGCTGGCTCTAACGGATGCAACACTAAAAACGTGTTCGCGCGCTGTGCAGTTAGTTGGTTTTCAGTTAGTATCATCTAAATGAGAGAAGAAAAGCAATGTGTTGGTAGTTATTTTGCTTGTATGCCATTAGAAAATCGATAGAAAAATTAAAGGGGATTAACATAACTTTACCCCATTGCTTTATATTAACATCTTATAATACAATGGTTTCAGACTAAGGGAAACAGATGGAGCTGTTTATTGAGACAACTGGTGAGGAATTATCATGTGTTCATTCCCATTTTAGAGCGTGAAACTCCTACATTAGAATATATAAAGTCACTTTAAATATTATCTATATTTGTAACAGAGGTAGTGTACAGATATTTTATTGCAGCACTTTTGTGTGAATGCAGAATTGAAGTGAATAAAGAAGTTTTCATGGTGCACGAATAAAGCAGACATATTTTTGGTTGTTTTTGTTTTTTTTTGTTTTTTGTTTTTTTACTGGGGAAAAGTTTTGTAATGATGTTCAAGGCTTATAATTTAAAATTGATTTTTATGGTATCATGTCTAACTGAACATGTGGCGTCCATAGTTAGGATTAGGGGAACTTTGGACGGCGGTATTATGAAAAGCTCAATGTTCTTTACATCTGGAATTGGTACTGATGCTGAAGACGGACTCCTCGTGGAGCAGAGAAGATAAGCAGCTTTGTAGGAAGAAAAGTGTCTGCCCGGGCGTGGCTTTCAGAGACGCTGTTAATGCAGGAAGAAGTTGTTCTTTCAGGGAGTGCAAGCTGAAGTGTGTTCAGATGGAAAAGTCGTCATGAAAATTATTGATATTAATAAGCATGAAATGTCTGTTTTGAACGCTGAGCAAGGATGGGGAACTTGTGTTGATTCTGCCTTTAATTAGCTAATGAACGTGCATTTCCTCTGATTTATCTCATCTATAAGACAATAGCTTATTTTGTCTCAATACGTGTATCTAGATCTAAAATACAGGAATTCTGTGATTCTTAGTTACATAAAATGAATGGACAACTCTACACATGGGCAATTTGGGAGCTGTTCTCCTTATTAACCAATCATTGTAAACGGAGGTACTTGATGGAACAAAATTCATTTTAGTATCTCAGTGACACGTCTAGCTTCTCAGTCATCCCTTAATAGTCCTTCATCATGAAGGTATGTCAGGTGGGCCACTGGAAGCTGAGCTACCCTCCTTTGTAAGTTTTAACTAGCAAAGATTTTTATGAAGGACACTATGTCAGATTCTGGGGAGACAAGGTAACCAACCAAAGTGAAGTGTGAGTGAATGTGTGGGAGTATCCTAAGGAGAACAGCTCAGTGGGCATCTGTACCTGCCTGATACACACCCCCAAATTCATGTTCACCAGGAACCTCGGACCGTGGCCTTACCTGGAAATAGGGGGAAAGAGAACTCCTGAGACCACAGTGGTTAGAGAAACAGGGAAGGATTTTTCTCTAGATTCTTCAGAGGGAGCCTGGACCCGTTTTCACCTTGATTTCAGACTTCTGGCCCCCAGCACCTTGAAAGAATACACTTCTGCTGTTATACGTTGTCTAGTTGGTGGTGTTTTGTTATGGAAGGCCTGAGAAACTAGTACAGTATTTTAAATATTTTTAAATCCTCAGCTACTATCATTGTGTCTGTCTAGTAGGAGAGGCTCTATACATTTTTGTTGAACATATGAATGACTGAATTACAGACTGTGATTCATTTCACGGTATTACCTTGTTTTAGTTAGCTCGCTCCAACCTGCATACTAAATGCAAAAAGAAAAAGGGAAAAAAATAGTGGGAATGCTACTGTAGGGATATAAAAACACTTGGGAAAAATTCCCCTTCTGAATTTCTGTTAATTAACAAATTGAAGCACATGAAAGGAGTGGGAAGGGGAGGAAGAAAGAAAGGGAGAAAGAAAAATATCAAGAGGAAAATAAGATAGATGCATCAGCTTTGGAAAGAAGTGACAAAGGCTTATGCTTTCTATATCATTTTTCTCTGGAATATGCGTTCTATGTAGTGAAGGAAGAAAGTGTTTGCGCGAAGAAATTGAAAGCATGAATTTTATAGTGTTAATGCCATGCACAACTCAAGACAGTGGATTGACCATAATTGCTTCAATGTAATTGCTATGCCATTAAATTACAATGGAGAATACCCCACATTTCCAATGTTCTTTGTGACCCCTCCAAATGGGTGGTGGTGATAGTGGTGGTGGTGGTGGTGGTGGTGGTGATGGTGGTGATGATGATGGGTTCACCTTCAGCATTGACTGATATGTAACAGCAGGAGTAGCAATGAGGTGTAGCCAGTCAGTGGAATTCATACATCAGAACAAAGATTGAGATGGAAGCATAAAAACATTAAAATTCATGAAAGATGAAACAAGATAATGGAGAGGTATTTGTTATTATTTGCTTGCTTGCTTGGTTTGTTTTTATGAATCTCAATCAGGCAGATTTTGGTAGATTTGAAGAAGCAAAGGGACTCTTTCCTGCTGCCTCTGATCTGGTCAAGGAACTTGTTGTCTGAGGATGAATGCTTCCCAGGGATTGAGAGCCTTTCTTCAGATCTCTTGTGGGAGTCAATAGAGGAGTTGGAAGGATGCCTGCAGGGAGATGGGAGTAAATAGGCTTTCTTCTTTTCCTTTTTTTTGTGTCTAGGTGTGGGAATGTCAAAACCATCATCACCTGCTCTCAGCAGCCCTGGTGTGTTGTTTCATGTCAGCCACCACTATTCTGGAATGCATCTGATTTGTGCAGAGATGTTCCCCAACATTGTCTACTAGGCATGAATGTGTAAGGGAATATTTTTGTAAGCTGGGATTGGCCTTTTTTATCTAAAGAGGAAAAAAGGACATGTTGGTGGCAAGAAAATTTCTAAATGAAAGAGCATGAAATTAAGCATAGTGAATGTTCTTAGAGTGATTTAATATAAATATATAAAGAGAGAGAAGGGAAGGGAGGAAGGGAAAGGGAGAGAGGAAGGGAAAGGGAGAGAGATAGAAACATCAGTGATGAGATCCCACTTGGGGATCGAGCCCGCAACCCAGGCATGTGCCCTGACTGGGAATCAAACCATGACCTCCTGGTTCATAGGTTGGCACTTCACCCAACCATTGAGCCACACTGGCTGGGCCTTAGAGTGATTTTTCATATACTTGGCACTGCAGCTTCTTTTTCCATTCACAATACAGGTATTCCATAATTGTCCATTTTGATGTAAATTAGAAAGTAATTATATTATTTGTCTAAGAATTATACGTATCCATCCAGTAAAGAGAGTTCAATCGTAGGCTCGTTACAATAATTCTGCCTAGAAGGAGGAGAGTCTGTGATGGTGAACTCAGGATCTCTCACTGAAAATGTTTCTTGAAGTTTCCAGAAGTGCTACCATCCTGCGTGCTCAGGCCGCCTCAGGAGGGAGCTTCCATGCTCATTTAGCACCGGAGGGTCTTTCAGAAGGTTGTGTCTTTTGTGAGTACGATGTGACCCTTTTTTCTCATCTCCCCCATTCTCCATCTTATGTGCGGATTTTCAGAAATAAACAGTTACCTTTTCTCTCTTCTGTTGTTATCAACGTACTAGAAATTAAGATTTTTCACTTGCGTCTACCTTGAAATATTTGGCATTCAAAGTTTCACTATCTTAAATTTAATTAACCGAAAGGTACATTATTACATTCAGTAGAACTTACAGTTACCTTGCTTTGGAAAATTACATGACTGTCTATCAAACATTAATACCATGTACAAGATAAGCTAGCGAGAGGTGGTTGTAGTTGTTATATCCTGGAAGACATAGAATAATATAAATGCGATAGTTTTATTTCATAGCCCTCAATTTTCATTATTGTATGATCATGTTTTTTTCTTCTGAAGTTGGATGCAGGATTTGATTTGTAATCCTTCATAGTGCTTCCCATGTCCTCATATAACACTACTGTTAATTATTAAATATTTTTCATTAAAGTAGGCTGATTAACTAAAATGTGCTTAAAAGAGTAATTGTATCTCACTACCTCGAATGAAAAAGCAGTACATTTGACAGAAATCAATACATTTGCATAAATAGAAAGTAACTATGAGCAAAAGCCATGTTCTTAAATTCTATGAAGAGACTGTTGCCTCACAAGGACCAGAACTTGTTAGAAAGGGCGAGGGGCAAATGTTAGAATGGTGGTGGTGACTCAATAGAGATTCTCCCTGGACTTCAGGAAGTGCAATAGCACACCTTCTTCAGTATGTGACTTGGTCGTTTCTAGTGCCTTGTCAGTGCCACTTAAAATGATCATCGCATGATTTACTCTCTTTGGAAAGACTCTACTGTACTCAAATCAAAAAGGTCTTGTTTATAGATGCTTTAAAAATATGAATCCAAGCCAGTCAATTTCTGTTCTTGAAAGTGTTCTGAGTTAATGAGCTTGTTTAAGATTTTGTTTATCAGGCTTTCACTAAGACCAGAATTGGGTCATCACCTTCAGTGCTTTAGTGTTGGCAATCCGAGTTTGAAATAAAGGACACATGACATAAATTAATGGAGTAAAATTAATGTTGTGGTAATATTAAATAAAGCTAATTCCTCTTGCACCTGGAGG